AAAAAAAAAAAAAAAAAAAAAAAAAAAAAAAAAAAAAAAAAAAAAAAAAAAAAATTGGAGTCCTGACTCGTTGACAAACGCCAACTGTCACTAGTACTCTATTTGCAGTACTGCCAGCCACCAGGGCGCAAGTACCCGGTACATGACGCGCCATAGCCGTACAAAAACAAGCCATCGGACTTCTGCCAGGTCGAAATCTCATTATCTTCGTAATTCATTATCATTATCCAGTCAAGATCCAGTTGGGCAGGGGAAAAAAAGCAAATGGGACACTAGCAAGAAAAAAAGTACGGCGTTTGCGGGAACACACCGCATCGTTTGTTTCCCTCCCCGGCGATCACAACACACCATGCCCGCAGACAGGCCGACAGACAGACAACTAGCTTCTTCGCCTACATGCACCATTCAGCCCACCTCCGGTGTAGACCTGCAGCAATCATGGATGAGACAAAGAAATCTGTCTTTTTTTTTTTTTTTTTCTTTTTTGCGGCGGAGCGCGCGTGTGTATGCACACCCTAAAACGCCCTCGATCCGACCTTTCCTCCCCGGCCTTTGAATCCGCCCCGTGATCGGGTGCGCATACTTGCCCCCACTGAACCGTCATCGCCAAACCCCAATGGGAACATGGGTCCGGCTGCCATACTCTGAAGCTGTGCAGCCTCGTCCGCCTTAAACCCCTCGCCGTTCAGGGTCGCTTCCCACAGCGTCCGTAGCGACGAGATCCACTCCTGGAGAGATCGTAATCGATCCACGTCGCTGTTATTTTCTACCACGACAATACCATTTTCTTGGTCAATTTTAGCATCGAGTTTTTTGTCCAGGATTAAGAAGCTCAAAATGTCCTGAACTTCCTGCACGGAGATTTTTATGTTCTTGGAGATAAAGTTCAACGAAAATCTCGTGTACGGGGCAATCAACTTGAGAATGGCCTTAGTCCGCATATTCCGACTGACCTCATCGATATTCTCCGCAATAAATGGATCGGCCAACACGTCTGGGTTTTTGCTCAGGATTGCTTCGTACGTGTGGATATCGTCCCGCTGGAATGCATCCACCAAGTCGGTCATGGCCGAAATGCGTGGGTCGCTCTTGTACGGCTTTGTTTCCTGTGAATCAAACGGGTTGATATCCGACTTCATCAACATGGTCGCCAACACCAGATACTTAAGCACCTGGATCCGCTGCATTGATCCTGCCTCGTCGTAGTTCCGGAACGATTCGAAAAAGTCACTCTGTGCTTCCTCCCAGTTCTCTTCACTCATGTGCATTTTTCCACCACACTCGCGGATAATTCCCATGATCTTGGGGTGTGGCACGGCCGACCGCACACGGAGCGCTCGCTGGTACAGGGCTTTGAGTCGTTTGTTGTTCTTCGTTTCCGCATACATCTGGATCTCAAGGGCGTAGAGTTCGAGCAGATAGGTGCCTTTGCTGGGATCATCCGAGCCGTCTTCCCGTTGGCATGCGCGGTGTAACTCCCGCACCTTCTTGCTCAGCTGGCCATACTCCTTGCGCTCCAACCAAAGACGGGCCAGCTTGATGTTGGTCTTCAGCCATAAACGCTCGTTATTGGTGTTTTGGAAAGAGTAGAGGGTCAACGAGTAGAATTCCTCCATGCACTGATAGGCCTTGGCGTCGTCCGAGCCTTTCTCGATGTAATCCAGCATGTTGTTGATCGACTTCTCCGAGTAGTTTCGTGTAACGGCCGATTTAACATAGGTAAGGAGTTCGCGGTAGTGTTCGACGGCCTGGGACAGTCAGCATGGGATGGACTTGTGCTTTCGAGAAAACTGCGTACATCGCCATATCTTCCCAGTTTGAATTCAAGCTTGATGGCCTGTTTCAATCCTTTGAATCCCCTGGGCAAATGTGTCAGCGTCTATTTCCATATCACTCCAGCTACAAATCGATGGGGCCTGTACCAGTCGCTTTTCTCTTCTTCCAGTGCAGGTACACCCAAAAATTCATCGATAGCCTCCTCTGGATTGTCGGCCTTCATCTGCTTGGCGTTGTAGTATTTATTTTCGATTCCAACGTCTCCAGATTCATCGTCATCGGCATCTTCGTACTCGAAGTCATAACTAATGTTGGTACCGGTCAGTTCTGTTCTGATAGATTGTTGGTGGGCGCGGGGGGGCGTACTCCTCGTCACCAGAGTCCTGCATGAAATCATCGTCGTCGGACATTATGAAAGTTTATATGGTGAAATAAATGACGTCTAACGGTTTTTGAAATGATACCTGGCAATTTTCAATATGACAATCCGGTCGCTGTTTGCGGTAAAAGGCGCAGGCAGTGAGTTTTGACAGACGGATGGTAGAGTGAGCTTCCAAACTGAGCTCCCGCGCTTATCGGAGTCCGGTGTTCCCCGCGCTCAGAATGGCCACCTAGTATGAGTGCTTGTAATCTCAACATTTTCGCATTCTCTACAATTTTCGAAATCATTATCAATATCTATTGAAGAGCGATGCTAGCTAAATTGGACAAATTAAAAAAACCGGAGTAGCTTTATATTAGCGTTGAGTCAATGCGCTCCAGCAAGGAATATATTTCCAGCTCCATACTTGAGGATTTGCAGATTGTCCATGCGCAGGCATAAATATACGCGATTGCAAGGAGCTGAAATTATCGATTTCTCATTTTCATTATTGAGCCTCTTGAAGTGGGTGCCGGGAGGAATGAATTTTAGCATACCGGCATCCATTCGTATGTGAGTATTCCACTGTTATCAGGCCGGACACTGTTCAATCCATCGAGGTCGTTGATCAATACCCTGTAGTAGTAATAGGAGGAATTGAAAACATTACCAAATTAAAGGAATATGAGTGGTTCGACTGAATGATATGATTGATCTCTGCGTGCGGCGTAGCGCTTATGTGTGGCTTGTACTCTATACAGTGTAGATTTACCCCGAACCATACGAATACGTACATCAATTCCTGTGAAAAGAGAGAGATATATATATCTTTACGGCATCCCAGGCAACAAAACCCTACATATTCCTATTTTTAAACCAGTGGTACAACAATTTCGACTGCAAAAAGCCGGATCAAGCCTCATTGTTCAGCGTCACCAGTGGAGATCTTTAAATTGTGACGGAACGGGTCCCTTTGTCTCCATCCTTTAATTTCATTGTTCCCCCAGGAACAAACTCACTCGGGCGGCCAGATACGGAGAGACCTCTGCAGATGCTGCTCTCACCCTGCTCATAAATAACCCAACCTGATTATTAGGTCGTGTTATTAGTCCCGAAGACAGTAATTCCTGATTAGGTTGGTGGATTACTGTGGCGCAGGCATTCGCCCTATTCGCTGTTCCGTTTCGGGATCATATGTCATCGACGACGATACTTGCCTCTGCACTGCCTGATTCTCTCTTTTCATCTTTTCTTCAAATAATTCATTTTCTGCTCTATATCACTACCCGAAGCGAGCGCGACACAACTCTCATTATATATATAATCAATACCCGCTTTTATTGTTCTCGATCCAAGATTTTCTCTCTTTGGCGCTATTTAATTCCCCTGATTCCTCTTCGCGCCACCTTATTACCTTGACGTGACATTGACACCATTCACCACCATGGAGCTTTGTGGGCGCCAGAAAGTCGTTCAGCGGAAAATGGTTCTCTTGTCAGTGATATCCATGGCCTGTCGGCCTTCTGGAAGGGTACTAATTCTGGAGTAGAGGCGACGGTGCTTGTGGCAAGACTTCGGCGCTAAACGTGTTTACGAGAGGGTAAGTTTTGGACTACCTCAATTCAATTAAATTCCTGAGTACAATCCAGCTAATTTACTTCTCCACGCTAGATTTTTCCCCACAGTATAGTAAGGCGATTCTACACTGAGACATTCAGGTCGCGACAGGAGACTAACCACTGGATTTTGCGGAGTATAGTGAACCCACTGTTTTTGGTACGCGCGCCCAATTCCCAGCTATGAATTTGAAGTATATGCTAACGTCTCTGCGTTATTAGAGAACTATGTCCATGGTAATTAACAAACCATATCTCGTGTTCGTTTCACGTACTCATCCTGTTTAGATATCTTCGTCGATAATGTGCATATGGAATTGTCGCTTTGGGATACGGCCGGTCAGGAAGAATTCGATCGATTGCGCGCGCTTTCATATGAAGATACCCACGTGATTATGCTTTGCTTCAGTGTAAGCGTCGCCTTCATATCCATTTTCGAGTTTGCGGTGGTTAATTCGTGATACAGGTCGACAGCCCTGATTCGTTTGAGAACGTCGCCAGCAAGTGGGTGGAGGAAATCTCCGAAAACTGCCCGGGTGTGAGGATGGTTCTTACAGCACTGAAATGCGACTTGAGGAAAGACGAGGATCTGAACGACAACCCGAACGCCATTACATTCGAGCAGGGATTGGCCAAGGCAAAAGAGATTGGCGCGGTGAAGTACCTTGGTAAGACATGGTTCCTATTTTTGAGAATTTGGGAACGTAGGCTGACAAAAGTTAGAATGTTCTGCCGTCCAAAACCGTGGCATCCGGGAAACTTTTGGTGAAGCCGCCAAGGTTGCCCTCGACGTCAAAACCCAAGGGTCCAAATCGAGCAAGCAGGGATGTGTTATTCTCTGACCACCCCAACGTGTGACCACGTCCGCTAGTCCAATTCCTGACCAAATTGTCAGTCGTTCGTCCTCCGGTTTCAACCCGACCATTTGCTTGTTCAGTACTTTGGCGCGGGCTCTTTTTATTACCCTATTCTCTTCGTTTTATATATATTTTGGCCTAACTTTTACTTTTAATGTTTGAAAGACGGGTACGCTATCGGAGAATAGAATGCCCAGGTTTTGTTCTTCATCTACTTCCGTTATTACCCAACCCGCCAAAGAGGCGAATGTTTTATATGCGATTTGTGTCTTTTTTCAGAGATTACTCACATGTACTACCTTGATGATCCTTATTTGTTGCAGATATCTTTTTCCTTTGAATAGACTGCCATGTCCTGGTTCAATCACGCCCGTAAAAGATCCTCTTCTCGAACGTTATAGACCTCTTCAATCTTCTCCCCGGAGGCACCATCCCCACAAGCAAAATCCGCATTTATCCTCCTCGTAAACGCTTCAACAAACTGACTCGCCACATCATTTACTGAAGTCTGGGCCCCCTGTCCCTCCAGACTTGTCGCCTCACGTCCCTCCAACCCACACGCGACAATCTGCCGGAAATACCACATCGGCTCCTCAGTCACATTAAACCCAATCCCGTAACTACTAATGTTCCTTCTCAAATGCACACCAACTGCCGTGATCTTCTTCGACGGACCTTCTTTAGATGACGAAGGAACCCAAACCCCGGGATCCTCGGTAATGGCACCCGGTATCCTATACCGTCCCAGCACATCCACAACACTATTTTCCAAAACCCGTATATGACATCGCGGAGTTAGACCAAGTCTCTTCAGATCAAGGATCGTGTACGCGACCATCTGCCCTGGTCCATGGTATGTCGTCTGTCCACCGCGGAGGGTGGGGTGGTATTCTGCCTTTCTCTCCCCATCGCTATTGCCAGTTGGGGAAAAGAAATGGACATAACCATCAGGAACCAAAAGCGACCGAATCGGCTCCAGCCCCGGCGGGAGAGAAAGTGCCTTGGTACTCGCTGTGTTGGAGGGGGGAAGGTCGCGCCGGCCGGTTGTGTAGACGGGGTTTGGGGTGAAGGTTATAATTGTGGGGTCTGGGGGTTTTGAGGGTGTTGATCTTGGTGTTGGCGACGGTGATTGGGAGGGCAATTGAGATGTGAGCTTTTTGTAGGCGAGGAGGCGGGTTGTGAGAGTTTCTTGAAGGTGGGAGACGCGGGAGAAGGGGGTTATGCTTGGGAGGTGGAGGTGGGCGAGGCGCATTGTGATTGTTGTGGTATTTTTGCCGAGGGAGAAGGGGTTGAACTGTAGAATGAGTGGTATAGAAGATAAGATTGCAATTGCTAGATCATATCGTAGGCTGGCGATGTCGCATTCGATGCTGGTGTGGATATTGAAAATCGGATCGGTTGACAGCTCGGGTAATGATGTCAGGTCAGGTGATTTGTCTGGATTGTGGAGGATTGGATTACGAATGGTTTGATTGGTATGTAGCAGTTTAGCGGGGAGAGTACCCCCGTGTGTCTTAGTTGAATTCAATATCAGTGGAATGAGTCGGGATATCGCTATGTAGTATGAAGTTTGGTTCTGTGCTGTGTTGAATATCAATGAGAGCAAAAGAATAAGACCGGAGATCGCTACGAAGACGAAGACGGCACACCATTGACAGACGTTGTCGCTGGCTGCTCCTGACCATCCGTGACAATTGCCCAATCTCGAACACCCCCCTTCCAATCCGCAATCCGTCCTTCGCGTACTTTGACCGTAACAACCCGCGCATTATCATCAACCGTCATACTGGGACGTCGTTGGCCGGCTGCCTCTCCTGACTGTTGCTGTTGCTGCTGCCGCAGACCAAACATATTTATTTCCTCCTCCTCAAACGTATTATTCTCCAAGTGTCTCTCCTTACACCAGCTTTCTTCTTCGGATCCTGGCTCTAGGAACCGTGCTTCTCCCGCAAGGGTTGTCGAGATACTAGACAGTGCACTGGTATTCAGGTTTAGCAACATACCAGCTAGTGACGAACGGGTGGCCGCGGGCGGAGGAGAACCATCGCGATCTCCCGGGTTGGAGGCACGGAGCGGGGGACGGTGGGAGACCCAGTCATGGACAAGGAGGGAGACTCTGGGGTTTGTGAGGAGGTGATTTGTCTTCCGCGATGACGGATTGGTAGTCATTATGATGGTTGGGTGCGCATCAAAAGGCGTTGAGGGGAGGTAGGTGTAGGACATGAGGGAGATGTGGGGGGTTAAGCCGTCGCATGTTGCGAGATGGAGCTGAGTATTGGTCAGTCCATTTCTCTATTATTGCCTTCTGGAGTGTAAATCATACGAAGCGTGAATTTTTCAGACAAGAGACTACCTCTGGCGGTAGAGTTGAAGCGATGTGAGGATGAGTGGCGGTGGCGGACGCCTCGTAGGAGAGGGGCGGATTTGGATTGTAGGGGTCGTTCATGACTGTTCTGTTATCAAAGGACATACACAATACTCTGTAAAGAGTTAGACTGAATAAACGAATAAACAGAGGATCTGTGGATGAAGTGACAATCCTGGCGAAGACTTTGGGTTCCCTGTGGATGCTCAGCGGGCGGCGCAGTTTGCACCACTGCTGATGTCACTGATAAGAGTCCGGATAGAGGCAGGTATGGCTATGGGTAACTGTGATGGTTTAGACACAGGAACGATCTACCAAGGGGTTATATAGAGTATCCTCAACAGTGAATGCAAGGGGATAAACAACAACACTCAATGTAGATTTTGTGTATTCCTACAGAACACACAGCCCTCGGTAGTCTACAGCATCCTACAGATATCTGGTGGAGACTTTCGTCATGGTGGCTTCAAGAATGAACAACCTCATTCCACACTGAGCTCAGAGATCTTCTTTACTCCATAAGATACTCCATAATAATATTCCCTGTTAAGTATAAATCTACAAAATAGTATTATTAACAGCTAGGTACCTCTGGTGTAGCAGTGAAGCGGTGACTTCATTCCAATCGGGCGCTCTCCGCACCTTTCCCCGGTATCTCGCAACTTTATCGGCTCTCGACTCGGTTTCCTCTCTCTCTTCCCCCTCTCTATTTCTTCGCTATATCTACAGTAATCTCCAAGCCATCTATCTTCCAATTCTACGATATTTTCGATCTTCACTCTCTGGACTCCTCTTCTCGGCTATCTCCAGTTCTCTCTCTAACTCTTACTCCTCTTCGGCGTTTGTCTTACCCTCGCACTGCAACGTTCCTTCTCTTCGTTTGCCAGACACAAGAGCACTTTCCCCCCCTTCATCCAATCCCTGTTATTCTCTTTCTAATTCCCCGCTTCTTCTCGCCTGTGTCTTACAAGGAATTTTTCTCTTATACTTCAAGTCGTGTGATCAATCGTTGTTTTTTTTTTTTTTACTGTCGTCAACGAAGCTTTCCCCGGCTTCATATTGACCGACTTACACCATTCTTGTCTCAGTTGTTGCTTTCTTTTGTCCTGCTATTGTGGTTGTTTTCAGCGTTTCCCATGATGCTTGCTTCGCGTGTTGCTCGTCCTGTTTCCCTTCTGGTACGACCCTTCAGTTCGTCCGCTGTGGTCTCCAGAACCCCCTCCATTCGTGACATCACTGCCGACTCGGCTACTGAGTTCAACGCGCGTCAAAAAGAGTTTCGTGAGAATTTGGAGGTGGCCCGCAAGAAGAAGGAACAAGAGAGTCAGTCTGTCGATGCTTCTGCTTCCTCATCTGCCTCTTCCCCTCCCCCTACTTCCCGTGATCGTTTCCGTGAGTACGCTACCGCTCCCGCTGCTCCTCATTCGAGCAACACGAGCAGTACCAATAAACATGTTTTTGATGCCGCTGCGGTTCTTGATAGCAAGGCACTGGGCTCACTTTCCATGCACCGTTCTCTAGGGGATGAAGAATTGAAGAATCAGTCTCCCAAGCGTGGTGCTCTATCGTCGCTCATCTATGGAACTAAGGAAGGCCAGCAGCTCGACAAAGACATCGAACGCTCCTTCTCGCAAGTCCTCGCTCGCGGAAAATATGTCCACTCGATCGTCTTCCACGAAGTCAAGCCCGATAAGGTGGATGAATATGTCGACCTCATCAGCACCTGGTATCCCCGCATGGCCCAAATGGAGGAGAACAAATTGCATCTGGTTGGCAGCTGGCGTACGCAAGTGGGCGATAACGATACTTTTGGTAAAGTTCTTTTACCAGGCTCTTGCTCGTGAGGGATTCCTTTTTGCTGACAAGGCCATCAAGTCCACATCTGGGAGTACCAGCGATACGATGGCTACCATTCCTCATTGCATAGCATATCGCAACACCCGGAGTTCCCTGAATTCGACCGAAAGCTGAAGAAGTTGATTAAGAGCAAGAAAACATCCCTCATGCAAGAATTCTCTTTCTGGCCCACGACCCCACCCCGCCGCCTGGGAGGTATCTTCGAGCTCCGATCGTACACTCTTCACCCTGGAAACCTCCTCGAATGGGAAACGCACTGGCGACGTGGCCTCACAGCTCGTCGGGAGGTGATGGAAGGTGTGGGCGCATGGTTCGTGCAGATTGGCGACTTGAACACGGTGCACCACTTGTGGCAGTTTGCGAACTTGGAAGAGCGCAAAATCCGTCGGGAACAGTCGTGGCAGATTGAAGGCTGGGCCGAGACCGTTCACAAGACGGTTCCACTGATCCAAACCATGCAAAGTCGGATCCTGATCCCGATGCCGTGGAGCCCAGTTGGTTAAATCTGGAGAGTGCTATGAATAGGGCGAATCTGGAACACTGAGGCGCTATCACTATTTCTTAGCGCAACCTTATTTCGAGCACCCCGTGGCTGGGTGCAGGTACTCCAACCAACCAACCTCGATTGACTGTGGAAGTGATTTTACTCCGTATTGTATATGGAAGCTTGATTGTTTGGGGGTGGTTCCAAAGAGGTATTGGTTGACCGTCGACGACTTTTATGTCTTACAATTTTCTGATACCTGGGACATCGGCCATCGTACATATATTTCTTTTCTTTTTCTTTTTTTTTTTTTTTTTGGTGTATCACACGATGTTCAGTGTTTAGTTTCGAGAAATTAATTGAGAAATTTCTACTTAGATTGTTCTCTTAACTTTTCTTTTATCTCCTATTCTTAGCTCCTTTTCTAGCTTAAGCCTCGGCTACCGCGATTTCTTGCTTCGAAAATCCTTCGTTTCCCCACTCCAGACATTTTTCTCCGTGAAGATCGTGTCTTTTCGATTATCGCCCTCTGTCTTGAATCAATAACCGACTGCAAACCAGGTTACGCACATGCAAGTAGAGTCTGCAGTGACAGGACCGAGTGTCTACGTGCACAGTTTATACGCGCTTTTCGAGGGGTTCGCTTCTCCGCCGGCAGAAAACCAAACAAGACTCGACTAACGCAGGCGCTTCTTTGCATCGGATCGGGCACTATTGCTTTTCTTTTCTTTTCTTTTCTTTTCTTTTTCTTCTCGCCTGATATCAGATTCTTATTGAACACTCACCTGTCCAAAATCCCATATACCTGCCCTGTTCTTTGCCATTCGTCTTCAAACCTTCGAACTTCTCGTCTGTTTTCTTTCTTCACCGCTTTTGCATTGTCCGGTCCAATCCGTCGCGTACTTCTCGTTTTCTCTTTCCTATTCCGATTTTACTGACTGGCGCAGAACGGCAAAAACACCCAGTTGAGGTATTCCCACAAGGGAAAAGCAAGCCGCCAAGATGGTGTACATCCGCCAGCATCAATTGCCAAATTTGAAGAGTTACCGGTATGCAGGTGTCGACCACTCGTTCATAAGCCGGTACATTCTTAAGCCGTTCTATAATAACTTTGTGATCCACTGTTTTCCCATGAGCATGGCGTAAGTTTCCCTTTTTCCTATTACGGAAAAGAAAGATGATGATGATGATGATGATGATGGTGGTGGTGGTGGTGGTGGTGGTGATGGAAGGCCATGGCTAACCGTCGTGCAGGCCCAATGCCGTAAGTGTTTATCCTTACTTTAGCCCTTTGCATCTTCTGTGCCCTCTTGCCCAATGCGTCAATGATGATAATAACACAAGGGCCGTATGACGGTAGATCACCCTGACGGGCTTCCTATTTGTGATAATTAATCTCTTTACCGTGCTCTATTACAACCCGACGCTGGACCAGGATTGTCCCCCTTGGGTCTATGCCAGCTGCGCACTGGGTCTTTTCCTCTATCAGACGTTCGATGCTGTAGATGGCATGCAGGCGTATGTCTTCTCTTTCCCATTTGCCCGGCTTTCGCGTACTGAAGTATCTGTGTTAGGCGGAGAACGAGACAGAGTGGCCCTCTGGGTGAACTGTTTGATCATAGCGTTGATGCTTGCAACACCGCATTGGGTGTCTTGATCTTCTGCTCTACGATGAACTTTGGCCAATCATGGGCTACCGTGTTGACTCTGTTTGGATGTACGTGCAGCTTCTGGTTGTACGTTTGAGAGAGGCTGACTGGTCTTTAGCCACCATGACTTTCTACGTCCAGACCTGGGATGAGTACTACACCCAGGTTTTGACGCTGGGTATTGTCTCGGGCCCCGTGGAAGGAGTGCTAACGCTCTGCGTGGTGTTCGCATTTACGGCCTACGAAGGTGGCGGCAGCTTCTGGCACCGTGCTATGTTCGACACTGTCGGCGTGCCCAAATTGGATTGGATCCCAGAGGCCGCCTATGTGATGTCCTTTACGCAATGGTACCTGGTTTATGGTGGTCTGCTCCTCTTCTTCGCCACCGGCTCCAGTATCTACCACGTCGTGCAAGTCCGTAGAGAACGCGGCCAGGACCCTATTAAGCCCCTGTTCGGTCTTCTCCCTCTTGTGGCGACCTGGATCTTCGTCCCGGCCTACCTGTACTTGCAGCCGGCTATTTTGGAGAACTACTTGATTCCATTCGTTCTGTACGTTGGTTTGATTAACGCCTATTCTGTGGGCCGGATGATCGTGGGACACCTGGTCAAGGCCCCCTTCCCGTACTTCAACATCCTTCAGATCCCATTGGTTCTCGCCGTGTTCGACAGCGCGGGTCCTTTCTTTGGTCTCTGGTCTAGCATTCTTGGTGCCGATTTGAGCAGCCAGGTGGCGTTTGTGTTTGTTTCGCTTGGTCTGGCTGTTGGTGTCTATGGGAGCTTCGTGGTATGTCTAAAGGGTTCCATTAATATTTACGATAAAGTCTAATGTGTTGCAGCATGACGTTATCACCACGATCTGCGATTATATCGATATCTGGTGCTTGACTATCAAGCACCCGCACGTCGAGGAAGCGCAGGCCACTGCCAGAAAAGGCGTTGCCGTTGCGAAGAAGGCCCAGTGATTGGCTCGTTGGGTGCCCGGCCAATCGCATATCAACTATGCGACACTTCTAGGGTAAAATAGTTCGATTTTTTTCTCTTTCCTGATGACCAACGCCCGAGATGGGGCTTTTGGAGAATCTAGACCATCTTGCGCGCGTAGGCATGCATAAAAAAGGTCGGTATCATTCATGTGTAGAACAGCGGATTACCATTAGCGATAGAGCGTTGTATTTAGCAATTGACTGCATTTCTTCTTCCCTTAAAACTATAGATCTCTCGAGAAGTTACTAGGCCGTTGTATGAACCCGCGAATCGGCATCTTCTCCGTCCGATCCTGCGCCTCTTATTGGCCGGCCCCTTTGCCGTACCAGTCACGCCAAGGCCTACCCAAAACAGGTAAGTAAGCGAGGGTTCCAACCCTATGAATTTTTGCCCCCCGAACTCAGGCGCGGGCTAGTGAGGGTGCGCTGCCCCCAATTGAGAATTCGCTTCGAAATCGCCCATTCTCCACGAGACCTCTCTTCCGCTTTTTCACCAACCATCCCCAAGCAGGCCATCTCTATCAGCGCCTTTATTCAACCTATCTCGCTGATCGACTTTTTGTCTCGTCAAGATGGTGAGTTTGTTTTTATTCCTCCGGATTGGTGTTCGATGTCGTGTCTACGTTATGGCGACGAGGATGCCGCCGCTGTCGGATGGGAAGACTTCATCGTCGTCGCCGTCGCTGGTCATTGACCGACCGACTGTTCATCTATAAATTGAAGGATAAGAAGGAGATACTAACCTTTGTTCGTGACAATAGGTTCTCGCGGTCGACCTCCTCAACCCTACGCCTCAGGCTGAGGCCCGTAAGCACAAGCTCAAGGTATGTCGCTACATATCCTGAGCACACCACACACTCCGTCCACCAAGGTCCCAAGACTGATTCGATTTTTTCTTCTCGCAACAGACCCTTGTGCCCCAGCCTCGCTCTTTCTTCATGGACGTCAAGTGCCCCGGCTGCTTCACCATCACCACCGTCTTCTCGCACGCCCAGACCGTTGTCATCTGCGCCGGTTGCTCGACCGTTCTCTGCCAGCCCACCGGTGGTAAGGCTCGTCTGACCGAGGGCTGCTCTTTCCGGAGAAAGTAAATGTGACGCGAACAAATGTCGGCCGGAACGGAGCGGAGCGATTTGATGTGATGTGATGAGAAAAGAAATGTGGCGTTTCTTGCTTCTTTTTTCGACGGATGGATTAATACCTTTTCTTTTTTTTTCTTTTACAATGAAAGGAATGGAATGAAATGAGCAGCAGCCGCAGCAGATAGAAGATGGAATCCTCGCCCAGATCAGATCCCCCTCCAAAATTTGACAAAAATTCGACAACAAAAATGTTTTGAAAAAAGTGTGGCACTTCTTCGTTTTCTCTGCTTATAACTTCTTACGATGGGGAGTTCCGGATATCTAGCACATGGTCGGTCCACCAGCTATGTCAATACGTTTTTTCATTATCGTCCTGTTTCTTTATTGCTTGTTTGTACGACTTGTTTCGACGAATGCAAATGCAATTGCAATCACAACAACTGCCATGATGGATTGGCTACTCGAACAGCAACGACGACAGCAACATCGATCGAAAACGCATACAGCCGTGACGACTTCGATATGGAATACGAGGGATGCGGGCTTGGCCATGGATACTGTCTTGGGTTGGATAGGTTCAACACGCTTCCGGGGACCTTGTACTGGCCCAAGTCATACCCATGGCCTCCGTTGCTGTCTCGAGTGGTTGTCCTCTGTAGTCTGTTCGTAGCCTTCCTGCCCTTGCCCCACGCGACCCATGACTTCCGGAATCTCGTATTCGATCTGTATGTCATGGCCCATCACCCCGGATTAACCCCGTGCCCCACCGGCGCTAGTAGGCTATCTGAGGTCAAGTCTGGTTAGACCTACGACTGTAGTTCGTACCGTACGTACTTTCGTCGTTGCTGTAGCATGATCTAGACACTAGCATAGTCGCATGTACCAGAAAACCTGCCATATATCTATTATAATCCAGACAACCCCCCCCCCCCTTATAGCTAGAACAGTCCCAACCAACTCAGACCTCTGTCAAAATCCTCGCCTTCTCCCGAATTTCATCCCCAAAATCCAACGGATTCGTCGGATCCCCACCCGTCATCAACGCTAACTTCCCGGTCTGATCACTAACCAGCATATTCGCAAACTGGTTCCTGGAGACGACCTCCTGCGCCTGCGAGCGGGCCTCGCTGTCGCCGGTGCGGAATTTCTCGGCGTCGATGGACTTCAGCGTGCGGTGGGTTGTACGGACGAAGTCAAAGAGGAAAAAGAGGGTTGGGTGGGTGGCAGGGGGTTGCATTTGAGGGTGGGATTCGAAGGCCCTGTTTGTTTCGGTTAGTTGGGAAGTTTGACAGGTACAGAAAGGTTGGCAGGGGAAGGCGTACGTGAGGAGCTCGCCCATTTGGGAGTCGACTTTGTCGATGTTAACGTTGAGTTGCTCAGCGCTCATTTTGGAAGTGCAGTTCTTTCTCATTTGTTAATTGGCGAGTTTCTGAGGAGAGCTGTTTGCTAGTAGAAGAGTACTCGAGATCGATGTTAGTGGATAGCTATGTAGTGGAGGTACGTCACGTTGCCCTGGGTTGCCAAATTCGGCTTAGTACCCGTCACTTCATTTTTCGTCTATACAGTAAACGACTAACTACTATATCTTCTTATGCTCTCGAAATAAGGATGAATTGGCTTCGAGAGAAAGAAACCACAGACGGGACACAAAGGTTGCAGAGCTCGATCTTGGTGTATACGCACTGAAATCATCAGTACGGTTTCCATCAATCTCTTATTACTTATCAGCCGAGAAGCTTTGTATTTGGGGCATTTTTCGGACTCGATTAAATCGCTGATGGCCGCGGTGGTGGAGTTGGGAATGTGACGCTGCTTTGGACATCACTTGGCAAAGGCGTTTTGCTTGATGTTATATTTGGACCAGATTATTTAAAGTATGCGGCGCGTGGAAGCTTGAACATGCTTGAGTACTTAGCCCCGTATGACGTCTTAAAGGGACCTACTGAGGAATTGCTACTGGAATATGCTATAAGAAAACGCAATCTTAGAGTGCTAGGATTTCTTCTCAAAGATTTCCCTGATCAAGACCTATCTCGGGCTTTGGAGACAGCAGCGACAAAAGTGACGGACAACACAACAACAATCCAGATCTTCAATATACTATTTGATCATGGCCTCAGTATACACTATATGAAGACTCATTGTTTGGACTGCCGAATTTATTCTTGCCTATGCAAAAAGGAAAAACAATTGAAAGTGGTTCAGTACCTTCTTGACCAAGAAGATGATCCGCTACCAAAGAATAGCCCTTAGGGACAATCTGTGTGGCAGCAAGCTGCCAACAGAAAACACAAGAAGCTTCACCATCTGTTGCTACAGACGATACTAGACACCCCGGGATCTCACTTGACAAGATCAGAGAGAACCTGGATATTACTGAAGCTGAGGAACTACTCAGTAAAAGACCAGGCTCATTGAAGCTTGTGCACAGATAACTAATATTGGCGAAAAATATATTCAGTACCTTTAAGGAGTCATTTCTATCTATTCTTGATTTTTTCATTGCTAAGAGGGTGTTAATTGTGTGCACCAATTCTTGTGGCGAATGATTATTTGTATGGAAGTCATTCATCGATGTTGAGTTACTCTACAACACATTACTTTGCAGCTGAAGTGTAAATATCAAGGATTCACTGCGGCTCTAATAAGGGTGTTGCATTTCATTTGTTTCAAAACTGGTTATTGCTTTGGAATACTGAAAGTAGTCTATAGATCGAAAAAGATACCCTAAATAGCGCACGTGATTCATAATCAGGCCCTCCGCACTCCTTATCTTATCGCATAAAATCACCAAATCCCAACAACCTCCCCGATTGTCCATGTATAATAGACCCTCGCTCCTGTTGTCCCTCTCAAGCCGACCATTTACCAGATCCTTCATTCGAAACCCCTCCCATATAACATATTGTTACCTATCCACAATTACACCACCACAACCACAACCAGCCATGACCTCAAAACCCCCCCGCCAACCCCTCAAACTCCTCATGCTGCACGGCTACACCCAATCCGGCACCCTCTTCCACGCCAAATCCCGCGCTCTGATCAAACACATCACAAAAGCCTTCCCCCTCCACGAAGTCGCCGCCATCTACCCAACAGGCCCCATCCACCTCGACCCCGCCGACATCCCGGGCTACGAGCCCTCCCCGTCCCCTAAAAAGGAAGAGAAAATCGAAGCGTACGGGTGGTGGAGACGTTCAAATACTGCGAATCCGCCGCTTTATCTTGGTATTGAGGACGGGTTGGCCGCTGTTGCGAAGGTGTTGAAGGAGGAGGGACCGTTTGATGGGGTGGTTGGGTTTTCGCAGGGTGCTGCGCTGGCGGCGATGGTTGCCGGATTGTTGGAGAGTGGGAGGAAAGGAGCTTTTGAAAGGTATGCGGATTCGAAGGCTGCCTGTGAGGGAATTGATTTGAGCGGTTCGGCGGAGAAGGATGTTGCTTCGATTGCATTCCCGGGGTCGTTTGAGGGGATGCAACATCCGCCGTTGAAGTTTGCTCTGTGTTATAGTGGGTTCCGGGCGCCGGGGCCGAGATATCGTGCATTTTATGAGAGCCCGGCGATTCAGACGCCGGTGCTGCATGTGCTGGGGTCACTGGATGCGGTTGTTGATGATAGTCGAAGTCGGGCGTTGATCGAGGCTTGTGCAGGGGATCCGGAAAGGGAAGGGAAGATTGTTTGGCATCCGGGTGGGCATTTCTTGCCCAGCCAGAGACCGTTTTTGGATGCTGCTGTGAAATTTATTCAGGAAAGGTTGGGGAACAAGGAGGATAAGAGTAAGGAGGAAGAGGAGGAGGATGTGAATAACATGGACCTGCCGTTTTGAATGTGATACTGTTTTTTGGTGCATGTTGGACATGTACTGCATCAATATACCACTACGTTTTGCTAGAGCCTGAACATCTAATAAGGAATCATTTTGCGTTCTACATCAGATAGATTATTTTACACGCTGTTGTAAACCTTCAGCGCCTAGTTCATTCGTATCCACATCCATCTTCTAAGATAAAAAAGACAAAAGAGACAAGACATCTTAGCGAGCCTTGGTCGGAAGAATCCTAGCCATCATCTCCTCCTTGGTAATCAGATGGTCGATGCGCTCCAGGTGGTTCAAGAGGTTCTTCATATCACTGCTCCATTCGTTGAGAACGTCGTCAGCGTCGCGGGGTTTGGAGAAGTTGATCAAACGGGCCGGACGGTCAATCTTGGCATAAATGGTCTTCGATGTGACCAGATCACTGATGTACTTCTCTGTCTCCTCCTCAGCCAGATCCAGGAGCTGGGTCAGACGGCCCATTTGGATACGGGTGTAGTATTTGGCAACAACGCGCACATTATGCTCAATGACACGCTTCCGGAAGTCCTGCCACCTCTTGTGCGCCTGGTCCTCGGCAGTCTGGCCGGGTTGGGCGTCAAACACATCCGTGTTGCAAAGATGAGGGCCAAATTCCTCCGAAACATGAGGCCAGCGCATCAATTCAGGGATGGTAAATAGCTTCACCAACCGCGACTCGACGGGAACAGTCGAAAGGCGACTGTCCTGCTGGATGCGGTGCAACAGATCTGATTGTTCGTTGTCATATGGCGACAAGGCAATGTAGTAAACGATCCGTGCAAGTACCTTTGGTGTTTGTTAGAAATGGCATTCAAGTCTGATAGAATGACAAAACTTACAGCCTGCAACTGCTCTGGGTTGTTTTCGACTGACTCCGTATCCAAGACCTCCCGGTAGTGTTTGCAGACGTCGAGATACTTGTACTCGTGGTTGGCAAGGATAATCTGCTGCTCGAAATAGCGAAGCTTTAAATCCGTCACATCATCGTCAACCTCCATCGGGGCCTCATCAGGCGCACGAGTCTTCTCCCGCTCCTCAGCCTCTTCCTTGAGCTGCTCGATTTGTTCGGGGGTCTTCTTCGGCTTGCGGGAGAAGTAGCGCCTGTTGATCTTGCGGCTCAGGATGGTAGCTTGCGTCCAGTCGCCCCGTTCTATGCATAGAGAAACTTGTTCCAAAATAAACTCGGTCTTTTCCCTCCTGGTCATGGAACCAAATGTCTCCACCTGGAGCTCGCACAGGATATCGGCGGCGGAATTAAGGTCGCCTTGAGACTTCTTAATGTGGGATAGAATGCGGGTAACACGGGCTCTCTCGACTTCAACAAAAATCTGTAAACCATATTAGCATCAGCCCACCACGAGTATACTGATAGAACCGACCTTGCCCTCCGTCACTGTCCGCAAAGCCTCAATAACCGACAACTTCACATCCATATTAGGTGTTTGGTCAATGAACGTCATAACCGTCTGGATCATTCGCGTCGTGGCCTGTTTGAGCTGTCCATGTTTCTTCGATAAAAGGAGTACTTGATCGTTGAGGAGGTTCCAGTCGCCGGCATTCTTGCAGATTGTGACGATGGCGACAAGGAGCCTGGATGTGGTGGCCAAGTCGCTTGCCTAAAAGCCAAACCAGAGTTAGATACGAATCCTAGATTGTTGACCGATAGGAGTAACATCGATATCATACCTGTCTTGCCTGCTTTTCCAATCCCAGCAACTTGTCGATGGCACCTTGGACATCGGTCTGTGGATGGTCAGTATCCGGGTAAGCCCAGAATACACACTGGTCGTTCAAACCTTTGCGAGCTGCTCCGCCTCCGGAATCAACTTGTCAGCATCCTTGCTGTAGTCCTTCTCGGGCTTGAGAATGCCGTCGGACATGGTGACGAGGTGCTGCTACGTCACGGCTTCAGACTGGTTTCTAGGATCGAAAATGGAAAGATAGGGTGTTCGTGACTCAGCGCAAATGGCAAACGCGACCTGCCTGTAGCCAAAAATTGAATGAGGATACAAAGTGGGTTGGAGGAGAATGGATGAAGCTCTAACGACAGACATCATCAACGCCCTTTGCGGAGGACGAGCTGGCAGCGGAAGCTCTGATGCACGTGACTAGAGCGCCATCGGCGTGATCTACAGCTGGTCTCGCGCTGTCAATAAACATCCTCTTCATTGCTCTGCACACTTTCTTAAGGGCAAAGATTGAGATGATCGAAGATTTATTTTTTAACTTGCGTCTTTCATGTTGCAATTATAATGCAGTCACAAGACAGAGTACCGTACAGGACTCTTTACGAACAATATGGGGCAACCCGCTTTCGCCAAACCAAAACGAACTAACAATCCAAATTGCACTAATAATCCCAGCATAAATTGCACTAATATTATGATCATTCTCAAGCCAATGAAACCATGTCTATTCTCTTTACATCAAGCGACTGCTGTCAACTGGCCAGTCTTTCCCCGGAACGCTTACTAAGTCACTTTCCGATCACGCAATATCAAATTGACTGCATCGGGATTTGCCAATTAAGATCAGATCGAGTATAGAAAGAAAATTTTTGAGCAGCGATCACTGCGAGAAATTTTAGTTTCATTCGGGAAAAATCTCGTGTGTTATCAATTGCTCCAGATACGCTTATCGGGCTGTCATCGTTGTCTGTCACTGAAAGTGTTGCTGTTATCGTCGATTCATGGGCATTTTTCCGCGGAGCTTGGAGTTTGCAGGGTTGAAATAATCGCCTGTGTCCAAATCGGCTTTTTTCGATGTGGCGTTGAAATTGGACCAGTCAAGACGTCGTCGATTCTATCTTAAGCCATATTAAGTGATTTTTCGCCAATCTCAACCATACGAACCTTACTGTGGCAAACCGGCACGATGAAGGATGCATCGTGTGATAATGGCCCCTGGGCACCATTGCTGGCGGCTATGAATGCCGAATCACAGGTCCATTTAATCATTGGATCAAATCCTCTGGCAGCAGCTCGTTGCAGCAAGAGTCTGGATGCCGGCGCAAGGCCGATTATCATTGCACCGGAAACAGCCGATTTACAATATACACTGTCTGAGCGCATTCAAAGTGGTTCGGCAGAATGGGCACGCAGAGAATTCCAAGATGACGACTTGACGACTTTGGGGCGGGAAGAAGTTGAGCATGTGGTGGACATGGTTTTTGTTACTTTGGGCGGTAATCACCCACTGAGTATGTAGATCATGCGTATGCTCAAGCCATGGCCCGATTTCTAACATAGTTATAGGCCCACACATTTCGAAGCTGTGTCGACGTCTCAGGATTCCAGTTAATATATCAGATGCCCCGGAGCTTTGCACGTTTACGTTGCTTTCTACGTACTCGGATGGTCCTCTCCACGTTGGTGTTACAACATCAGGACGAGGATGTAAGCTGGCTTCGCGTTTAAGAAGGGAAGTTTCTTCGTCGTTACCATCAAATCTTGGAGGCGCCATCGACAGACTAGGCGCAGTGAGACGTCGCCTATGGGAAGAAGACCAAGCTGCCGGGCTTTGCGATACGGCTTTCGAGGGAGACGATGATGATGCAACGGGCCAGAAACACACTTTTAACACATTATCGACGAACGATGAAGTATACATGGCCAAAACGAGACGCATGCGCTGGCTTTCTCAGATTTGCGAATACTGGCCTCTCCGCAAACTCGCCGCTATTACCGACTCTGATATCGATGACATACTCAAGACCTACTCGTCTGGGAATGGCAATGCGCGAGATGTTAACGGCGCAACAATGAGGAAAGGAAAGATCATTCTGGCTGGTTCTGGTCCGGGACACCCCGATATGCTTACCCGAGCCACATATCATGCTATCCAAAGCGCAGACATCATCTTGGCAGACAAGCTTGTACCAGAGCCTGTTCTGAACCTAATTCCACGCAGGACGGAAGTCCAAATCTCCCGCAAATTCCCCGGGAACGCAGACCAGGCGCAAGAGGAATTCCTCCAAATGGGACTGAAGGCGTTGCGCAGCGGGAAACAAGTACTCCGACTGAAGCAGGGCGATCCCTACCTATACGGCCGTGGCGGCGAAGAGTTCGAGTTCTTCCGAAACGAAGGACACATCCCCGTGGTCCTACCGGGTATCACCAGCGCACTGAGCGCTTCCTTATTCGCCGAAATTCCAGCAACCCATCGCGGCGCAACGGACCAGGTCTTGATCTGCACAGGGACAGGTCGCAAGGGCGCAGCGCCAGAACCTCCTACCTACGTGCCTACACAAACAGTGGTTTTCCTGATGGCTCTTCATCGGCTCTCAGCACTCATAGAATCGTTGATCAACGCACCGGCAGAGGACAGTGGCGCCCGACCTCGCACGCCCTGGCCCAGAAACACGCCCTGTGCTATCATCGAACGTGCTTCGTGCACCGATCAGCGCGTCATTCGGACAACCCTAGAGCATGTATGCACAGCATTTGAGGTTGAAGGCTCGCGGCCTCCAGGGCTGTTGGTAGTTGGTGTCAGCTGCCATGTCTTGCATCAACCTAATGAGCAGAAATGGGTTGTTGAAGAGGGATTCAAGGGTCTGGATGAGCTACGCGATCCGGCCACAATGAATGAGCAGGATTGGAAGGATTTCTAGATGGCTTATGGCCATTGATTGATAATGATCCAACAGATTATGATCATGATGATTATTTTGGTTTCAACAACGGAGTTGGATGTGGGATAAGAAAAGTAGAGATACCCGTATATAGATTTAAATTCATGAAATTCCATTCTATTAGTTTCCTGGTCTTCTCATTTCACATGAAAGTCACGGGATCCACGCCGCTAAAGAGTGGACTCCAACAACTTCGCCGATCATCCGACATCAACGTCAACAACCACCATCAACTTATCGCATCATGACTGGAGATAACAAGACTTACGTATCTAACGGACAAGTACTTGGAGGGTATGTTAAAATAACTTAGCTTCATCGAAGGGTCACCACCGCGGAGAAGACGAAAGAGATAAGCAGCTAACAAGTTCGATCTGTCGCAGACCACCGGTCTCCGTTCGCATCTCGCGCTTCTTCGAGTCTGTCTATATCTTTTTCGGTCTTTACTTTACAACCCTTCTCTCGGTACGTTCTCTTTTCTTCGTTTTGATAGAGTGGTGGGATTAGTTGCATCGCGACTGTGCACCATCCATCAACCACGTCATTCTACGACTACGATAAATCAGAACATAGCTGACTCTGCTACTTTCTCTATTAGTTCGATCCCTATACCACCGCGCAAAACTCGCAGTTCAACATTTCCCGCAGAGGAGGTAGATTGGGAGGTAACAGCTACGGATCTGGCGGGGGTGGCGCAGGAGGTCCCGGTGGTCCTGGAGGTCCTGGGCCAAGAACAGGAAGGCTTGGGCGGGTGGATGATATTCGGGGACCGGAGTGTGGTTCTTGCCGAGGATGATGATGAAAGGTTTGGATGGCAAAACAAACGCTTGCGTCCAGAATTGAGCGTGCTTTGATACCAGGTCTGTTGACGAGGGTGTCAGTGGGTAAAATGAAATTGTTATCTTGAACTTTCTGGGGTTGTAGGAATGAGCCGTTCGTTAAATGGCTTTTCTCTGTCTTTTCTGGTAATGACACCCGTGGCTCTGGTACGGGATGAGTTCCGTATTTGCTTGGACGAGGGTCATCGCTGCATCATGATGCAGTATTATTCACGTGGCCCTCGATGTTGCGCATCCAAGGCGAAGCCAATTCGAACCCGGTTGTCTTGGGAAAACATCTGCAGGTTAGCTAGAATCCGAATCACTTGGTATGTTCTCTCGTTGAGTCTTAGGGGCGGCCATTGACATTCATATAGGTACCTGGCCAATGTATAATACCATGACTTCGATCAGCATTCCCAACAACAACGCCGACTGGGCGGCACTGACCTCGACAATGCGAGACTCCCTACCCAGCACCTACAATGTATACCATACCCCACGCCCCGGCATTATCTATCGTTCTCTCGACCATACTCTAGTGCTCGATTCCGCAACGGAGAAAGACATAGAAAAACTCTGCTCCGAGGCCCAATTCCACCGATTCGCCTCAGTTTGCGTCCGTCCCAAGCATGTACGCCAGGCAGTACGAAGTCTCGAGAAAGCCCAAGAAGTTGCCATTGACTGCGTCGTGGGTCATCCGGACGGCAAGCAGGACACAGAATCCAAAGAAGACGAAGCACGGATCGCGCTCGAGCAGGGCGCGACGGAGATCGACATGGTTGTTAACTTCTCGCTCCTGAAACAAGCAAGGTACTCAGAGGTCTACGCGGATGTCTTGGAGGTGCGCAAGATCGCAGTAGACGCTAAACTGAAGGTCACTCTTGAGACGCCGGTGTTGACTCGCGACGAGATCGTCGCGGGTTGTATCATTGCGAGCCTCGCGGGCGCGGATTTTGTCAAAACTTGTACGGGGACTAGGGAGCCGTACCCGTCAACTGAAACTGTGAGTTTGATGAGGGCTACTGTCGATGCTATTGGTAAGGGAACTAAGGTCAAGGCGAGTGGTGATTTCAAGACTGCGGAAGAGATTATTCAGATGATGAAGGCTGGGGCTGATCGGGTGGCTAGTTCTTCATCGGCGGATATTTTGGAGGAATTGAATAGCGAGGAATTGCACGAACAGGGTGCATCACATTCCATGTATTAGTCATTGTGGTGTTATATATTAAAAGTAGCTGTCGAGGTTGAATTCATCCGCTTTCAGTCTTTCTGTATTGTCGGTGGAGCACGACGTCATCGCCCAGGAACCACAAAAATTTTTGGAAAGGCGGGACTCTGCTTTTCTCCGATCCCATTAGACCGCTGTCACAACCAGCATATCCTAGTTTAGCTCTCCTTTCAGCTAACCTGCCTCTCCAAGATGAAAGGGCCCAATGCCAAGGTACGTGTGTCCGCTATACCTGCCCTCGTGCACCCGTTGACACACCCGAAGAAGCGCAAGACGTCCCAAGACCAGAACAATGGCCGAAATGACAACCAAGACGACATCTTCACCTCGAAGCCCACGGCCGTTTTCACTCCAAAGGGAGGCCGGTCGCATACCCTGAGCATTGCGATTCCGGGGAGTATTGTGGCCAAGTATATCTTCTGACCCTCGAGTCAACAATGAACTTGAGCTGACAATGTATCTTGTTTGCGACAGCTGCCATTCCGTCGAACAGAAATCATTCCTTGCCGGAAGTATCGCACGAGCCCTCGCCGTTTTCTGTGTCGATGAAGTGATCATCTTCGATGACGATGAGAAAAGCATTAACACCAAGAAGAACGATAACGACTCGAACGACGCCAACGAATCCCCTATAACCAAACAGAAGCATCAAATCAGCAGGGACGACTTCCAACCGGGAGGATTTACCGCCTATTCCGATCCCTCGCATTATCTCGCCCATCTACTCTCGTACCTCGAAACCCCGCCGTACCTGCGGAAACATCTCTTCCCCATGCACCCCAACCTGCGAACCGCTGGTTTACTACCTAGTCTGGATATGCCACATCATCTGCGCGCGAACGAATGGTGTGATTACCGGGATGGGATCGCTGTCTCTGAAACAGTCGTGGACACCGGGTTACCGCAGAAAGTGAACATTACGAACGAGCAGTTTTCCGACCAATCGCGCGTCACTGTGCGGTTTTCGTCCCAAGATGATCCGGAGAACGCAGAAGCCGTTGAATTCACCGCACCTCGTACGGAGGCTGGTTATTACTGGGGTTACTCCGTGCGCCGCTGTGGTCCTCTCTCGTCTGTCTTTACGGAGTGTCCGTTTGACGGCGGATACGATCTCTCCTTTGGTACATCAGAGCGCGGATCACCTCTCACCGAGATCCTGAAGCAAGATGAAGGCGATGGTGGTGGAGGCGATTTAGGATATAAGCATCTCCTCATAATATTCGGCGGTGTCGCAGGTCTCGAGACCGCAGTTCGGAACGACCACCAACTGCGCGATATGGGTATTCGTCCGACGGAGGCGGAGAAATTGTTTGACCATTGGGTGAATATCCTCCCCGGACAGGGGAGCAGGACTATTCGTACGGAGGAAGCTGTCTGGCTGGGCCTGACGGGTTTACGGGGGTTGGTTGAGGGGACGCATCGGCTGAGAGGGTCGTCGTAGAAAGGAAAAGTTCATACCCGTGTATCGTCAAGTGTTTGATTGCATGCTAGATCTATATACATGTTGATTTTATAGGTGTTTCCAGGCGCATGGCATTTCGCCTTATGGGGAAGACAAAAGAGTCAATATATTCACAAGTCGAGTTCCGAGCACACAGGAGCCATTGTATCAAATCTTTCTATATCTGAACAGCAGGTTTGCTGTCGCCTCTGTCCGTACCACAGAGATCTTGAACCAACAGATTGCTGTAGGGCTTACATGATTCCATCAGTTGAGGTGGAAGAAAGGTCAAAACATTATTCTATATGCAAATTATACGAGGGACAGAAGAGAGTGAAGTGAGCAGAGTAAAGAAAAGGTAATGGAACCAATTACTTTAAAAGAAAAAAAAAAAAAAAAAAAAAAAAAAAAGGATATTGCAGTCCTGGGTATTCAAAGTTGAACATTTACATTCAGACTAAAAAATCACCGAATGGTATAACCACCATCAATCTTAATATCCGCACCATTAATCATAGCACTCGAGTCCTATTCACCAGTTAGCCTTAACCAACCCGAAGCCCCCTTCAAAACTCACCTGACACAAGAAAAGCACAGAATCCGCAACCTCCTCCGGCATCGCAAACTTGCCTGTTGGAATAGCTTGCAAAATAGCCTCTTTCACAGAAGGCTCTCCCCAAGCCTTCTGCGCCAGTGCCGTCCACGCCACGGTAGGCGATACTGTGTTCGAAGTAATACCACGACCTCCCCACTCAGACGCCATAGAGCGCGTCAAGCCCAGGAGAGCTGCTTTTGAGGCGCAGTATGCGCTCTGCTTTGGTAGCGCTACATGCGCTGCCTGTGATGCAATGTTGACAATCCTGCCTGGTGGGGGAGGACTTGTCGATGACTCTGCGACCTTTGACGCGGAGAAGTACAGCCGTGCGAATGCTTGTGAGCATAGCATTGGGCCCATCACGTTGGTGGTGAGATGTTTCATGGTTTCTTCGGGGGGGGTGGTCTCCATGTCATTTAGAGATACGTATCCCGCGGTGTTAATCAGGATACTTGGGAATGCCCGCTCGCTTGGAGAAGACGTCGACGGCGCGACCATCTCTTTCTCCAATGTGTCGAACGCCGACTGCACGGATTCCGGAGATGTGATGTCGCATGCATATGCCCGGATATTGTCTGCTGTATTCGGGACTCCCGCGTATCCAGCCTCAAGGAGCTCGTCTCGACGGTCAGCCTCGAATGGGGCATATAGGATCGCAAGGCGAGCGCCTTGTTGTCTGAGCTTTTTGCCTATGCTCGAGCCAAGGCCACCTGGTGTGTCATTGAGTCAACATGTCTTCACTAGCCATTTTGATAATCTCGATACCTACCTAGACCTCCGGGGATAATTGCTAATCTGCGCGCGAATGCCATAGTTTTTAGGGCAAAAATGTATGGTATGTACAGAATAGGTACAATACGAACGATGTTCAATAGTACATATACAGACCCCAATATATACAGCCGGGAATGCGAATTTTTACAAGATGTGGCCAGAATCAGTGGTTCCTTTCATGAGCCCCTCCATTTTATGCACTCGGGGGAGCTCCGATCCTCCGATTGCTCTTAATAACCCCAATTACCCCAGGAGTATGACGTTGGGATCCACTTTTGACCGCAAAAGTAACTCTTTTGGGGATCTTAATTGAACATCGGGCTTAATAAAGTCACGTGATGTTGTGCTTGGCACGTGACTTTCATGCCCTTTGTAGTACACGAGTTCTACATAGACAACACCTGAGAATGCGAAAGCGTAGGTATAAAAAATTCATAACCATATATTTCCTTAAGCCAGAAACTAGTCCACACTAAACTATGTCCTTCAACATAACTAAAACAGAAATCCTCACAACCATCACCTCAAAGCACTCAATCCGCATCGTTGCCATAGTCCTCACCTTCCACCCCAACCCAGAAGATTGCATATCCTCCTTACTCCCTTCACACTAACCTGCCTGGCAACCCACCCACCTAACCCGCCTCCTCACTGTCGACGCATACCCCCGCCATACATTCACCGTAACCGACATCAACAACCACCGCTACGACTACAGCACTGCGCATAAAAGGATTCAGTTTTGCTGGTTTATGTACTGGGGTTGTCGAGGAGTGGGAAATGGAGGTTTTTCAGGCGCGTGTCGGAGGACAGGAGGGTCGCGCTGGATATTGCGGAGTTGCATTGGAGTAATGGGCAGAATCCGATTTCGTTCTTTGCGAGCCATATTGATGGGCAGTTTATATGAATCTAAAGAAAGATTGATGATGGGTGAGTATGTTTATACATATAAAGGTATATTACACTACCGCGTCAACTTAAATGCCTAATATACATAACTCATAAAGAAGGAAATCTAAACAAACAACGAGCTCCCCGGCATAATCCCTTCAACTCCAGTCTCCCCCTCAATTATCGACCCCAATTTCCTAGCCCGATCCTCCAGAATCAACTTCTCGGCCTCCCACCGTTTCCGCTCAAGCGCTTTAGCCTTAACACTTTTTTCTCCTCCGAACCATGCACTCTGCGCTTTATCAGCAACTTGGATTTCTTCCCGCTCAGCGCGCGCTACCAAGTTACCAACCATAGTTCGCCAATTTCCGAGGCCAACTTTGAGACACTCTGCGCAGCGTTGGCGGGGATTATCATCGGAGTCAATCGCTGGAGAGCCCAGTTCGAAGATGGTGGATTCGGCGGTATCGACGGCGTCGCGGGTCCAGGCTAGGCCTGTTTCTTTGGAGGAGGATGCATAGATAATTTCGCCAATGTAGGTCATAAGGGCTGCTTCGTCACAGAGGGAGGATGGGGTGCGGAGGGGCGGGTCATTGCCGGATGGTGGTGGAGGTGGGTATTCGGCTGGGACGAGCATGTTTCTGATGGAGTAGAAGAGGGAGGAAATGGCGTCGTCGTTTGCTTTAGCGGGGGAGCGGAGCGCTGGGGTTGTTGATGTGTCACCGGGTGTTGAGGAGCGGCGGGCTTTTAGGACGGAGGTGAAGATGGACAAGGCGTTGGATAGATTGCCCTGCTTGGCATGGTGGACTGCAAGAGCTGTCGAGACGCGAATGACATTCTCAGACACGGGTGCGTTGCTGTTGTTCTTCAACACACCAGTCTTCCGGTCCACGACCTTGCCCGCATCCACAGATAATCCCGTAGCCGCAATATCCATAGCCCACTTATACATATCCCCCGCTGTCTCCTTCAATCCCTTATAATCCAACCAGTCCGCATAAGCCAGCGCAGCATCAACCTTCTGTCCCGTTTCAAACCCATTCGTCGTCAGGATCTTGATATAAAACGTCTCCGCACCCGGCGACGCAGCCTCACTATCCTCCTCCCTAGGCACCTTCTTCTGCCCAGCAGGCATAGGCTTGGGTCTCGGATTCGACGGACCAACCACATACTCCGCAGGAGCAGAAATCCTCTGCTTCCGATCCGTCAACCACCCATCAAGATTCTCCGCGGCCTTGGCCGACCCCATGAGCGCCTGGAAATACCCACGTCTCCACGGTTCACTCTTCCCAGAGACATCAAACCCAGCCTCTCCAAATTCAAGCCCCTTCCCTTCCCCATTAAGGTCTTCCAACCGCTCAATCAACTCTCGCAGATACCCCGCAACCATGGGCCAATTCGTCATCAACTTTCCAATGTCCTCGGGATGCATCAACGCCCGCGCAGACCGTAAGCACCACCGACTCTTCCACGTCCATTCCTCCGGCGTTGGCCACTGATGCTCAATGCCTTCCTGGTACATTCCCAGCTTGATCACCTGGAACAGCACCAGGATCGCATAGAATGATAAACCAATGCGGAGGCCACGAGAGATACGGCGGCGGTAATAATCGCGGCTTTCCGTCGACATAAGACGCGCAAAATGTTGGCGGAGGTGTATTGGCCATGGTGTGAGACGACTGCTTGTGCTGAGGAAAGGAAGTTGAGGGCGGGTTAGCGCGGGGGAGAGAAGTTGATGGTTCGAGGTTTGGGTGAAGGGTCGGCTTTGGTGGTGGACATGAGGTCGGATGCTTGGGGGTCGTAGGGGTCGAATAATTTGAGGTATTCGGCTGGTATTGCGTGGCGGTAACATTGTGTCCTTGTGGTGTTGATTTGAAGTTTTAAGAGGAATTCGGTCATCAGTTATCGTGAAGTCGGCAGAGTCAATTTGTGTTTGTAGTGTTTGCATGGTTTGTTACGTTTGGATTTATCACATGATTTTCTCAGGAACTACTACGGCTTGGAGTTCTACTGGTACTCTGAGGGAGCAGTATGATAAAAGAAAATTACAGTCATATTCTATTAACAAAGGAAATTTTATTCATACAGAACATCTGTATCCAACCCAAACCAAAACAATCCCAAAGCGCCAACGCTAATTTACGCACGGTCAAAGTAGCCCTCGCTCTCGAGCATGAGAACGATTTCGTGAACAATGCTGCGAACACTCTGCTTGGAGACGTCGACGGTGAGGTCAGCGTCGGTGGGAGCCTCGTACGAGTCATCAACACCGGTGAAACCCTGGATCTCACCAGCACGAGCCTTGGAGTAGATACCGCGCTTGTCGGTCTTCTCACAGTACTCGAGCGGGGTGTTGACATGGACGAGGAAGAACGAGCCACCCAACTGGGAGACGGCATCACGGGCGGCTTTGCGCGAGTGCTCGTGGGGGGCAATGGGGGCGGCGATGACGGCGGCACCGGCGCGGGTCAGCTCACCAGCGACGAAAGAGATGCGCTGGATGTTCTTGTGGCGGTCCTCGCGGGAGAAGCCCAGCTCGGAGGAGAGCTCGTGACGGACAGTATCACCAAGGAGCAGGGAAACGGAGCGACCGCCCTGCTGGTTCAGGGTAGCCTGCAGAGCACGGGCAATGGCGTCCTTACCGGAGTTGATGTAACCGGTAAGGAAGATGGTGAAACCCTGCGAAGCACGAGGAGGGTTCGACTCGCGCAGGATCTTGACGACCTCGGGGTACGAGAACCACTCGGGGATGTGAGCACCGGTGCGCAGACGCTTGCGGAGCTCAGTACCAGAGATATCGAGGGTGCGGACACCAGCGGGGACCTCGTCCTTGGGACGGTACTCGTCGTCATCGGGGCAGTAGGTGACCTGCTGGAATTCGACGACCTCGATACCCAGTTCGGCCTTGTACTTCTCGACGGCGTGCTGAGCATCATAGGGACCGTAGAATTCCTCGCCCTTGGAGTTCTTACCGGGACCGGCGTGGTCACGACCAACGATGAAGTGAGTGGCACCATGATTCTTCCGGATAATGGCGTGCCAGATGGCCTCACGGGGACCACCCATGCGCATGGCCAAGGGCAGGAGACCCAGGACGGCCATACCGTTGGGGTAACTGGGGAGGAGAGCCTGGTAGGCACGGACACGGGTGAAGTGGTCAATGTCACCGGGCTTGGTCAGACCAACGACGGGGTGGATGAGGACGTTAGCCTGCTGGGCGCGGGCGGCACGGACGGTCAGCTCACGGTGAGCTCTGTGCATAGGGTTTCTGGTCTGGAAAGCGACAACTCGGTTCCAGCCGAGCTTGTCGAAGTGAATGCGCAGCTCTGCGGGAGTGTACCGCAGAGCGACATAGTCGTAGTGGGCGAGCTTGTTGACGGCCTCGATCTTTCCACCAATGTAGAACTCTTCAGTCTTGTTGTAGAGGTACTGAACGGCGGGGTGATCCTCGTCACCACCAAAGACAAGCTTAGCTTCCTTTTGCCTGTATTGTGTTAGTTTTCAGGTTATACAGCAGACCAATGGTGTAATTTGCGCCATAAACACCCCGAATCACCGGACTGCGGTCGGGCCACTCCCATATTCCAAATATCGGCGAGTTTCCGTACCAAGTGGCGGGGGGACTTCGGGAAGATGGAGGAGCAAAAAGAGAAAAGAAAAAGAAAGAGAAAAAGAAAAAGAAAAAAAAAACTCACTTGTCGGGGCGATAGATGTCGTCAATGGTCAGGATAGCCAGGTTCCGGTCGTCACGGAAGTCGCGCAGGGTAATGCGAGCACCAGGCTGCAGGTTGTTGTCGGAGACGGTCTGCTGGGAGGCATCGAGGGTGATGGGCATAGAGAAGAGGTTGCCATCGGCAAGACGGACGTTCTCGCAGACACTTGATGAATTAGTATTCGCTTCCTTTTTTCTCGACTTTCACGTATAAAAAATACCTGCTCCAGTCCTTCTCGTTCATGAAGCCTGCACTGATCAGCATCTGCACTGCGCTGCACCCCACCATTACAGGAAATTAAGACATACCCTCAAGAGGAGAGAAACCACCGTTCATAACCAGTTCAAGATCGCACAACTGGCGCTCATTGAGAACGACAGCAGGCAGAGTCTCGGCCTCAGCAGAGAGCTCATTGTTACGAGGGGCATCGCGGGCGAGAAGGTCCTTGAGGACACCACCGTGAGGAGAGTTGGCCATTGTGTATGATAGAGAATGAGAGAATGAGATGAGATGAAGAGGCGAATATGGAGGAGAAGAGGGGGGGGGGGGGAAGAAGAAAATAAGAAGAAAAACAGGACAGGTTTATTTTATGCTCCAAATGGCAGTGGTGGAGCTCGACTACGTACGACAGTCGATTCTCATTTTCGCACGGCCGTTTCCATGGTTAATATTCTTGGGAATATCATTTGTACACTGAGGCTTAACATAACAACTTTTGTCATAGCCTTACGGTATGGCGTGCTTGTCAGATATTTGTGCTGTACGATAGATATCCTACTCTTCATGCCCTCTGTATGCGGATACTACACGAACGACGTCTCCGAGGAAATACATACAACGACTCCGGAGGACTTCTATCCAGTATCTTCTACAGCACTCAGACTCGATCGTCACGATTTTCAGGGGGCCTGAGGCCGTCGCGGTTTCGCATACGTATGCTCCCCCTTCTCCTGTTCATCTGTCATCTGTAGAGTGTCTAGTCCTCAACCAACACAGTAAAAGTACAGACACTGCCAATCTTGATACTTGTATCTGTATCTCATTCTTCTAGAACGCTGTAACCGCCGTCACGTGGCGCTTGGGATCACGCCATTGCCCACCGCCTTTGCGTGATCCCGACGACGTTGGTCTTGGCGACACGTGACTTGGCTCTATTTGGCAATTCTCACCTTAGAATAATGATTGTCAGGAGTGCAAGTCTTTATATACATAGTGCTCCAGCATAATTTTTGTCTGAGTACTGGTGCTTACTAGTCAGGGATACCCCTCCTATGGCTAAGAGTATATGCATCTGGTATACGAATGCCGAAACAAACGCATACTCATCTGACGCATTCCGGACAGGCGCTGTCTCATGTTTGCTTGATGTAAAGTATCTGCAGAAAGTAAACAACCCTTCTCTGGCATAATCGCCCTCTTAAACCGGGTGCGTACCACATGCCTCATCTCTATTACGGAGTCCATCTTGCCAGGGGTCCGTTCAAATTGCCAGACGTTTAATTGCATTACGTACACAAATGTACTGTCCCAGTCTACCCCGTAAGAACAATAAAGACTACCATTCCATAGTCCCTGGTCCCTGTTTCCACAGCGGCTGAGCCCGTGTGGGTTCTGTGATTTGACATTCACTGACCCAATGCCTCTGTGAAACAGCATCCGTACTCAACAGATTCGGCTACGTATAAATTGCCCTGTTGATCAAGGGACTAAGATCGACCTGAATATGCAGGCAATACTGATAAGATTGATAAGATCCAACCACGCTCCCGTATGTCACCATGGTCTATAAACGAACTAAGAAACTTGAAGACTCAGACCGGACTATATGTCTTTTGTTAATGATTAGCAAGAGGTATGATAGCCTCTGCAAGGCTAGCTATGTTCATTTAATGTGTATTGTGGTCACGGTATGAATCGAAGAGAAAGACGAGAAGCCTTCCCTTCTTTTTTTTTTTTTTTTTTTTTTGCTCCCTTTTTTATCCTCCTTTCCCGCTTTTCGTTTCAGCAGTCTTGTGCAGGCTTTCCATTCAGATCGTGGGTGCTGATATTGATGGTACTTCGGTATAAGATATGTCGAAATTTATCTTAGCACTAGCACTACATAAAGCATAGAGAGTTGCCAAGAATAACAACGTAGCGCTAGGAAGATTATAAGAGTTGTTTGAGTATAACAAACTGGACTAGATAATGATGACCGTTTGATGATGTTGCCCCTTGATCTCTTAAAGCCCCCCCCCCCCGGTACAGGTATACAAAGTACAGTTAAACCCCGGTGGCACGATATTCATTAAACCAATATTCGCACTTAGCCGACACTATTCACTTGCACTGATTCCCTTTTTGCTATACATAGTACCCCCAGTAAGACGGCACTCGCTTTAGAACGATAGTAGCAGCTGGATAGAATGTATCGTCTTAATGGAGTTTGACTGTACTACCCCGGAATAAAGACCTCCGAAATAGGGCTAGCGCCCCACAGCACGTAGTACGATTTACCGGTATCGGTCAAGCGAAACACACAGTGAAAGAGAAAGTGAAAAGAAAGCGAGAGGCAATTGTATAAACAGTTATCTATCATTCATTATAGTCATTTCTAGATAGGCAACTTTTGGCCAATTCGCTATACAAAATCCGATAGTCCCTGGATTCGAATTGACATAATTCCGAAATCGTTAAAGCAAACCCCGCAATGGTATATAATCCTTCAAGCACAAAAACGCCGCCAATGTAGAGATACCCAAATGTCAAACGCCATATCCAATGCAAATTAAAACGCGAGAGAAGTTCATGTCAGCATATGCTTATTGAGCAGTCGAGAGTTGTGTTTGCAATGCAGACGTGAGAGCTTCTTCTTGTCGCTTGCGTTCCAAGTCCATGAGGAATTGGGCATACTTTGACCGTGGGTTGTGAATACCACACTCGGTCTTCTCCTGGCCTTTCCAACGACCGGACCGTTCGTCCTCGTTCTCCTTGACGGGCTGTGTCGAGTGGTAGTCACCGACACTCTTGTAGCCGCGGTCGAGAAGCTCGTTGTAAGGTACGTCGTTCTCCTTGACATATTGCTTGACTTGATCGAAGGACCAGTTGGCGAAGGGATTGATTTTGATGAGACCAGCCTCGTCAACCTCGATCACGTCGAGGTCACCACGCTTGCCGCCCTGGCTGCGACGGCGGCCAGTAAGGACAGCGTGGACATTGAGTTCCCGGTAGGCACGCTGGGCGGGTTCAACCTTGGCAACCCAATCGTAGAATTGGTCATCGGTCTCCCAAAGGCGAGGACCGAACTTCTTGGCGAATTCCTCCTCCGAGTTGACGCCATCGGGCTTGTAGACGTGGATGTTGTTGTTGGGGTACCTTCTACGGACGCGGTCGACAAGGTCAAGAGTTTCTTTAAAATGATGAAGTGTGTCGAGGAATATAAGGTCGACAACCTGAGGACGAGGGACCTCAAGCTTGGACAGCATGTCGAGGGACACGAGACCAGTGAGACCAAAGGCAGTGGTCTGGAAAAGATGGGGGAGAGAGGTAATGCACCATCTCAAGACATCTAGAGACAGATGTGTTAGCCGATTCGTCCGAAGACCTTCGGTTTGCTGATAGGTAACACTAACCTTGAGGTTCAAGGAACTGCAACTGTCTGTTGAGGAATTGCAAGTGCGGCTTAGTGAAGACGATCTCAGGCATGTAGTCCTCGCTAGAGCCGCCACTGACATAACCAGACTCTGTTTGGCTGTCTCTGGCGTCAATGGCATCCTCAGAGTAGTTGATGGGAGTCTTTGCCGGCATTATGTCTGAATGTTTGGAACGGAGAAATTTTTCGAAGAGGCGAAAGGAGAAGAACAAGATGAAGCTCAGACCAAATAGCCAAAGGTGTGTGTATATAGATTGAATGTCCACTACAGGGACTCTGGGGTATTAAATGGCAAAGAGATGAACGAAGACGATGATGGAGAAGTTGGGCAAAGGAGTCAATGGCAAAAGAGCCTGATATAAAGACGAGCGATTATGACATTATTCGCAAGGGAGCCAATTCCTGTCGTGCCCTCATTTCATACTGACTGGCCCCCTCCGTTCTGCCGCTTGCAATCACGACATCGCCCGTGACCGCCTTCCATATATGGGAGCTTTGCTGAAAAATTCAATTTCCTCATGTCCCCAGGAAATCACGCAATTCTTGCGCGTTCGGTCTCTGCGGTCACCTGGAACCGCTTATGTGAGCCGCATTGCCCGGCATCGCGCTGGATTCTGGAGGGTCCAGCAGCGAACACCGGAGAAGTTGAGCGAAAAAACAATCATCCGGCAATTGCATTCGGCTTCAGCTCAGGCTTTTGCTGTTCGGGATTTGCCTTTAGTCCATTGCTTGATAAGAAGGACATTGTCCTGATCTGGAATGACGTTAGCCAACGGTATCCTTAGGCGTAACGGTGGTGCAAGAAAATCCACACAGCTTAAGCCAAATTCAATCTACCTTATTGTTTAGTATTAGCCGCAAAATGCTTGGCCAGTTCTATACTGGCCAGCGTAATAGACATGGTCAGCATCATCTGATACCACACTGGCTTTCCCCCATTGCCGTCCAGATTGACAGCCGAGATTTTCCATCGCAAGGTCTGCCGCTTTCTGCCCGGCGGTGAAAAAAAAACAGCAGCACGTGATTCTGTATCAGGTGGCCCCACGTGCCACCGTTCGTCGATCGCCGCATCTGCAAAGAATTCCCGACCGGACGACAGGCACTGAACGTGTGCTCCGTACGCTGGCAAGATCCCCGAGAGAGTGCGATTTAAACGGTGCGCGCTAGATTGGTGGTTTGAGAGATAATCCGCTTCGATTGTCCGTTTCCGTTATCCCCCTCCTGTCAAATTCGCGACGTGCGCATAATGGCACAAGCCAACCCCACCGGAACATCACGTCCAGTGCGGCCGTCACTGCGACATACCCTCTCAGGCACTTCTATTATCCAAGACCATCAGCAATACAAGCCCCAAGCTCCTATTAACCAGAGCATTGGGGATGTCTTGGGCAGTGCTGCCGAGCCCGCCCGGGGGCCGCTCACGTTCAATGCCAACCCGATTAGCCCGGATCCCGAAAAGGTGACCGACAGCGGCATCATCCATAGCATTTTTGATCATCAGGCCAATCCTCTTCCTGCCGGTACTCCCCAGTTGGTCGCGACCATCTACTACAAGTCCTCCGATCCAATTCACCCTCATCTCCATCCCGACGTATCTGGAAATGTTCGATCTGGAGACAAACTTCCGTCCCCCATGGTTCCCGTTGGTTCCGCCCCGACGGTTGACATTGAGAAAATCCCACGGGAGCCCCCAGCGCCAGAACCGGAGCCGCTTGACCACCTTTACGGGCCATTTGTATCGCAATTGTGCTTGACCAACTTCCTACAAATCTTAGAAACCCTCCCCACTCCGTATCAGCGCATGAACACATCCCACCGTTGTCTGGACCAGGATGACCAGCCCCGTGTGGTCGAGGTCACATTCTCACCGCCCCCGAACCCAAATTACCTTACTTTTGCGGACCTTAGGAAACATGAGAGTATCTGGCGTTTTGAGCGTGAATGGAATGTGGAGGTCGTGCTACAGAAGGAGAGCGTCTTCCGTCGGCATAAGCGGCTAGCAGTGTTTGATATGGATAGCACTCTGATTCAGAACGAGGTTATTGATGAGATTGCCAAGTTCATCGGAGTAGAGAAGGAGGTGTCGGTAAGATACCACTACGTATGCGTGCGTCCTTGCCGCGATTGACACTGACTGTTAATTCCAGGAAATCACGGAACGTGCCATGAATGGCGAGCTCGACTTTTCGCAATCACTCCAGGAACGTGTTGGCTTGCTCAGAGGGGTTCCGGCGGATGTGTTCGACAAGCTGAAGTCTGTGATCACTATCTCTCCCGGTGCGCGCGAATTGTGTAAGAGCTTGAAGGCTCTTGGTTTCAAGATGGCCGTCCTGAGTGGAGGCTTTCAGCCGCTGGCAGAATGGCTCGCTAGCGAGCTTGGTCTCGACTACGCTTTTGCCAACCATGTTCGTACCATCTCCCTCTTCTCGTTACATACTCAAGACTAACCCTCTCACAGCTGGAAGTCGACCCCACATCTCAAACCCTAACCGGCAAACTCGTCCCAACTTTCCCCATCATCCACGCAGAGCAAAAGCGCTCCCTCCTCTACTCCCTCGCCGCAGAAAACAACATTCCCGTTTCTCAGACCATCGCCGTTGGCGATGGCGCCAATGACCTGCCTATGCTCCACGCCGCAGGCCTCGGTGTCGCCTGGCGCGCCAAGAGCAAGGTGCAACTTGAAGCACCCACCCGTCTCAACGGTGAAAGCCTAACGGATGTTCTCCACCTCCTTGGCCTCGACAAGAGGGATCTCAAGGAGTTGACGGGCGAGTTGGTCGATGATGCATGATGCTACTAGTTCTGTTTGAGCAAATGGCCGTAGATCTTGTCCGCACTACGGTGGTTGTGTGGGAATTTCCTTGCATAGTATCTCAACAGTAGTATACCTTATCCCTTCCTCCTCTCCTCAGGATAGAAGGACGGGGAAGGTATTCTTGTCGTCTAGTAAATAGCAGCATAAGAGGCGTAGGAGGGGTTACGCTGATATTTATCTCGGGATGATGTCTATTATTTTGGAACGTACTTTATTTACTTTTTGCATATATGTCTATACCACTCTTGTCCATTTCGGGTTACTTGGAAAGAATTTGTCATTCAAATTTTTTTGGTTAAATTTGTTTTGGTTTCCAAGTCTATATCCAGTGATGGCCCAATCCATCATGAGTACTATACAATTCAGACGGAAATAGGCCTAACTCAGCATCAAGCAGTCATACCCTAATATGATCATGACCAAAAAAGCGAAATAACCAGCGCCGTTGAGTATGAGAAGAACAAATGAAACATGTAGTCGGGACATATTATGCGTTGAGGCTTTCGATATGGAGAAAAGAAAAGCATGCAAGAACCAGAAGAAAAGTGCAAATAGAAACATTGCTCAACGAGTAGCCTCATCCACGGCAATTGTCTTATCACTAACAGTCTCTGCGCTTCTGGCACCGGCGCGTCTCTTCTTCAGTACGTTCTCGATGAATGCCTCACCGGCCTTGTAACTGCTGCGAACAAGGGGTCCTGATGCGCAGTAGAGGAATCCCATGTCAAGGGCACGCTGGCGCCAGAGCTCGAATTGGTCAGGAGTGACATACTCATGGACAGCCATGTGACGCTTCGTCGGCCGCATGTACTGGCCGAAAGTGACGACATCGACATCAACAGCGCGAAGCTGGCGGAGGGTGTCCCAGAGTTGCTCTTCTGTTTCTCCAAGACCAAGCATGAGCGACGTCTTGGTTATGAGGTCCGGTCTGGCCTTCTTTGCAGCATCAAGCACGCGGATGGATTGTTGGAACTTGGCACGGCGGTCACGGACTTGCGGCGTCAGGGCTTCGACGGTCTCGACGTTATGCGCGTACACGTCCAGTCCAGAACGGGCAACGAGGGAAACCATCTCCGTGTCCCCGGCATAGTCACCCGTCAAACACTCGACCAGAATATTGGGGGCCTTTTGCTTGATCTTGATGACAGTCTCGGCAAAGTGCCGGGCACCGCCGTCCACGAGATCATCCCGATCGACACTGGTTAACACTATATATCCAAGACCCCACCTCGAGATCGCCTCCGCTGTGTTCTCCGGCTCGTGCGGGTCGAGAGGCGGCGGTGCACGAGACGTCTTCACACTGCAGAACCGACAACCACGGGTACAAGTATCACCCATAAGCATGATTGTCGCCGTTGCAGCGGACTTGTCATCACCACCCCAGCAGTCCGAGATGTTCGGACATCTTGCCTCCTCGCAAACAGTGTGTAAATTCAAACCCCGAAGGTCCTTCTTTAAGCGCTGGTAGTTGCTCGAATCGGGAATCGGCGTCTTCAGCCATGACGGTAACCGCGTCATCTCTTTCTTCTTCCCGGCAGGCCCGACAAGTGCCGTTTTGAGCTCATATGCTTCGGAAGGATCAAGCGGAGTCGAATCATTGCCGCCAGAGACAAAATCCGCAAACGAAGGGCCGGCGTTCAGCCTATCCTTGAATGTCGTTTTTCTGCGCAGCGTCGTCGGGGAACTGGTGGCGGATGGGGAGGGATCTGTAGTGGCATAACTGCGGACGCCGATTGGAATAGCGGTTCCAAATTGAGGGACAACCCTCGATGCGGTGTTTAAAAGGCGCAAACGGCTCGACGATACTGCTGCCATTGTGATGGTGTTACAATTGTCGAAAGGTTGTAAGAATTGAAATTCCGCGGGAAAGGTGCACCGACGCCGCATGATAACGGAATCAGTGGGTCATTATTACTCCGAGCTTAGTGATTGGTTATGTGCCTGAGGTGTGAATAACGTGCTACAAGACATTTATTGCTCTCCAAGTATCAGGGTATCGATGTTCTATCATTTGGCATATTCTGCTAACAATTATACATTAATAAATGTAGAAATTCTGAGGCATGACAAAATAATTCAAATTGATTAGAAAGTTCAGCTCATATCGCAAAGCAGGCAATAAGGGTATGAGAAAAGGCAATGATATCACAACATCAAAGATAAGAGAGAAAAACAAAAGAATGGCAGAAAGAATGGACGACGAATGAATGTCACAGGCTTAGGCCTTCTTCTCCAGTACCTGAGCGAGTACCGTGATAGCAGACTTCACCGTCTCATCGGCTTTTCCAGTAACCACAAACAACATGTCATTGACCATTGCATCTAAGTCTTTGCGAAGTTCTGTACTCCGCGACCCCATGACCTGGTCTTTTATCTGTGATGGCAATGCCTGGGCAAATCGGATACCTAAGTTAGGACAGTTCTTCCCTGAAGCAATGTTGAGCCGATGTGAAAATCTGCTATTTCGTCGGTGATTCGAGCACAGTTCGAAGATGTAGTTTCGGGCTATTAAAGAAGCGCAGAGACAGTCCAGCTGATATTCTGCGGCATCTGGGAAGACTTTCCGAAATTGGCGTATAAGTGATTTTTCGTTGCTTTCGCGCAGGAACATGATGACCGGGGATGTCAGTTTAAGCTTGCTTTCCGGGAAGTCTTTCACTGATTGTTCCAGTTGATCGATGGTCCATTCATGATCCCACCATTTTTCGAGCTGTTCTTGTTGTGATTTATTCGATGAAGTCCCAGGTGACGCGTCTGGCTTTGGTGCTAGCGTGGCATTGGGTGGCTGATCGGTTCTGTTTGGTGAAATGGATCGTTCTGAACTGATTGCTGGTTTCTCGCAGACAATAGTTGAGCTGACACTTTCGGAAGTTATTGAGCTCGCATATGTATAATCATCTTCCTTTTCGTCTCGACTATCATTCAGAGAGAAACACGCAAGATGAGTGGCATAGCCGCTGTCTGCGATATCAAGAGGCGTGTCAGGGCTAAATGCAGATATTTCTTGCTGCCGATGATCTGGTGTGGAAGGGACTGGATGCTGATGAGCAGGAACAGAACAGCTCATTAATGGCGATGACTGTCGTGATATGTCGACAAGCTTTGGCTTTGTTCTACTGGCAACAGCCAACTTCTGAGTCTGGTATTAGCCGATTTCCATTCCTTTCACAGAAAGGAGATACTAAACTTACCACATCCTTGACATCGTGTTTACTAGGAGGCGGGCTCACTTGAACAATCTGGAATTTCCGCCGACTGAGTTCCCTAGACTTCTCGTCCTTCACGTCCATGGCCTCTACACCCTGGAGCCAATTCTGACAGTACGAGAAGTTATCTGGTACCCAGCTCGCTTGGGTAGAAGTTGTCCCTGCTCTTGTCCTTTGCAATCTGCCAAGTGTTTCTTCCTCTCCAGTTTCCCTGCAGCTTGACGAAGGCGTGGTGGAGTCTGTTTCGGCGGATGAGGGCGTGGCTTCGCGGTCATTGGCATCGGCATTAGCATCCTCATATTGTTTGATAAGAGTGGAGTGTGCCATATGAACGTTCGTAATTTCTCCAGTTCTCTTTTGCTCTTCGTTTTGGATCTGAAGGCTTTGCTGCACGTTGCAGCTGTCGCATATCTTTCCTCCAGGCGCACAATCACATATTATGTTGAATTCAGGTTCATTCTCGGATTCAGACTCAGGCTTTGGCGAAAAATATGTGGAAGACGACGATGGATGTGACTCTCTTGAGTCCGATAGTGAAGGGCTAGGGTGCAATCGTCTGGGCTCTTTTGCAAATGTCGTTGTACTTTCACATGCTGGAGATGCTGGCAGCATCAGTTGAAAAGGCTGTTTCATTCTCTGTACGGATCGGAAAGGTGAAACGCAGATAGGTGTTCGGTCTGCTGGCCGTCGTGGGTGTTGCGACGTTGTATACTCTGCTTGCTCAAGTCGAGGGCTGGTCATGAACGAAAGAGAGCTATGAGAGTGCTGTCTTCTCCATGGCCGCAAATTTGGCGAATAGCGTGGCGCAGATGGGCTTGTGTTGTTGTGGTTGTGGCTGGGATTGTTGCTGTGAAGCATGAGATTCTCGTTCATGTAGTACGGGGGCATATCCCTGTTCGCATAGGATGGGACCATGTTGGCGGACAGAGAATGTTGGTGATAGTTATCACGAGGCGCTGGGGGTCGCATTGTTATGGGATCGTAGTTAGATGAGAGCATCACGGTACTGGCAAGGGCCAAGCGAAGCAGGAAGATCAATCAACAGGAATGCCTAGACGACGTCCAAGAAATAAAAATAAAACACTGTTATGACAGCAAAAACGGCCGGAGATTAGTTCCCAAGGAGAAATCGAGGAACCGACAGCTCCTTATACTACGCTAGAAAGAAAAATGCTAGCTACACATCCCTTGGTTGTCCTGGAAAGGACGACACGCCAGGTATATTGGGCATGTATACGCTCTCCCTTCGAGAGGATCGCCCAACATTTTGGGACATGAGGGCATCGCATCTCTCACAGGGTTACTACATGGCCGTCCTTGCATACCAGAAGGAGGTGAGATCCAACAACCGGGCCGACGATTGGGCGATGCTTCGATCCGTACCACCTGCAGAAGCATCAAAACGTGGATGGCCCCATCCTACGCAGGAGCTCCAATCTCGTCATAACACCCAGGGCAGCAACCGGAATGAGAGACAATCTCAAGGAGCCAATTCGCGGCTCCGACAGGCAATAAAGGATGTCATAGCCCTGTCTTTTCTTCCGATGACCAACCAGCGGGTGTTGCAATGGGCAATCAAATGCCCCTGCACAGACCCCTTGCGTGTGTAGCCGAAACGGCTATCATGCTTGGAGGTGGTCGCAGCATGTGCTTCATGTGCCGGAGCCAGGCAAATTGCGCCGGAAACAACCCTCTGTAGGTTATTTTAAGATGAAAGTACGGTAGAAACTTGAATATTGTTCAACGGCGCATATACGAAAGCTGTCCATCTGTACTGGAAGTGACAGTAGAAGACGTCGGGTCTCTTGAGAAAGGGAGTAGGGGTTGTAGAAGGATAGAGAAGGCTCCCAAACAATCCCCTCCTAGGATGATAAGCAAAGTCGACCAGTTGCGGTGCACTCCATGGAGGGAGAGATGGTCTCAGTTGCCCCATGGAGGAGAGTCGTTGACGTTAGTTGACTCGGTTTCCCGGTGAAGTCGGGATAGTCACATGATCGATATCAAATACATGCAAATAATGCAAACATGTGATGATCCGCTTTTGATATGCTAAAAAAAAAAAAAAAAAAAAAAAAGCCCGATCAGATTGACTGCAATTGATTCATCCTCCATATAATTTCCCCTTCATTTCACTATTGCAGCTCCTCATGCTCTCAGAGTGCTTCATCGCGTCGACTCTGACGTCTGGCAAAGCCCCTGCGTCAGCGTCGCTGAGAGATGTCGGTATCTGCCTCCAAGAGTTCCAGCCTGCACCCGCGCTGCGCTCCACCTTCAAGAAGAGCTCGACAGCGGCCAATTGTTTGGCAGTGAGCCCGTCACACGTGTTCGCGGCCCAGTCAGAGAAGGCGATTGTCCACGTCTATAGCAGAGAAAAGGGGAATCAAGAGGCAATTGTTCCTTTCCCGGAACGGATACGCAGTCTTGCGGTTGCGGGGGGTAGGAATGGCGATATCTTAGTGCTGGGAACAGAGGGCGGTCGTTTGATCTTGTGGGAGGTATGATATGCGCATTTGTGTACGTTTGGCGTTGCGAATTCTGACTGGAAGATCTGGTAGACCTGTACCGGACGACAAGTGGCTACAACGGCGTCGCATTTACAACCGGTAACCTCCCTCGTGGTCGATCGGGCGTCGAATTTCATTGTCTCTGGATCCTCAGATGCGAGTGTTCACGTGTGGTCGTTGGCAAGCATCCTCTCCTTCATCAAGCCCCCATCTGGCCGGGATCGGCAGCAACCAAACTCGCCCATCCGCACATTTTCAAACCATCGCGCTGCTATCACATCGATCGCATTGGGTCACAGCGCTGGCCGTTACAATATCGCTGTTTCGACTGCAAAGGATAGCACCGCGGTTGCCTGGGATTACCATACGGGACGTGTCTTGCGAACTTTCCTTTTACCCTCCTCAGCAACATGCGTGACACTGGACCCGGTTGACCGCGCCTTCTACGTGGGTTATGAAGATGGTAGCGTGCAAGGCATTGAGTTCTACAAAAACCAGTCTGCCCAACATCCTCTCCACGACCCTTCGCTACAGTCTACCCCAGTGCAGCCGTCAGCGGCGGACCGCTGGCTACCACCTTCGTCCGACACGGGTGCGGTCGAGTCGCTTGCACTTTCGTACGACGGCACTATCCTATTAACCGGCCAACGTAATGGAAAGGTTCTTTCGTGGAACGTCGCTAGACGGAAATACGCCACGATCGTAGCCGACTACACACACCCGGTCACCAACTTGTCGATGTTACCACTCAACGGATTACCTCACCCACCCCTCGAACTGACAAGAATAGCACATACGATTATCAAGCCCCGATATGACCAAGCACTCTCCGAATCATCGGTCAACCCAGGCGCAGTTCCTGCCGACTACGCCTTCCAAACCCGCCTCCTCCCCTCCTCAAAAGATACCCCAAAGCCCAAGACGAAGACAGACCCCTTCTCCGAAGCCCTCTCCCACGCCTTCTTCCCCGACTCAATGATGGAAGAAGGCCTCGCCGAACTCGCCGCCCTGAACCAGGGCCAACAACAACAATCCCCATCCACTGTCCACTCCACCCAAGCCCTCGAAGACACAACCGCCAAAGACACCCAAATCACAGCCCTTGAAGCCGAACTCTCCACCCTCAAGAAGAAAGCCACCGCCAGTGAAACTGCCCGCCAGACTACCACCGACGAAGTCACCAAGCTCCGTTCCGACCTGATCCACCTGCAGGGTTACATCAACGAGCTTCATCAGAAACAAGAGCAGACGCAGCGGGAGAAGGTGCAGAGACAGGCTAGGAAGGAGAAGCGGGAGATGAAGAGGAGAGATGCGTGGTTTGCGGCTGAGAAGAAGGGAAGGAATGGGGATGCCGTGGTGAAGAAGATGGATTTGGATGACGGGGCTCAGACTAGTGATTCGGATGATCAGAGTAGTGAGTGAAGGGGGGCATGGGCTATGTATTTTGTTTTGTGTCTTGACTTTAGATGACTCAACACTCAGACATGACGATACCCTGATGAGAGGAGGATGAAAAGACGAACAGATAGCGAAGATGGTCCGGCAATGGCTGAAATCATATGAAAAGGCAATCACCTAAGACGCGTTCATGTGAATAACGCGGCATTCAAAATAGTAAAGGTAGGGCTTTCTAGCAGGGCTTGAAGACTCATACCATTCTTCAAATAAAGATTTCATTGTACAAACGTAGACTATCATATCTATACACAATGCAACCAAAAAGAAAAGAAAAGAAAAGAAAAGAAAAAACTAAACTTATCTACATTAATATAAAGCCCAACGAAATCACCCAAAACAAAAAGTAATCCAAAAAAGGATGAAGGAAAGTAAGAAGAGAAATCTCCAATATACAACCAAACTTCAAACAAAGTTAACTACCAGCCTTCGTCCCATTCCCCATCGTAATTGTCCACTCATCAAAATCCAATGCAAAATTGGCCTGCATCCCTGATCTGCTCAGATCCACAGCATAGTTCCCACCACCTGACGTCAAGTATGTACTATTCAGATAGTGTCGGATGTCTTCTTCTGATTGGATCGCTGCGTTAAGCGTGCCTGTCATCTCGAAGATGTAGAGGATTGCGACTTGGGAGAATGTGAGGGCTTTCCGTGGCACGCTGGTCGCTGTGGCTGTGGACGTTGCTGCTGATGTGGATGTGGATGCAGAAGAGGTAGTTGGGTTGGTAGTTGATACTGTATTTGTTGGTGATGAGGTGGTTGATGTTTCAGATAATGATGATGATGTTGTTGTTGTTGACGTCTCGTGGGGCGGTGGCGACGCGGTGCTTATATCAGTAGCAGTGGGTAAGGACTCGGCTGTTGGAGAGGAGTCGTCGAAGACGATACCGTTCATTGTCGCGACAGTGTCTCGAGCAGCGAGTGTTTGTGATGGTAGGTCATCCAATTGCATAGGGAGGAACCGACGAGCCTTGCTCGAAACCGAAATATCACTGATCGATACGAGCTCATTTTGCGTCGTGCATGAGACATTATTCTTGCTGAAAAGAGCCATAATGGTAACCGGATCAAGGCGAATATTGAATGTTTCTTGGGAGTCCTGGAATAACTGCGGCAAATCACTGCCCATCGTCGCGGTATTTGACGTCGAACCTCCGTCGATATCAGTCGTGGTACAGCTACTGTCACCCGCGATAGTACACTGAGACCCCGTATACCCGTTTGTACAGACGCAAGAACAAACTGGCCCATTGGAGACGCTAACACCGCCGTTTTTGCAGGGGTGAGATGTTTCACATGTTGATTCCTTACTCACTTTTTCATTGGGTACTGCGACGAGGAAGACAGGGAGGAGGACGGCGAGGGTTATGATAATGATGACTGCGACGCAGATTAGGATGAATAGCCAGAGGGGCATTCCGCAGCAGCGACGTGATTTTTTTGCTGGTTTCTCCTCGGTTTCGCCGTGGTCAGATTGCGAGTTTAGAGTCTCTATGTTGTGCAATGTTGACCGTCTCAAGAACATGGGCCAAGATGAATATCCCTGTGTGTTTCGTCGTGGAGGAGGAGGGAAATTTTCTAGAGTATCCTGCAGAGAGCCAGAGTTGCGTTGACGGTCTTCAAGTTGTTAGTCTGACTAGTTTATCTGGTTGTTGGTTCGTACTTACTCCATGGTAGACTCCGGGAATCGTTGCTGCTACTCAAGTTATCACTCCTACTTTCCGTTCTCCCATGATCTAAATGAGTTGCGAGTTTGGTTGCCCGCCGAATCAAATCAGGCAAGCTTGTTAGACTGCCCCGAGCCTGGGCATCGCGAACAGCATCCATGTCCAGACGCGGAGGCCTACGAGCGCCTGGCCTTTTGTCGCTCATTGTGGGCACAGCTCTGGGTAATCCCGTTTGATTTTCCGGGTCGTGTTGAAACGCGGGATGTGGCTGGCCGATATCCAAGACGAATGCTCCTTTTTCGAGGTCGAATTCGTAGGAGCGATCCGATAGGCTAGAGCACGATTCCTTTGGACTGGGAACTGGTGCTCTCAACTCTTCATCCGCAGGCGTTCCAGATAGGGCTCGTCCGATATTATTTGCTTCAAGTGCTTTAAGCTGACCACCTGGAGGCGCAGGAGACTCTGCACTGGGTTTTCGGATCACGCGAAGGGACGGTTTACCTCTTGTACCGACGCTCGCACTCCTCACTAGCCCTTCACCATTCTCTTCGACGGGTTTTTTAGCTTCCTGGCAATCATCAGACTCGTCATCTAGATACGTTCCAAGAATTTCGGACTCGCGAGTTGGAGAACCGTAGTCAGAAGGCACGGCCCTACTCGAGGCATACGAGTCGTCCACGTTCGATGGACTGTTCGTAAGCTCCTCCGGGATTGGAGACACGGATGATCTGCGACCAAAAGTATTTCGAAACGTGTTTGGTGGGGCCGGCACCAGACCGGCAGTCCTGCCTTGTTTCGGGGGAGGAGGATAATCGGGAATGGAAGAGACCGAAGCAATATCTGAGAGATCCTCGTTGAAAATAGATACGCGGGGAGTACTCTGTCCTGATGGTGACGGCGTATCCCGGGGTGGAATTCGGTTAGGGTTTTGATACGGCAAAGGCTGTGAGAATGATTGACGAGGCTGTCTGAAATGAAGTGGACTGGGTGCGGATCCTGGAGCGCTTCTTTCTGAATATATGGACGGTGACGGTGCGTCTGGACGAGGCGGACGGCGCGGTGGGGGTCCTCTCGGAACAAGACTGGCTTGGGGATCAAGGAAGTTTCCAGGCATTGTATTATTATCCGGCAAGGGCCATTGTGTCATATGCGAGGCTTTCGAACCAACCGAGCGTACATCGCGTCGGTCCTTGCCTGGTTCGGGTTCCTGCGCTCTTGGACGTTTACCCGCTTCCAACATTTGCCTCGCGCGTTGGACAGATCCCTTTCGCTCTGGAGCTTTCCCTAGCCCGGAACCGGAGCCCGGATTACCCATTGGGTTCGGATCCATTCAATAATCGATAAGAAGATCGTATAATTTCTCGTGGACTGTTTGTACTAGAGTGATCTTTGGCGACACTTCAATTGTCGCCCAGTGAAGCCAGTCGTTCAAGAATTTGGCTTCGTCTGGAAGATGAAGTGAGTGGAAACTGGCTGATTTCTTCTGCCACGGAAGATGCTTAGGAAAGAAGTGAGTGGTAGCTAAATCGAAAGCGAAGCCGATCAGTGGTAATTGTCAGAGACAACAAACGAATGGACTTGAGACCAAGCTCAAGATAGTAAAGCGAACGTAACAGAAGTTGGAATAGGCAGTCAACGCCTCTCTGCAGGAGAAGAATAGTATGAGTAAATGGTGCAGATTGTGGCGCACTGTGCAGCAGGATTCTTACCATATCAAGAAAAATTGTTAAAGAAAGGAAGGAGTGGGATACAATTCAATTGTCAATCTCACTAGTATCAAACTGGTGATTCTTCTGGAAGTTCACCAATAGAACCCCCTGAAGGCGTCAAAGTAGAAGTTAGCCAGTCCATTCTACTCCGTATGTCGGGGATACCCACTCACAAATCCATCATGAAGAAAAGAATAAAAAGCCTCGAGCCCGCGGAGCAAGAATAAAGAACTAAAGTGCAAGGAAAGGAAGAAAGACGAAGAAAGAATTGTCAGACGCGAGATTCTGGGTGGTGGGTATCAGAACAAGGGTTTCCCTCAGAACCCCAGCGCTCCTTCACGCTAACCTTCAGATATTGACATTATCTCCGAGAGTTACATGGGTATAGAATATGGGATATAGCCCATTTTGAGAAACGGCCTAGTTCGAGCCAAGTGGAGTAATGCAGAGCAGGGACGTTTTGATCGTCGGTTCCGAGTATCAGCTGCATATTAACGGACGTGGCGCAATTAAGGAGGCTAAAAGCGTACCATTAGGCCTAAATCGATCAATTCATCGCGAGTCACGTTTCCGATTAACCGGAGAAGAGGATGATCAAGGCATGCTCGTTGCGATCACCTGCGTCCATTGTTGTCCCCGTCACATTGTTTCTTTTTGCCCTTCGGGGATTTGTAGGGCGACACCCAAATGCGCCGTATCCAACGGCGTACTCCGACCTCCGACCTCACCACACGTACACTGGTCAAAACCAGCTTTATTATGGCTCCGGAGCAAGTGAATCAGTCACAAATTCGTATTTATCACACAGCAAATGATATTCCGAGATCTGATGACCAAGTGGAGAGCGCCCTGGTCGGTTAAGGCCGATTCGTCTCATCCTGAGCCGGAGGCGGACCTACGGGACACTATTTCAGCCGGCCACGCGCTTGTAATATTAACCTGAAACCGCGTTTCCGTGTTTGTGTTTGTAAACAGTCAAGCTGCGACAATAGTGGTCAGACACCAGCCGATAAAATGCCCGAACCAAGCGATGAAAGAGAGGCAAGGTCTAGCCATTACGCTTCTATTTTTAGGGGCCTGAGACTCCATCAGTATATAGTAGTTGAAATGGTAATATTCCAAGTTGTCGATGAGATGAATTAAGATGAAAGAAAATGGAGAGAAAAGTTGTCAAGTCCCGTGGCACAAACACAGAAGGCACAATGACGCCTATACCATATCAGAAAGCAAGAATATTCATCGCTCCTGTTCTCTACTTGTTACTACGACTCTTACTATGTCATCACTATTGTCTCGAGCCAGTTACCATACCTATCTGAGTCGAGTTAGACAACATGAAGCTCGAAGACGCAAAGCCCCCAAACCCCAAAGAAGCCACCGCTGATGACAGCGAAAAACAATGGGTTACAGAGCAGGTCAAAGACATTGGATCTATCTAGAGACCCTTCAGGGTGAGAACCAACGCCTGCGCGATCAGAACCGGTACTTGCAACGGAGTGTCGACTCCTACCGAGATGGACATAAATCTCAGTGCGTAAGCGTGTCGAGCTTTTTTTTTTTTTTTGTGGTCTATGCTCTGGGGTATGGGGCGTGCCGGTTTGTTGATTCTGCATCCCGACATGACTAGATTTCTTGCTTGTTTTTGCTCAGTTGAGATTGCTATGGATATCCTCAACGGCTTTCAAGGACCCTAATCAAGAATGGAATGATCTATGACAATGCAAGTATAGATGATGCATAATGACACTAGACATCAAAAATAAAACCTCTTCATTCCTTGCTATTTTTCACTATCCATCTTGGTCAGGCACGAAGAACCGAACGCCTCGATGCAAAAAGGAAACAGTACTGGCAAGGCTGACGCCAACGAGATACTAGAGGGAATCAATCGAGTGGGATCCCATCTAGACTCCCTTCAAAATGAAATTCAATCCCTGCTAGATAAAACCGAACGCCTGAAAAATGAGAGTCGACACCTGCAACGGTGTGCCGATTCCTATCGGGACGGGTGTAGTGATCAATGCACAAAAGTGTTGGACATGATTTTGTTGGTATTTGGTATGTAGTTACTGCCTGCTGCAGTCGTTTATTCTCTGTTTCGTTTTCATATTTTGTGATGATGTATAATGATGCCTACGCATCAAAGACAAGCCTTTTCAGTTCCTTCACACTCGACATCCTCCATGCATTAACATGGCACACGAACAGTCAGGCGCGAGCATTGCGGGCAACAGCGAGAAGCTAGACCACTTGACAGAAAAAATTGCATCACAACTATGAACACTGCATGATGAAAACAAACACCTACGCAATGAGAACCTGCGGTTGTAAAGGAACATTGGCTACTGAAAAAATGAAGAGAAAGCTAAATGGATAGAAATACCGAGGACTCTTTTCTTTATTTGGGGCTTGGGTATGTTGTGTTTCGGTTTATATCTGCTGCTGCTGAACCTCGTTACCGTTACCGTTAAGAGGTAATAGTTCTGGAGGGTGTTGTTTGTTTTGGTTCTTATGCCCCTTGGATATTCGCTAGAGACCAATATAAGAAGACATAACGAGTGAACAGAGCATGACACCTACATCAAGGATAATAAGAAGGAAGAAGATGAGAAAGAAGAAGAGCATAAACTTATTTACTTTCAATCACCACCCTAAGACCTTACTATCATACGATCAATATGATTTACAAAGAACCACAAATCACCAACACCGAAATATTAGAGCGCACCAATACCTACCTTAGCCCTCGAAGATGACAATTAACGCCTACGCGACTAGAGCTTTCGTCTACAAGACGAGAAACAGAACTTGCAGAAGAGTGTCGACTCCCACCAAGGTGGAGAGAGGTCCGCATGGTCAGAGTTTCTGAGGGCTCTTTTCTTCATGTATACTACTGCGCTTGGGATATATTTGTTGATACTAGTAAAGCCCTGGGGGTTTAATTACGCCTATATGGGGAAAGGAGAGGGCCCAATTCAATTGATTAGTGTGCCGTGACACCTACACGAAGTAAAAATTTACTACCTACACAGCACAATAGTCATTATCAAATCCTGGTACCCTCCAAAAAATCAACATGAAGCACGAAGAATCAAGCTTCTCCCAACTCAAGAACAAAACATGACTGACAACACCGAAACACTAGATATAGCCAGAGAAATGGGATCCTATCTCTAATAAGTTCAGGATGAGAACAAGAAACTACGAGACGAAAACCGGTGCTTGCCAAGGAAGATTGATTCTCACCGAGTGGGATCTACTAGAGAGGAATGGGGAACACGTGATTATTCTCATATATTCTATGAGGTCTGGGGTGTATTCACTGGCCTATTACTTGCTGAAAGTAATATAGAAATGAATGTATCATGATGCCTGCGCAAAGCAGAAGCCGGTGAGGGTCTTTCACTCATCGCTCTTACTACCACGTTCAACAACTGTCTCCTACCTTGTTCGAAACTTAACATCAACATGGCTATAATAATACTAACGCAAGACACCGAGAAACTTGATCGGTTGGCAGACAGAGTCGAGAAAATTGCGTCTCACCAACAGTCCGTCCAATCCCTCCAAAACGAAATCTAAAACTGCGAGAGCGCTTGCGAGAAAGAACTAATCACTACATTCAGGGATCTAGAGAGACATGATCAGCTGCTATGTGTGATCATCTTTGTGTATGCTATAGGGATTGGTTTTATCTCTTGATAAAAGCCCTGATCAGTCTCTGACTGTGGAAGACATGGAGTCAGTGGTGAAGAGATCAATCTATGACACATCAGAAGCAATCGTGTTATCCTTCGGAGCATTTCTAGAATAGCTAATAATATCTAGCTCATCTCGGTCCGGTCCATACGCCATGGCTATCAAACTCGAAGAATTTAAAAGTCCCAGTCTCGCAACTGGTCGCGACTGCATCCTACCTACAAGAACTACAGGGCGAGAATCAACGATTGCAAGACGAGAACTCCTATTTGCGAAAAAGAGTTGACTTCCTCCCGGGGAAAAAGGAGGGGGGAGTGTTGGTTAGGGAGACGCTGAGCGTTGTTTCTTATATTGTTGTTTGATGTATGCTCTGGGATACGGTTTCTACCTACTTATCAACGCCTGTTATGTCTCCATACTGCGAAATGAATTGCAGCCAAATGAAGGTTGTTCGTTAGGTCCATCATATATTCTATGGATATCATAGCAGAATGCCGGTTATTCTAGTCTTTGTGTGCACATCGTTATATCGTATCGTGTCGTTATGAACTGTTAAGAGCCAACCGCTTCCGCAACCCATGGACCTCCTTCTCAACAGCCCCCATCTCAATGATAACACTCGCCAACTCCGACAAGTGATCATTCACAGCTTCCGTAAAGCTCCTTTGAGCACTTCGAAGAGATAGCGGAACCAATATCCCATACCACGTTATCGGATCCGAAGAACGAAACTTCTTGATAGGCTTAGGCTTCTGGAGCATAGGATCAGTTTCAGGTTGCTCTGAGTTGCTCTCGTCGACGGTTTCTTGTGTGTTGTTCTCGCTTTGCTTGTCTGGATTCTCATCGGATGGCGCAGTGTTCGAAGGGCTCTCGGAGGCTTCCTTTCCTTTATACTGTTTGTCATCACAGTCGTCCAATGTATATTGGATTGCGAAAGTATGCCCGTAACAATTCGCTTCAGTCGGGTTCTCCGATTCTTTTGTGGCCTTTGGAGTGCATAGCGACCTGGTTACCCCTTTGATTAGCAACACCTTAACCTAGACAGCCAATCGACTTACACCCTCCTCGTCGCCTTCATCCGTTCATCATAGTAATCCGCACCATATCTTCGGCCAGGCGGACACGTGTAATTGGCCTGCGCGAGAGACAGAAACCCCTACTTCGGTGTTAGGATACTTGTTATCCACGAATGCTGCATTGTAATGAATAATCGTACCGAAGACAACCGTTTCGCCAAACCCGCTTGTAGTTTCTGATGCCGATCGAGGAGATGAAGATACCGCTCCAGCAAAGTATCCAATGACTGCAGTAGTTCGGTAAAAGTGTCGACTTCGGTTTCCTTTTGAATCTCCGGCGCTTCGGAGGGTTTACGGGACGCGGGGGGAGTGGGAATTTGCGCCATTGGAGATGGACACGGGCTGTTCGTATGTGGACCGTTAAAGATAGCCGTATAACTGATTTACGACGAATAGAACCTCGTTTCGGTGCGTGGTCGTTGTGTACAGAGACGATTAAGAAAGCAAGTTCGGCCGAGGGGTCCGATTAACTCCGTCTCCGGCGAAGGAAAGCAAAAGAACTTCCCGCCTGCGCTCTCGACTTGACAACGTCTGAGAGAAATAATAAAAAGAAACGAGTTATACGCCGGGAGAGCGCACAGTGAGTGTTGACAATTTCCCGACTGCCCTGACGTCAGGTGTTCCTTTTTTCTTTGCGGAACCGTTAATCAGCCAGTCGTTCTCCGACTGCGCTGGTAAGCTTTCAAGCGCCACTTCGTTTTTGCGACTGCGACACTAAATATCGTTGTCGGGTCTACAGTTCTTCTTGATACCTTTTTCTTATACCAGACCTTGTCATTATGTCTGTGGCCTCATTGAGCCGGGATACTGCCTTCCAGGCACGGTCGTTGGTATGTCATCCATGAACTACGAGACTTCATTCGGTGAAGCTTAGGTTGACTGACATCATTCGAAACAGTTCCGTTCCCTCCTCCGTCAATCGTCGCAATTCTCTGCCTTCAACTTCCGTGAATATGCCCGCCGGAGGACGAGGGATGCTTTTCGTGAGCACCAGAATGAGTCGGAGGACAGGAGGATCCAGGAATTGTTTCAGGAGGGATTGCAGAACTTGCGGATGATGAAGGTTAGTGGGACATCAGGTGTCGGGGATATTGTCTACGGAAACAGAAAGAGACTATAATATTGGGATTTGCATCATGATGGATGCGGGTTACTGACTGTTCGCAGAGACAAACGATCATCAGCCAGTTCTACCAGTTCGACAAGTTGGTTGTGGAGGGTCAGGAGACGGTAGGCTTCGACCATGTCAAGCATTCTCGGGCTTTATGCTAATATGTTTCTAGGGGAAACAAACAGGGGGAGAAGGTGATATCGTCCGCCAGAAGGATACTGGGTAAGCTGCCTCTCTAATTCCCTGATTCCCTACTTGCGCATAGAATATAAGTGACTAATGATTGCCGCTACAGCTGGGACTAAGCCGCGCACTTGTACCGTTTCTTTTCGCAGCCTGCATTGAGGTTTGAATAAAAATATGATTTTGCGTTATCGTTTCTATGATCGAAGGCATTGTGGGGAAGTACCGAAGTGAATAGACTGAGCTGCCTTGTATTTCTACCGAGACGTCCTGGTGTTACTTAACTTACCACGAGCATCAAGTTCAACTCTCTACTCATGAATATATTGTCCAGCGTAATCTATGTGGCTTTACATGGGTGTGAACCCCGAACATACTTGTGCCGTAGTGTCCGCCGGAGAGTCACGTGAAATGTTCCCCCGTATCGCAACGCGACAGACTCCGATGCGTCAACCACCTCTTTATCGGAGTTGTATTTGCGAATGGACATGCAGTGATCCATCTGAAACCGCATGATCGCTGCATCAATTGAATTGCTTTGCATGCCTTTGATCGTATTTTGGAAAAGATTGTTAGATACTCACAATGCCACCTACAGTATGTCACCTCAGCTGATGAACCCCCATTCTAGCGCGTTAACATCCCCTAGTTCAGATCCTCCCGTTCAGGCCGCCACCTAGGCGAAGCAACTGCCGCCCGCACGCGTACCGGCCAAATCGACCATGATGTCTTCGAAGGCCTGCCCGTCCGCCGCTGGACCCGCCAACACCAAACAATCTCGCAAGCCCCCAAACCCGACGAAGCAGAATCCATTTTCCAAGGCCCTGGCGGAAAACAAACACTACCGGAACACCCCATGCCAAGAGACAGTCAGTTGTTGACGCCTACGAGTAAGGCGCTTTTGCGTGCCGCGCGGGCGGGTTGTATATATATCAGACAGGCGCCGAAGGAGGCTGAGGACATCAACCTTATCATCAACGAGGAGAAGGAGGCAGCGGATACGGAGGAGGGTGGTGGTGCTGCTGCTGCTGCTGCAGGGCAGCCAAAAGCGGAGAGGAGCTTTGTGACGAGGAAGTGGATGACGGTGCCGCGGCAGATGGAGCCGCCGGAGGTGGAGTTTTTGGCGAAGAGACGGCCAGGTTTGCCTTCGTTGTATGGGGCTGCTGCTACGGGTGTTGACGGGGCGCCTAATGTGCCTATGAGGCGGACGCGGTTCAAGAAGGTTGATCCTGCAACTGGAAATGTATCTGTTTACGAGGCTTGGGTTCCTGAGGGCCATCGCATTGAAGGGGAGATTACTGCGGATGATCAGGTTTTGCCTGGAAATGCTGAAGCAACTGTCAATTCTGAGGCGCCCGCACCGGGAACAGTGGTTGAGGGTGTTGGAACGGTTAACGGTGAGGGCGTGGTTGTTGCAGAGGCTGGCTCTGCGGCTGTCATGACTCCCCCGAAGCGGCGACCACCTCCGCCCAAGCGCAAGGGCAAGGGCTTCAAGGGTAGGAGAAAGAAGGTCATGTTCGCGCCTGGTGAGGGTGCTGATGCGTCTGCCGTGCATGGCGCTGGAGCTAGCGCTCGTGAGGGTACGATGGACACAGATGGTGCCAAGTCTGAAAATGGTGATGCGTCGCGTGGTGACCAGGGTGGTCATGAGGATGATGATGATGACGGTGAAGAGGGCGAGGAGAGTGACGAGGGCGACGAGTCTATGATAGATGCGAAGACGCCGGAAACGCCTGCCGCGGAATTTGCTCAACCTACCCAAACTACTCAACCTGGTCCTGCAGAGATGGCACCGGAACCACAAGCCCCTGATGATGCATCACAAGCAGCCGAACAAGCTTCCGTCCCCGCTCTCATTCCAGACAAGCCTAGTGATGAGAAACCGGCTCCTGAGGATGTAACCATGACAGACTATCAGCCTGAATCTGCGACATCTGAACCTCAACCAGCACCCGATACACAAAAATCAACTGCGCCAGAACAACCAGCACCTGCCGCGGAGACACCGACCGAGAACCAACCGCAGACAGAACAGCCCGCTTTTTCTGCCCCCGAAGAGTCTTCGGAAAAGCCGCAAGAGACAGACAAGACAGAGCCTAATCAACAAGAAAACCAAGATGCCATGGACACATCAGCAGATCAGCCCCTTGAACAACAGCAGCCGCAACAAGAACAGCAACAGCAGCAAGAGTACGAGCAAGAGCAAGAGCCAGCCCCCAAGCCGGAACTAGAACAACAAGAACACAATACAGCTGCCACCGAATATCACGATGTGGATGTATTGGGTACTCTCGAGAAAAGTCTGGATGCTCCTGTTAGCAGCGAACAGGCGGAACCTCTAAGAAAACCCGAGCCCGAGCCTGAGTCAAGGCAGGCGGATGACTCGATTGAAAATATTGCACCTGCATCAGCACTAGCACCAGAACCAGAATATACACCAGCTGCCACGGCGGAAACGGGGATATCCGAAGAGCAGCCATCGACCGATAACCACGAAGTTGAAAAGCCTGCTGAAGAGCAAACTGAAGAGCAGTCGCAGCAGCAACAAGAAGAACAACCACCCAAGGAGGAAGAAGTTGAAGATAAGTCTCCTGTACAGCAGCCAATTGAGCAGTCACAAGAACAAGAGCAACAGCAACAACCCGAAAGAGAACAACAACCTACGGGAACCCCTTCAGCTGAGCACACAGAACCTACTGAACAACCTGCTGAACAACCTGCCGAACAACCGAAAGAGAAACCCGACCTCCAACCTCGACAACAAGCAGACGAAGCACAACAACAACCGCCAGCAGTACCAGCACAGGAGGGAGAACCTGGCCAGAACTAGGGTAATTGTAATTTATATTTCATCCATTAGCAAGTTAGTGTCGATGTCTTCTCCTGGTGTATAGGGATTATAATCGAACGGTTTTCAAGGAAACTCGCAACGCAATTTTGGTCATCTAGGGTAGGTAAATAAACTCTCTTCTTAAAAGCAATATACAAGTACTATTGAGTGCAGACTACAGAGCCCGTAACTGCTGTTCTACGAGACAATCCCGACCAGAACCAAAGAATAATCAATTCCCTACCTCATACAAGATACCGAATACATTTCTACCTTTCTCATCCCGTCGTTGACAAAATAGACAAACAACCCCAAATAAAATAATGAACAAATATGTAAAATTCCAGAAAACGATCCGCTCGACTCTCCACCATCCGCGAATCAATCTCCAGACGAAACAGATAAAAGAGAAACCCAATATTATACCAAAAGATACAAAGGGAGAGTATTAAGCAAGGAAATAGAGGGAACGCACGTAGACAAGGAAGACAAAACGCCCGGAGTACCAAGATGAAAAACTTTCGAATCCAGAACAGGGGGAATAGGACAGACAAGGGGGAAAGAACACCAGAAGGATATGAAACAAGAAAGTAATAAAACAAAAGAATTGAAGCTGTTGGATTAAGTTGAAATGCCTGTGGTTATCACGGCTGAAAGCATGTTGAAAATCTATTGAAAAGATGGTCAGAAGAACCCAAGAAGCCAATCGAAAAGTAGCCAGTAGTACCACTACTGGCGTTGGGCTGCATTCAAAACCTGAGCAAGTGCAAACGATAGAATAAAATTAGTGTTGAATCATTTCTTGCCAGCCTTGACACCTCGCGCGGTCTTGTTCGGCGCAGTATCCTTAGCAGCTTTGGCAGCCTTGGTTCTAGCACCACCCCGTCGACCACGACCAGCCTTAGACTTGACCTCTTCCTTCGCTTCAGCCTTCTTAGGCCCCCGCTTCCGACCCGTTCCCTTCGCAGCAGCGAGGATCTTGGCTTTGGTCTCTGCCGATGGACGCTTAAGCGTGGACGCTGCTTCGGTCTTGGATGTTTCGGCCTTTGCTGCAGCCTTGGTCTTGGTGGTAGCGCGAACTGTCGTCTTGACCTTGGCCTTGGTTTTTATCTTGGGCAATTTCAAATTGCGCTTGGTTTTGGGGGCGGTTTTTGTCGTAGTTATAATCGCAGTTGCAGTTGCGGCCTTCGACTTGGCGGTGGTTGCGGTGGCCCTCTTCTTATACATGCGCTTTGTAGCCGGTTCTGTCTTCTTCGACGTGGCTGATCGTGAAACAGAGGCGCGCGATCTTGAAACAGCCGTCTTGACCCCAGTCTTAACGGCCCTCTGCTTTTTGTTCAGACGTGGAACTGATTCGTCGATGACACTTCCAATCTTTCGCTTTGTCGTGGACTTGGATTGCGTGTTCTTCGCGCTCACGCTTAGTTTCTTTTGCTCTTCCCTCTCCTTGGACCGTTGTTCCTTTTCACGCGGCCTGGGTCCCAATACTCCACGGCAATTGGCTGAACCGCACCGGCATTGTTGGACATTCTTCTGCGAATAGGGACTATTCTTTTGTCAGCTGAAGTTTGTTTCGTCTCGGGTTTCACAAACTCACTCAAAGTTGTAGTCGTAAGTCAACTCCTCTCCAGTCATAATGCCACGGTCACCTGCAAAGAGCGCCATGCGAGGTTTGCCAGCAACTGTCCATTTCTCCATTCGACAGTTGGGTTCACAGGAATGGTTCACAAATCGAGCGATGGAACCTCGAGTAGCATCGATGATCATGTTTTGATCGAAATACATCAGGTAGTAGCACTGTATCGGGTTAGCTATAGCCAAAAAAAAAAAAAAAAAAAAAGAAAGAAAGAAAGAAATCAAATCAAATCAAAAAGGTTAGAATGATACACACCTCGTTCTTCTTGTACGTCGTTCGCATCCGTTTCTCGCATTCAGACTGAGTGATGATCTCCCCCGTATATTCCACGATGATCTGGTTTGGGTCGAATGTACGGTTACTGCGAACACCGTATCCACGATCTGGTGTTTTAATGACCTCGACACCGATGTTGTACTTCCCTCCGGCCTTGGTTCGTTGCTTGAGCTCGTCGAAGCTACGGTTACCACAATCGCGACCCAGGCTGCAATTGCCGTTGTCGCATTCGTAGAACATATAGCGGTTCTGGCAGTTTTCGTCGCAGCCGGTGTCTGCGGTACACATGCATTTCGATAATTCCATGTCTTTGTTGGCTCTCCATATGCTTCCTGCTTCGCCGACGAACACATCTGAGACTGTTAGTTTACCTTCAAATCACTAAACAATATTTAGGGCCGTACTCTTGTTGGTCTTCCTCCACTCGTTAGGTTTGGGCTGACCAGGAGGAAGTGGCGAGAAGATGTCGAAAGGAAGCTGGAAGTCCCTCCCATTCTGCAGCAACCTATCGCCTGCGAACATGGGCATTGGGAGAAGGCTGCGCGGCGCATCCCTCTGTCTCCGCCTGAACGTAGTCTTATTCTTCTTGGTTTGAGTAGGGCGAGTGCCTTCCGGTTCTTGCCCGGAGTATAGACCATGCGCCAACCAACGCTTAGATCTCCGACACACGGGAGCAGACTCTGTCGCTTCCTCCTTCTGCATAGACTCTTCTTCTTTTTCTTCTTCTTCATGTGACTTAGTGGATGATGGTAGATCACTGTCCGAAACTCGTCGTTTCTTGGCAACAGGGCCGTTGTTGGTCGACGGCGCGCGCTCCTCCTTGAGCGGAGCGATACTTCGAGGACGGAGGCTGGACCGACGATCAGACTCTTTTGCTTTTGCGCTCCTGGTTCGCTTTCCCAAGACGGTGTTAGCCTGCTCAGCAAGCCGCGATGCCACCCTCTCTGCGACACCCTTGCGAGATGAGCGTCTCAGTATCTGTTCCTCGTCATCTTCCTTAGACTCAACAGTCTCTTCCTCCTTCTCCGCGGTATCTTCCTTGGTATTATCTACCCGTTTCCGTAGAGTCCGCGGCTGTAGCGACGTGTCGACCTCCTCCGAAGCCGGCTCCTGAGAAGTCTCCGAAACAGACGTGTCTGGCGTAAGCGGGTGTTTTTCCGTGTTCACGTGGCTCTGTGAGCCACTCGTTTCGCTGGCTTCGCTCCATTCCATCACTGCTATACTGTGCCGAAGACGAGACGAGGCCCTCTTTCCTCCCGAGACGGCATTGACTGGGGTATCGCCATTCGTAGCTAAAGAAGCATCATTACTCTCCGTCTCCGGAATCTCCAGTTGAGCCGCTTGTAGAGAGGCGCGCGTAACACGTGTAGATCTTCGCCGGAGTGCCGGTTTTTCCTTCTCGTCGTTTGACGACGCGTTCTCGTTGTTACTGGAGGTTTCAGAACGGCTGTTTTCGGGCGTGAGGAGCTGTTCGGGGGTCTCGAGGCCGGTGATTTCGTCGATGTGCGTGTGCTCGTGGATCTCGATTTTCTGAGGGATGTCGGTTAGGAGGGCAGAAGGCGCGGAAGACGCGACCTGGGCTTCTTCCATGTTGATTTCACTTTTTTTTCGCGGGTTGTCCGGTCCGTGGCGATAGGAAGCGGAAGGAAAATAACGCAGCGGGAGGATTCGTGACCAGACACTCCCCCCCTGGGGCTGTGGGACTGGTTTGGAAAACGGTGGGAGGCGTTGGGATTCTTCTTTCTCGGAGGTCCGGGGCTGTTTCTTATCAGGTGGTTGGATGGGGTCTGCCCTATATTTGCTATAGGAGGAAGAACATAGAAAGAAATTCCGAAACAGACGGACAGAACAGCAAACCGTGATCGCAAAGGAGAATGGAACGACGATCTTGAGGGGGGAGGGAGGGTTCAATGGGACGGGGGAAGGGAGAAGGAGAAGAGAAGAAGTTGGGAGGAAGAGGAAGAGGTGTGCGGAGAAAGACGTCTGCTTCGCGGAATGCGCACGACAGCGACCACTGTTACTTTACTATCTGTCTTTTCTTGTTTTGTACTAGCGCTTAGGATTCTGCCTGGTTATTAAGGAAGCTTGCATATTGGCTTCTTTCATGGCTTTATTCTATGTTTGATCTTATATATACATAGCCCGACGGCTTGCGCGCTGGCAGATATAGGCCACAACCTCGTATATTTTGACCTACAGTGAGGTATTTATTTGTTAAAAACTGCCATTGAAGAGAGTATCATACGGTATAGTTAATTATTATTCTCCATCTGTAGTATTGGTAGTGTAGCTATACATGTTCCTCATGTTGCGTAAATCCAAACAAATCCAATATTCAACACCGAACAAAGATATCTCAACGGGAAGAAGAAAGGGAAAAAAAAAGAAAAAAAAAGAAAAGGTAGATGAACGTATGAAGGAAGTATATCAGTTGGAGGATCATACATAATGAAGGTAATTGTCGAAGTGCTGTCGAAGAATTAGGAAGAAAAGTGCGTGTACATAGGAGTATCACGTAATTGGAGCCGGAAGGAAATAGTAAATGAAGGTATTGTAACCGCAAGAATTCAATGGAATCAATGAAATATGAACTGAAATGACTGATATGCCAAGGGAATCAAATATGGAAAAAGAAAGAAAAAAAAAGCCGAGAAAAAAAGAAGAAATATCAACATTGCTGATATTAACCCTGCTGCTGCTCAGCAGGCACTTGCTGCATTTCAATGCCAGTCTGAGCCTCGAGATCCGGTTTCCAATACTTTCGTTTCTCATTGCTCAAGCGCTGGTCACCCATTTCGTAGGGCCGCTTGAATTCCATGTACGTTGGTGGACGAGGCCGGAAGAAAACCGATAGCCAATTTGTGATAACATTTCCCTGAGTGAACGGCCGGTGACGGTCTGCCTTGACAAATTTGTGCGAATTCAAGTATTCCCGTGTTGTCTCACCACGTCCAACTAGAAAAAGATGGTATGCCCAAAGAGAAGCCGGATAGGGACCGGCCAATGCTCCGTAGATCACCATGGCCCAGGGCACCCGCAAGGTATCAATTGCAGAACCAAACGAGATACCCTCGCGCTCTCGATACACCAGAATGTGCGCAAGACTGGCGCCAAGTAGGAAGAATGCGAGTATTGTCGAATAACTGACAAATGTAAAAAAGTATCGGTAGTTACGGCGGCCGACACAGTTGTTGAGCCAGACACAGTGATGGTCCAAAGTCTCAACACAGTTGTCACAAACCCGACAATGGTAGCAGCGTGGAGGTCGCCAAATATTGCACGTTTTGCAGTATTTCACTGGCACGTCCATTGCGGCCACTTCCGAGGTTGCCAACTTGACCATGACCCAATCATTCGTTGGCGGTCCAATCGCTAACGGATCACCAGTGGGATCCGGTGGTGGCATCGGATGAAGATTACGCGGGATAACGCCAGGATCCACGACAGAAGCATGCACGAATGATGAAAAGCAGACGCAGAAGATGTACGCAAATAAAATCGGAATTGCCGGTGATATGTTGTGCCACAACCAAGGCGCAGAGTACGCAAAGAATAACGCAGAAGGCACAATCACGAGAAACCCAGTCGCGATATTGATGGGCTTGTCTCGGGAGTTTTGGAACCTCCCACCAGCAAAGAAAATGGTGTTACCCATAAAATATTCATAATTCTTGCCCAAACGACTCTGAGCTGGTTTCTGGCCTTGCTTTTCGATGGATTTGCGGGACGAGGCGTTCGAGGACAGCCGTTCATGAGCTCCGTTGTCGCGATGATCATGAGGATGGGGCTTGTCCTGCATGGACAGAAAAGAGAGAGGCGACTTTTGCGCCTGATCATGGGGCTCAGGAAACCTATAGTTCGCCGCCGGCAAGTTGAGCTGCTGGGGTGGTGTCTTTTGTTGTATCCGTTCGCGTTCGTGCAGAAGTCTAGCGCTTTCTCCGAGACTCCGTGCCGTCATATTCCCAGTAGGGCTTGCAGAGTTCGTTCGGTCCGGGATGATCGGATCTGTAAACTCCGTACCCCGCGACGGAGGAGCTTCCTGCTCGACCGGTGGGAGAGATCCTTGATGGTGCGTACTATTTGACACCAAACTCTTTCTCTTTTGACTTGCTCGGTCATTCCATTCATCAGTGGAGGCGGAGGTAAATGTCTCTTTAGTCATGGGCCGTCCCCGATGTGCCTGCAGTCGTTGCGAGGACATGGGCCGAAAGAAGCCCTGTGCAGTCAATGACGGAATATGTGTTCTGCTAATCCGACTGGCAGAGCTGCCGGGTCTGCTGGCGACATGGCTGGATGCCGCAATCGAACTTCTAGCGGGTGGGGGGCCTCGTCGCGACAGGGAGGGTTGCGATCGTGGTGGTTGCGAGGATGCACCGGTATAGGATTGTGATTGTTCGCCATCCTCCGAGATTATATCCGTCGCTCGAGAAGAGATTCCCCCGACGGAGGGGGGACGGGGGAGTCCTAACGCATGTTGTGAAGAAGGGGGTTGATCGTTGATCGCATCGCCCGGTTCGTGGTTGTCCGCCATTTTTCCTGATATGAGCCGTTGTATGTCTGGGCACCGAGGAAATCACAGGATCATGGTGTTATTATTCGCGAGACGAAAAAGAGCGCGGTGCAATTCGGAGAAGCCGGTCGTCGCAAATAAGGAGACGTGAAGGAGTGACAAGGAAGGGGTATTGATGCCGACAAAAAGATATCGATAGTAAGAATATTTATAGAGAGCGAAAGAATGAGGATAAAATATCGAAAGACCGAATAATGTAAGATCCTGAGCAGCAGTTAGCCTGAGTTGAAAGCGTTGCCCCCTCCAAGGCAAAATGACGCCCCTGGGAAGAGAGATACATACAAAACCTTTCGGGAAGGCAAAGACTGAGAAATGACAAAGCACAACACAGTCAGTGTCAGACAATTCTCACATCACGATTGCTTGAGACATAGACGAATCAATTAACGATAGACAAACAACGCACGAAATCCCCGGTGACGGCAGCAGCCCAACAGACGTGGTTCTATTAGTCTTGAATTGAAGCCGGGCGCAAATCTCGCTGACTCAGCACCACCAATCGCCCACCGGCCAACGGGATGTCACCTGATGATGCGCCGGCAACATCATCCTCAAGTCTCGGTTCTTCTCGCGATACTCAACCCTGCCGTTCCCTTGCGACAACAACGCCCGAGATAACCTCTCAAAATGTCCTCGATTGCTGCTATGGCTTCCCGCCGGGCTTTTGCCCGTCAGACCATCCTCCGTGCTCCTCCGCGCCGCTTCTACAGTGCCTCCAAGATGGAGGAGGCCGACCTCGAGAAGGCCCCCAAGCGTGACCCCGAGCTCTACGTACGTCCCCATTGTACATTGCGATTATATATATATATATATATATTTTTTTTTTTTTTCTTGGATACTTGGACTAATTGAGACACAGGTTCTCCTCGGTGTCATGTCTGGTGCTTTCCTGATCGCTGGATGGTGAATTATCCCCATTCATATTTTTCTTGCCTCGTCGCCCCCACAGTGGCAGCAAAGCCCGTTCCATGCGGCCAATTCCTTCACGATCCGCAACACAAACCAACATGAATACTAACGACGAGTTTCTTCAACTTTGTATAGGTACTTCGGCCGCAAGCCCACCTCTGTCAACTCCGAGAGCAACGTCCGGATCGGCCAGAGCGCTATGCCTTGGCACGCTGCTGAGGAGGACGGTAAGGTCTACAAGTACCAGTACCACCCTCACGGTGACACCTCCCAGCCTCTCCGGAACGCTCCCAGCGCCATGAACACCGTCATCGTTCCCAAGGTCACTCTTCCTGAGGTATGACAATGAAAACAACATGCATATTGGAAAGCACGACAGAAGGAAAGAACATGTTTACTGACGCGATGCTAGGACCTTCACGAGCGCTTCAACAAGCTCGGCAAGGAGGAGTGGGACTACTAGATCCGCAATTGAGAGTGAGTCCGAGCCGAGTACAGAGTTGGAGCTGAAGGTGGAGCTGGGGCAACTCCTGGTGTCGATTGCTGTACACTAGATTTACCGGCAAACATTATAGTTTGGGATTTTCGTGCGTAGGAGGTATGTGCATAGTTTTGCTTTGACGAAAATTGTTCAAGTTCTTCCATTGCACGATCAGTCCCGCACTACGGAATAATACTCCGCTATGCCATGCCTATACAAATGTAGGGTCTTATGCAAAAAAAAAAAAATAAAAATAAAAATAAAAATAAAAAAACAAATGAGTGGATTAGAAGATAGAAGATAGAAAATAAAATCTAAGTAGAACAGCCACAAATGTTTACATATCAAGAATAATGAAATTTGACTTTGCCAACGCCCATGAAAAGAGGCTTAAAAATGTAACTGATGAGAAGTAAATGAAAAAGAATTGACAACAGCTCATTATACATGCTCCCTGATTCCTTCCGATAAATCAGTCAGTTGCCTCGTTCCCTTCGCTGGCCGGCTTAGGCTCAGGCGAGCTGGATTCTTCAACTGCAACCGAGCTTTCTTCCCCAGCAGCAGGAGCTGGGATGTCTTCCACCGGTAGTTGTTGTTCCTTGTTCTCAACGGTCTCGGGGTTCGATCCTTGCACATCTGGATGCGGGGGCGCGACCTTGACTTGACCATCCACGACATCTACCTCGTGGCCATTGGCCAAACGGGATCGATACTCGTACCGAGTCTCAACGGAAACTTTACCATCTTGCTGGAGTTGCGCAACAAGGGATTCGGGAAGGACGTTGCCATTTTGGTCCCGGAATTCCACTCGTGCCTTCTTGCCCCGGATGGACGGCAGAGCCTCGGGGGTGACATTGGCGGATGGGTCCTCTACCTCAGAAGCGGCTTCCTTGACCCCTTCCTGAGGTTGCTGCTGCACTGGGGGCTGCTCAACAGGAGGCTCCTGGACAAGAGGGGCTTGTGCGGGAGGAGCATGGACGGGGGGAGCTTGCACGGGAGGCGCCTGTTGCTGGGTTGTTGGTACGGCAGCGGCCTTGCCCACATACTGAGTAACGTAATTATTGAGCTAATTCCTCCTTGTCAGTCGTTGCGATGCGATGCGATGCGCTTAGGATCTCCGTCGTGGAGGTTTTGTCTATGCTGGAGGACTTACGTCGGTGTGGAAGGTGTTGCAGTCAAAGTCCCAGGAGTCCAAAAGCTTTACTTTCCTGCAGGCATCCTGCGTCCAGGGGTTGCCATAGACGAGCGGAGAGTAGAGCATGAAGGTGAAGATACTCAAAGTAAGGAAAACGCCCATCAACAGCTTGCCAATCACTGGCTTTGAGGGCAGACCCAAGCTCTTGATACGGTTTGTAAGGAAGTCGACTTCTTGAGTGAGCGCAAGAATAGCAAAGTAAAGTGCCGGGAGGTAGTGATGAAGGAACAGTTGACGGGCCATAAGAAAGAATGGGAAGTAGTGGAAGAACCATCCAAGCACGTTGGGACCAATTTCATAATCGAATCGCTTGAAGTTGACGTTGCGATAGTCACTACAGTGTCGCTGCCACCGAATGATGGAAATTCCCTTGAAGACGAAGTAGATTGCAATTGCTACTGTCGACGACCACCAAATGAATGGGTTACCAAGGAGGTAAATCTGGCGGTGATCTTTGCCCCAGAAGTTGATGCCGCGGAGTAGCGTTGGCCACGACGGGGGACGAGAATCCCAGTTGTGAGATTCGGTCAAGCCGGCATTGGTGGTCCACATCACCTTTTGAAGTTCCCAGAACTTGCCCAAGAAGCCAGGGTGTTTGTAGTTGACCTTCTCTGTGTCTGCGGGGAGCATGGGGTGGGCGTTCGACTCAATGTACCAGAGACTGTTGGGCAAGCTGCCGCCCCTGGCGCAGGTCACTTCCTGCTGAGCCCAACCCCATTCAGGCAATTTGACCTTGTGGGAGAACAAGACACAACCAGTCATAACATGAATAAGTCGGAACTTGGTTTCGATGGTCCGCAACCGTTTCTTGGCCTCTTCACCTTGAGATGCAGACTTGACGATGTCAACTCGGAAGAGGTCATTTGCGTCGCCAGCGAATCCCTCAAATCCGTAGGCAGAGACTTCGAATTGCCAGTCCACATCAGTCACAGGAGGTCGCTCGTCGTGCGAGTGAAGTCTTCTATGAGTGATCGGGTGGTACAGCCGGAGGACCGCGCCATCATAGATGTTCTCAGCAGTGATGTTATCCCACGCAAAAATACCGGGGACTTCTCCATAGGGACCAAGAGGCTGAGTCTGGTTTTCGAGCAAGAAAATGTTATTCTCGTCCTTGTGCGGATACAGAGTGATCTGCTGCTGTTTGCTTCCGGTGGGGAACATGTGCGGGTGGGAGTGCAGATATCCACCCTGGGTGTTTTGATGGCGAAGTGTAACCCGAGAGCCGTACACAACATCAGCGGGGACGGCTTGCATAGTTTTAGAGTTCAGCGTTGCCTGGAATTCAGATGACATGAAACCATCTCCATCTCCTGGGTTTACCAGGCACAAGAAATGAATTGCGAACATTCCGCAATAAAAACCGATGGGAATGATGATAAGACAAAAGACCCGGGCGAAGAAATGTTTAAACCAAACGCGAGCAGTAACGGTTCTTGTATCTCCAAGGAGCACCCACAATTGAAGAATTGTGAGGGAACCAACCCAAGCAACCGTAAAGAGTCCAACCCATTTGACACTTAATGTCGCACCTAAGCATAGACCAGTGGCAGAAAGCCAGAACCACCATAGCCCACCGAAGGCGCGCGAAGGCCCTTGCTCTTGCTGGTTGGTAAAGCAAGTGAACGACAAAGCCGTGAGTGCGGTGAAAAAGACCAAGGGCGCATCAAGAAGAATCAAGCGGGATTGAGTGATGAGGGCATTCTCAAAAATCAAAACTCCCGCACCCATCGCGGCGGATGTGGTGTGGCATCCGGATGCCCTAAGGGTTAGGAACAGCAATGGCACTGTAAGCACACCCATAACCGCCGGAAGCATACGCATAGCAACATAGGGAACGGCGGGTTCAAGATAATCTTTGCCGATGTCTTTAAAGTCGAAATTTCCGTCAAAACCACCGAGCCATCCTGCAAGTGTAAGAAGAAGTTTGGCAAGTGGAGGGTGCACGTCCATAAAGAAGCGGCCTTTAATGTATTTCGATGCGAAACCACCGAAGCTGTCCCAATCCGTATCAGTACAATCATGCACCTCAAATCAAGTACTATATAAGACATACTGGACTTCATCGAAAACAACGCTGGAGGGTTGGTAGATTCTGAACAAACGAACCACCGCCGCGACTATTGTAATAAATGCGAGGACTCGGTAATCCTTAGTGGGCAATGCGAAAATGTTGTTATCCGTAACGCCGTCCGATGCATAACTCGAGCTTCCTGCCGATTCCTTCTTGCGATTCTTGGAATTCGGAGAGCGACTGGGAGAGCGCCCGGACTTCGGTAGAGGTTTCACCTCCAAGGTGTCCCGGGATCGGGTCATCATCATCGGGGGCTTCACCAAGCAGGTCGATCAGTACGTAGGGAGTGATTGGTATAGGAATGAAAGAGAATAAGAAATTGTCAGGGTAAAAAGGAAAGGATGACAGGTTGGTAGAGAGTAGGCTCCAGCACCAAGGGAGCTCTCAACTGTCCGACACTAAAGCAGACAGCACAAAAAAAGACGTTAATTAATGAGAGTATTGAAGCAAGACGTGATTCGCCATGGCAAAACAAAAGGTCAGAATTCAAGAAGGTTTTTTTCTTTAAAAAAAAAAAAAAAAAGAAAAAAAAGGTAGAAAAAGAAGAAGACGCCGTTGAGAGGGGGATCAGAGACACGTGTGGGACGAATTAGGAGGTGGTGGTCGAAAGCGTCAGAGCAGAGAATCCGCTTAAGGCCAGATCGTCGCAAGCCGGAATTGGAGAGGAAGAGAAAAGTAGAAGGAGCACAAAGGATTGTAATGTACTGTGCCTGATAGACTGGCAATTGAATTATCAACAATTTCTGGATGAATTGCCCTGAACCGGTTCTTTCAGTTCTCCTGTCATACCGTCAGTACTTGTCGAAAGCGACCAATCAGGAACCCAGCGGGTACCACACGCGCGCCTGTCATCTAAGCGCTGAGTCGCCACGCCAAGACCCCGTGATGAGGTCAAAGGACGAAAAGACTTGACTATCGCAAGAAGAACTGCTATTTGTCCACCATCAGCCAGCCAGCTTGCTACGATGGCTTCTACAACAAATGGAAATACCCCAACACTACCGGAAGAGGTGAACAAGCCGCCTGAGGGCGTGGTTTTGCCCCCGAAGGATATTCGAGGTGAGTGACCAAGCTTCTTTTCTAACGCGACTGGCGAAAGCTGACCATGAAACAGCTATTGTGGAAAAGACTGCAGGATACGTGGCTCGGAATGGGCTTGTTTTCGAAGGTACGTGTCATGGTCATCGTTACGCTACGCACCCGAGCAGTCTAGCTTATAACATGCTGTCCTTTAGATCGCGTCCGCGAAAAAGAACGAAATAACCCCAAGTTCTCCTTCCTGACCCCGAGTGACGCATATGCATCGTTCTACCAGTGGCGCCTTGTGGAGATAAAGGAGGGCAGAGGGACAGCTGTCGCGGCAGGGCGACCAGGGGAGGCTGTGACGGCACCTGAACCGGAAGAGCCCAAGGGACCAGCAGAGCCCCCGGGCTTCCATTTCTCTGCTCGGATGCCTATCATCAACGCGCAAGATTTAGAAGTCGTCAAACTTACTGCCCTTTACGTCGCCAAGAGAGGAAAGTCTTTTATGACCGCGCTTTCGCAACGCGAAGCCAGAAATTTTCAGTTTGATTTCCTGCGGCCGCAACACAGTCTCTATCAGTTCTTCACCCGATTAGTCGACCAATATACGATCCTATTACGGCAAGAAGGAATTTATGAGGCCACATCGGAACAGAGGAGACTAGCGGAACTGGAGTACAATGTTAAGAACAAATTTCATATCTTGGACCGAGCCAAGCAACGAGCGGAATGGGTGAAATACCAGGAGCAGCAGAAACAGAAGAGGGAAGAAGAGGAAGAACAAGAGCGCATTACCTATGCGCAAATTGATTGGCATGACTTTGTGGTTGTAGAAACTGTGCTTTTCACTGAGGCCGATGACCAGGCGGAACTCCCTCCACCAACATCGCTGAACGACCTTCAATCTGCCTCTCTGGAACAGAAGGCGATGATATCTCTTAATCCCATGCGGATCGAAGAGGCCATGCCTACGGACCTAGAGGAACCGACATACTACAACGCTTACCCAGTACAGCCCGAACCAGTGCCGGTCGTACAACCGGCCGGGCCAGTATTCCCTCAACAGCCAGTTCAACCTATGCCAGTGCCAGCTGCTGCTGCTGCTGCCGCCGCTCAGGAAGAGGAGCAAAGAGCTGCATTTCAGGCGCAGCAGGCTGCCGCACCACCAACCGGTCCCAGGAACGCCCAGCAACCGATGCGTATCCGGTCGGACTACGTGCCCCGTGCCCAAGCCCGACGACTCAACAATGCCGGCCCAACCGCACTGTGTCCCAACTGCCACCAGCAGATTCCAGTGGCGGAGCTGGATCAGCACATGCGTATCGAACTGCTCGACCCGCGTTGGAAAGAGCAGCGTGCCAAGGCCGATTCCCGCAGTGCGACAACCAACCTGTCGACGACAGATGTCTACAACAACCTCAAGCGTCTTGCAAGCCAGCGTGGCGACGTTTTCGACTCGTCCGTCCTCCCTGGAGCTACAGACCCTGAAGAAGAAGCCCGGAGAAAGCGCATGGCCACCGGAGCGCCACCAGCGCCCAGTGCTGAAGGTTTCCCGGGAATGGCACCCACGCAGCCGATGGTTGGGCCATCTGGAGCACCGCCGCATCCACAGAATATGAACCTTGAGGATCAGATCAGACATCTTCATGAGCGATACAGGCAATGATTTTGGGTCGGGGCGGATCATTTTTGCGGCGTTTAACTTGGGAGTTAGGGCTTAATTCACTTCTTTTGGTTTATTGTATAGTACTTTAAATCTTCAATTGAAAGCGGGTGTGAAAGTGATACCAATTGACATGCTTTAGTTCGCCAACTTTTGTATATCGAGGCTCTCGTATTGCAGATAGCAGCCTCAGCATAGCGACCTCTATTCCTACCACAGCATACTCTCTATTCCTCCTTGACAAACCGCAAAATCTGGACTTTGAGGTACTGTACTTGCATGGCTATACCCGGCTAATATGGTAGAAAATGGTGGAGCCACGGCTCGGGCCGAAAATGGATCCCAATCAACTCGTTTATTAACTGTTAAGTGCATCTTCTTATGAAAACAGACTACAATACTAGCATAGTACAAGCCCTGCTCCTCATATTTTCCGCTGACCATCACGCCTCTCCCACCCAATAACCGCCGGCTTCATAGGCCCCGAAAACAGCGACGAGTAATCCGTTCCCGGCACACCCTTCTTTCCATCCACATTAAACAATCGAACATGCCGCACCATCACCGCCAAAATGACTCCAAGATTGACATATGCGAATTTCTCGCCGATGCACCGGTGACGGCCTGCTCCGAATGGGAGGTAAGGGCTGGACGTGCCCTTGGAGACGGCGCCATAGCCGTAGTCGACTACCTCTTCGTTCACACCACCATTATCGTCTTTCTGATTGCTTTTATCCCAGCGATGAGGATCCCATTTGTTCGCGTTGGGGAAGTAGTGGTCGCTTAGAGCGGTTACGCCTGGGGAAGCGAGGAGAACGTGACTGGTTGGGATTATGTAGGGCGTTCCTGCGACGTTTAGGGGGTTCTTCACTTTACGCATCAAAGAGTGGATGGATGAATGAAGGCGGAGTGTCTCACGAACGACATTTGAATGTAGGGGTAGGCGGTCAAGGTCCTGGTACCGAAGAGAGAGCCCTTTTCCATCATGGTCAAGGTTGGCTAGTTGTTCCTGGTAGAGTTCCTCAATGACTTCTGGATGAGCGGCTAGCCGCAGCATAATCCAAGACCCGATTGACGAGGATGAATGCTGACCGGCCATCAGCAAAGTGATCATAATATGCGCAATTTCTTTATCGGGGACGGGTTGCCCATTTTTGTACGTGCAGTCCATGAGGTTCGATATCATGTCAGATGAGTTTGTCCCTTTCTCGCTATGACGACGGTCATTGATGATATCAGTGTAGATAGCCCTCATACGCGCATGGGCAGCATCCCGTTTGTTATTGTGAGGCAACGGCGCCCAGGGCAACATGAAGTTGATAGGGCTAAACCCCTTGTCCAAGTCGTGATAAAGACCCGCAAATTCCGCCGTGAGCTTTGACCGAACCTCTTCACCTTGCAGGGAGCGCGCAGCCGTGAAAATCGTGATCTCAGCCATTGCAGCAGAGATATCCACCCGGCCGGAAGGACCCTGAAAGTATGGCGAAGTGTCTAGGTACTCGAGAACTTCCTTCTCGATGAGCGGGACATGAGACTCCAGTGCTGACTGAGTGAGACCGAATTTGATGAACTTCTTCTGCTCCATCAACTTGGCGTTGGAACAGTCGTATACGATGTCTGAGCCAAAGACCGGCGTTGTCAGGGGGCTATAGACTTCCTCTGCGTTAACGTCTTTGAGTTTACCGTTGAGGATGAACTCGTTCCCTTGGATACCCAGGTAGACGGTGGTTTTCTGCCCGAGGAGGATGAAGGTGAAGATATCGCCATACTGTTGAAGAGCGCTCGTTAGTTATCATGGTTCGAATCCCATAATATCGGACAGCATTTCAACTCACCTTCTCCCGGCAATCAAAGAAGAACTTGTACGGGTCTATACCATAGCTAATGGTACTTCCCAGGAAGGGGATCCAGTGGAAAACCACGGGTGGTTGGATTTTGTTCCATTGACGAAGGAGCAGTTGATATGCCACGTTGATGAGGATGGTCAATGACAAAGCCACCGCCGTATAGGCCCCCAAAAGAGTTATCGACAACATAATCATGCTGTAGAGAGGAAGCTAATGATACTGGAAGCGAATTTAAATAAAATAGAGGGAAGAGGAACGAAGGCAACCCCCTGACGCAGGCACAAACGCACAGAAGGCTCAATCCTAGTTCGCAGGTACCCTCGCATCGTTTCTATTTCCGTCTTGAACTTGATATCAGATTAGTTTCATTTGGCTCTTATTCGTCCTCCTTTGGCTGATCTTTGCGGAGGCTTCAGCATTACTCCTGCAGGATTCTTTGTCGGGTCAGGGCAGTTCCGGGTCTCATGATGTTTTGTTTCCAAATATGGATGTCACGTGGGCTGTCCACTACGGAAACAATGAGCAGAGCATGGCGCCATTTGCCTAAGGCAATTTGCTTAATAGAAACGGTAGCGAGCAGTATCCCTGGCTACTTGTTGACTTGTTGTAGCATGGAGATTACAGAGAGCTCGGCTGTATCTCCGCAAATTGTTGATGACAAATCGGTGTTCTTTGTGAAGGCCAGTAGAGAAGGCCGGCATGCCCTCGACAACAATTTATTTAGGATCCTCGCTCCAAAGCTCCCTTCCTCGAAGAGCTGTCTCTTCCCCTGCCTCACAATATTCGGAGACATATGGCGCCAGCCATTGAAGCTGTTCTCCGTCCACTGCTGGTGGATACCGTAGTAGATTGGAATACGGTGGAATCGGGCGGCGGTGACTAAGACTTTAAGATGCTGACAGTGTTGTTTTTCTCGAGATCTTTGAGGGCGGAAGTAGCTTTACCGTCTGGGTGGAGGAAGTCGTTGTAGGGATCGATCAGGACAATGGCTATTCGCAATGGAAGGGGCATGGTAGCGTTGGCCTCGGCTGAGACATAATAGATATAGTCCTGCTTGCAAGTTAATCTTCTCGTTTCAGAGCGCATACGTAGGATTTGACGGAAGACATGATAGATTTATGTGGTCTTAGGGTTACTTGGATTGATTATCAATTCAACGCCAAGTGGTAGAAAACGGTGACGCCAACTTGATTACAAATTTAGCGGTACTGCATCTCGTAGGACATTCCCAGACAGACCAATTTGTCATCTACGAGACATCAATATCCGCGGAATCCATCGGGCATCGCTTTTGGTTGATTATCAATTTCCGTGGCTTTTTGATGACAAATTTGCACCGGAAGCGGCTTGAACGTCGAACCAATCGGCGTCGTTGACATGATTACAAATTAGGTGACAGTAACTTAGGGTTTCCAAAAACAAATGGTGTACGTTCAGAACACATCTGCGAGTGATTTTTTTTTTTTTTTTTTTTTTTTTTTTTGAAGCAAAGCCTAACTGCTTCTTCATTCAAATTGTCTGCTTCCAAAAAATTGAATTGCAATATACAAGTCACAGCATGAAACAAATCCAAGAGTCCTCAGATTTCCTATCCTCCGACGAACACAACGCCCACGAAAACCATAAACCCAAAGCACCTCCCGACGGTGGCCTCCAAGCCTGGATTGGAGGTGTACAGGTCGCCCTGCTCTTTTTCGTTGGAATATTCGTCGGTCATCTCACAGATGCGGGATGCTTCCGACCGGTGTTTGCTCTGGGGGTTCTGTTTCAACTGGTTGGTGTTTTCATGATGAGCCTTTGCAAGACATTGGCAACTTATGCTCGCACAAGCGGTGTGTATGGGCTTAGGAAATGGGTGTACTTTTTGCTCTGGTTTGTCAGTTACGTCGTCTTACTTTAGCCGGAATCGTGCATTGGCTGTTGGGATCGCTATGGCTGGTGCAGCTGTCGGGGGTTTGATCTATCCTGTTGTCGGTGGTAGACTCCTATACCAAGACGCGATCGGATTCCTTTGGACAGTCCGTGCCATGGGATTTATTATGCTTACAACACAAATCCCATGTATCCTATTATTCAAACCATATCGCCCTCCTCGAACCTCAGGGCCTGTTATCGACTGGAGCGCCTTCAAAGAGGTCCCCTTCATTTTCTTCACGACGAGCATGTTTTTCAATTTCTGAGGGCTATATTTCGCCTTCTCCTACCTAGACACATTTGTCCGTGATCGCATCGGCGTGTCTAGCTCCCTGAATTTTACCATGGTACTCAACGATGTTGGCGTCGTCGGTCGAATTCTTCCCGGTATCATCGGGGACCGGGTCACGGGTATGCTGAACATATTGATACCACTGAGTTTCGCAGCCAGTCTTCTCGCCTACTGCTGGACGGCCATCACTAGAGCGGCAGGGATATAAGTGTTTGCTGTTGTTCATGGGGTCATTGCAGCGGCGTTGCAGTCACTTTTCCCGGCTACGGCAACGACGATGACCCCAAGTATTGAGAGGACGGGTACGCGGCTGGGGATGATTCTGAGTATGGTTGGTGTGGCTTCTTTGACTGGGCCTGCTATTGAGGGTGCTTTGATTCAGAAAGATGACGGCGTGTATCTCTATGCACAGCTATTTTCGGCAACTTCGATTTTGATAGATGCTTTGGCAGGCATGGCATGTATGATTGCGAAGACGGGGTTCAAGCTCAAAGTGAAAGCATAGCTCGTTATTAAAGTATTAAAAAATAAAATCTTGCAGTTGTTGTTGTTATATAGAATCACTCCAATGGTAACCATATCCTAGCATTAGGTGATCGACTCAAGTCGCTTAATGAAAATAGCTCACTCGCGTGAACGCCATATGTGCCCAGGAAGGCACATATAGAACAGATATTCAAGTCACAGGATGCGTTTCCAGGACCTGTTCTCATGGACTCGCCCGTCCCGAGAACTTCAGACTGGATTGAAAAGGGCCACTCAATCAAACGGTGGACACCCGCTATTGTTTCGGCCTTTCCATTCGGTATTCATCCTTGGCAGCTGTGCAGTTGAAGTTACTGCTCAGTTTGCATAACTGACCATGCATGAAAGAAGCTGGTTAGTATGCTTCGGATTTTGTGACTCTAGGGCCTATATCTTAGATTTGCTGGCGTAAACTCCCAAGAGGGTTGGCTCAAACTCTGTAGGATGGTGACGCGGTAGAGTAGTGTACGTTGGACTGATAGTAGGAAATTAATCATCAATCAATTTCGACAATTTCTGCTTCCAGCTCTGCAGTGTCTTGTTGGCATATTCCAGCTCGTTTCGTGTATTCTTCAATTCTGATTCCAGTTCTCGATTCCTTGCCCTCGTAGCCTCAGTATCCTCGGTACTAGCCTGTCTGTTCACAGCTTCTTCCCGATATTTTTGCAGCTCGATCTCTGCAGCACGCCCCTTTTCGACGACTCTTTTGGTTAAAGCTAATTCATTCCGCCGTATACTCAGTTCTTGCCGTAGAGAAGATAGCTGGAATTGAAGGTCGGATATATTCTGTCGGAGCAAGGGTACACTTTCCAATTCACGATACACAACCCATAACGCAGAGTCTACTTCCTCAGGCAGGGTGTTGAATCGAGATTTTCGTGGTGCAGAAGGTGCAGAAGGTGCAGTCAATTCCCTTGGTGCAGTGGTTCGTTGGGCTCTGTTTGCCATGTCTTCATGGTGCACTGCTTCGCTATTTGCCCTTGTTGGAGCATGGGACGCAAGATTAATTGCAGTAGTATTTGGCGTCCCCGTACGGGGCGAAGCTGGTGGTGTTATTGCAGGAGGGGCCAAATGCCAACCACGATCCACACAAACAGGGCAATACCATGAATGCGCATCATCTTCGCGCAAGAAACTATCCTTTGGTTTGCAGAAGTCATGGTACGACCTTTTACATGTGTCGCAGGGTATCAGATTAAGTGGCTGATAGCATTCAAAACAAATGTTGTCGTGTGGACTTCCCGCTCCTAAATGGCTCATGTTAATACCCGGTAAACCCGGGCACTTGATGATTGCTTACCTCTCCAAGTTTTGTAGCGCGTTAAGTCTACAGATATAGGTTCCGGCATAGCTAGTGCTGGGGTGTTGCCGGTATCATTACTTTGTGCCTGTATAGGAATTGTATGCTCTCCTTGATTTTCTGCTGGCGGAGGATCGGTTGGAACTCGGACACGCCGGCCACGCCCTCGGCCTGAATTTGAAGCACGCCCTCGACCTGTTTGCAACCGGGGCCGTTTTGCTTGTCTGCCATCGTCATGGTTATCCGATTCACGCGTACAAGTCATGTTGAAGACATCTGGCTTATTGAAATAAGTTGCAGGGTGTTTTCGTGGTGTTATACGTTGGATTACAAATCGGGGATGGCGCGAGCCGGATCGGAGAAACTTGCACAAGGTGGGCATAGCATAAATTATGCACGCAATGCACATATTCTCTTTTAGTCATGGCTAACGTTTGTTTATTGAAGGACATTGCTCAATTCTCGGAAGTGCGTTGTTAGAAAGCGATATAGAAGCTTGAAATAAGCACATTCGTAAATGAGACGTAAAAGCCGCGTATCGGTCTGTTCCAAGTTCCTGGGTTCGAATGCACTGGACTGGAAGTACGTGTACTTTAACATCGACCGATTGTTGTCCAAGTTGTCAGGTTGGACATCCAAAAGGCACGCTTTGAAGTGCCTGGGGAGAACAAAAGCGGTTGTTCTTGAGGGACGTGGCTAGGAAATCCAAGAGATTTCTGATCTAGGATAAAAAGGGTCTTCTAAAGTTCAAACCATCTTCCGATCAAAGCAGTTGAGTGCATGATGGATTTTTAAATTCGCATGATGATGTTAAAATCAGCAAACAACACCGGAGGCCGCGGCTTGGTGATAGCAGTTAATAGGCGGAGGCATAGATTACATGCAAATCATTCTCGGCATCTGAGTTCTCGGTATACCGGAATCCCTTTCCCGTCGGCATTCAATCCACATTATCCGTTATGATATTTGAGCGGGATAATTTTCCCATTCCTCTTTTGTGTCCAGTGAATCAGACGGGCAATTGCGAAGAGACTGTTTAAAGTTTCTCAAGGATTCCATAAATATCGGTGCGGGGCAGGCGGGGCACACAAATATATAGATGTGTCTAACTACCACCACAAATCAAGTCAACCACATTATTATCAGCTACAAAGTACTACTATATTGCAAGATGATCACCGGCCTTGCACACATCAACCTGCTTGTCCCGCAGGGGACCTTGGACCAAGCCTACACGTTCTACGGAGAAACACTCGGTCTTTATGCTGCGCCGGTTCCCGAGCGCCAGAAAGGCACCATTGCCTGGTACGCGCCAACCCTTAAGAGAAACTATGACAATACCTGATAAATATATATATGCAACATACAGGTTCAACTTGACAGATGACCCCAAACCACAACAAATCCACGTCGCGTTCGGCACGAATGAGTCCGATTCGCCACGACACCCGTGTTTTCGCATCGAATCGATGGAATCACTACAGGCGTTGCGACAGCGTCTCTGGGAGCACCATTTGAAGGGAGATGCTGCGGCTCCAATGCATGTTGATAAGCCGGGGGAGAAAATTTCTGGTACGTATTCAACCCCCGTTGTAGTCCTCGATTTGCAAATATACTGACAATAAAGGCCCGTCTGGATTTGAATACCCAAACCGATTTTTTGCCAGAGATTTTGCCGGGAATTTGCTCGAGTTCAGTGTGTGATTCAGATAAATCGACGCAAATGAATCCGGAAAAGTAATCCGAGTATGGGGCCTGTTCCGCTGTTATGGAACAATTTGAAACATGTGATTGGTACATATATGTTCCGACAGAATGGTTAAACTACTGCCACGGGAGCTAAACGATTTATGGTATAGTTCGGTACTTTATTTTCGTGGCGTGGCGGTTCAGACGATCGGGCGTATTTCACTTATTGTTACTAGAATTTCAGGGGTAATTGATGACCATAAGGCGAATTAATTTATTTGCTGTAGCTAAATCAATGGTACTTTACATAGTGCATTAAGGAAACCGTGTGATTCTGAAATAACCACACCACCCTGCAATCTTAACCTAATAGATTAGATTGATTAGAATCGCCACGGTAAATGGCCCTGTCGATCGAGAGCTTGAGGCTCTGGCCTGGGGCCAAAACATATTCCTGTCAAGCTAGGCTTTCAGAGGATTACAGCGTAAGATACTTTTTTCAACCGCCTGTGGAGATAGTACCATGTACTAACTGTTACAGACCTAGCCACATCAGTCTCACGTGACTATGCGGGGAGACAAGGCAGAATCATTGGGTTACAAGGAATAATGGAAATACAGAAGGAACAGGGATTCCAGCTGATAACCCAAAGGATCAGTCACGTGATCCCCTACCATTTATCTACCATAAATGGTATACGGAATGGTATATGCTACCATCTATCTACCCTAGATGGTATACAGAATGGTAGGAGAACGGAAGATATATAAGGACACTCATTCATGTACTCAGTTTAGTTCTTCGCAATCAATCTAGTTAATCAAGTATTGGTTACCTTCTAGTTTCTGACTCGTCCGCACTTAACCAACAACCCAGCATACGTGCTCGGTTGGCCTTGTTTCTCTATTCGTTACCTTTACCGTTTCTACTTGTTGATTATCTTACGGAGCCTGGAGGGGGCGATATACCTTCGACGTGATATACAGAGGACCTGGATGGTCATTGAGCATATGAGTGCTTGGAAGACACTTAGGGTAAGTGTCCTGTCTCGAAATACAACTAACTAGAACCCTAGATACGATACGAGAGAAGCCAGGTTGTGACACAAACCACATGCATTTGGCCCATGATTTACAATCAAGATATGCCTTGGAAGACTCTGGCTCGTGGTTTTCATATCATGCTCCACCAAATCGGGCTTTTCTATACACAGAGAAGGCAGGTGACAATGGGGCCGGATAGAGAAAATAGCCTTGCCGACCTCAACTTGCCGAAATGACACGATCAGAAAGGACATAAATAGAGGTCTTAAGTCCTTCCATCTAGCTTCATCATAATCGTCAACAAAACAACAAAGCAACTAGAGAATTCTACAATAACCAAAATAAAACAAACCTTGATACAGCTTTGTCCTTTTTATCGTCACAATGCGTGCATCTGCTTCGCTCTTCGTTCTTGCCGCTGCCATTTCCGGCTTTCAAGGTGCCTCTGGCGCCGCTATCCCTCCCAATGGACAGAATTTGGCTCATTCGAGCATTCACTATCGAATTGGGACTCCGATCCAGACACCTGAAGCTGAAGCAGTAAAGCGGGATGAGAATGCCGGTAAGTTTTTTTATTTCGGGTGGTTGAGTTTTTGGTTCGAGACTTTCGATAACTAACACTCGATACAGTGTTACCCACGAGCACCCAAGGGTTTACGCACGAGGTGAATGGCGTTGACATGAATGGTGATATTGAGCGCCGGGGTAAGGGCCGTGATCGCAACAACAACAACAACAACAACAACAACAACAACAACAACAACAACAACAACAATAACAGCAACAATGGCAACAGCAACAACAGCCGCGACAGGCCCAGCCCAAAGCCTCAGAATATTCCTAAGCCATCCAATACTCCTCACCCTAGCCAGCCGACTACCAACAAGCCGGGCCCCCCCAGCCAGTCTGCTCAGCCAAGCAAATCTGCCCATCCCCAAGCCAGTCAACCTAACAAGCCGGCTCAAACGAACCAGCCTGCTCAGCCCAGTCAGTCCGCTCAACCCAGCCAGTCCGCTGAGTATAACAACCCCATTGAGCCGGACGAGCCTAGCGGCCCCTTTCACAACATCGAATTCAACCCTGAGATCAACTTTTCCGATCCCACGCAATCGGACCCTACGCAGGACCCCGCTCAGGAACAGGAAAACCCTGAGAACCCTGAGAACCCCGGAGAAGAGGCCCCTCCCGCTCCCGCTCGCCGCGACCTTTCTAAGCGTGAGAAGCATAGCAGACCCAGCAATCCCACCAACAAGCCTAACAAGCCTATCCAGTCCGAAAATAAGCCCAGCAACACCCCCAAGCCCAACAACAACGAGCCTAGCAACACCGCCAAGTCGACTCCTAAGCCCGCCACCACCCAGTACGCCCAACCTACTCCCTCCAACTACGCTTCTTCCTCTGCTCACTCTCACCCTACCCCTTCTTACCACCCCAAAAAGCCCGACAATCAGCCCGACAACGGGCCTGACAACGAGCCCGGCCATGAGGTCTCCATCAACCCCGAAATAAACCTCTCCGACCCCACCCAGGAACAAGAGCAAGAGCAGAATCCGGAGGAGAACAACGGTGACCTTGTCCGCAGGGACCCCCGTGGCAGCAGGGGACGCCATCACCACCATCATATCGGGTTGAACCCTACCTTCAACTTCGACCCCACCCAGGACAACGGTGATGGCGACAACAGCAACGATGACAGCAGCCTTACCCGCCGGGACCCTCGCGGTGGACGCGGCCGTACTCACCACCACACCAACTTCGAGTTTAATCCTACCGTTAACCTTCCTGATACCCTTAACTTCGGTGGTGGCAATGGTGACAAAGGAGATGGTGATGACAGCCAGAACTGAATGGGATGAGTGTATGAGAGAAATGGATTGATGCCTTTCCGATTTCTTCATGTATTTAACGCGATTTTGTTATGTTTTTTTTTCTGTTTTGGTTGTCTTTTGGAGTTTGGATTTGTTTTCTGTATTATATATGTCCTGATATCACTAATCTGTTTTATGGGATTGGCGTATGGCTAGACTGGTGTACTTCTAGTCCATTTCAATTGATTTCCTTGAAATTTCAGATAACTCGAGTCTGTCCGATTTAGTATCTGGGCATCCCTGCTCCATATGCCTTGTATTGTGCATCTAAAGCACATTCGTGTTTACCATTTTATGTGCATATCCGAACTATGTAGACGAATAAATCAACTGACCTTGTGCTAGTGAACTTACGTTCCTGGTTGCGAGCTGGTGAATAAATCATTATTCAGGTAATTCTGGGGGATGACGATGGGCTGTGTTGAAAACTGCTCATTTTTATGGGTTTCGGAAATTAATTTTTCAATGTTAGGGTTGCCAATTACCACCCTGCCTAAGACGACCCTGGCGTGCCCTATATGACTCCAAAGCTGCAAAACACACTGCACTATGTTCTTCCGGTGACAGGGCCTTACGAGTGTCGACAAAACCAGCTTGGTGCTCTTCCACAGCTAGCATTTTCAACTTCCTTGTTACTTCAGGCATCCCTGCACTGCGCTCAACCTCCATCAAAGCTCATCGTCATCGCCATCTGGCGGGTAGTCAGAGATGACTTTGATAAACAACACACCTGGTTCGGCGGTAAAGGATGGCCGGTCGAGCATAACTGCGAACAACCTGCAGGGGCCAAGCATTCCACAAGGCCAATCCTCAGGACAGAGAGGAAGCACTCGCCCACACAGCGAAGTGTCCATGGTCTGTACAACACCCAAAGCAAACCGCGGGTCTTGCAAAGATTGAGCGTGTTCAGGAAAGACGGATGACCCCGAAGAGCCTGGCACGTAAAACTGGAAATAGGCTGTTTTGTTGGCAGGGAGGTGGACGATAATTCTTGCAGTGAAGAGGTGCGCAACGGTTCCTAGGAGCTCCGTAGGGTCCTGGATATTACCCAAAACGGGGCATAGACAGTGTCCTGAAGATCATAACCCTCTGAAGAACCTGGAGCCTTATTATTGATTGCCACTGTCTTGGCCCTGGAACCTTGAGTGAGATAAAATGAATCCAGGAACAGGCTTTGTATCTGCTGCGTCAAGGCATCCATGGTATGGCGGGCATCATCAGATGGCGATGGCGTTGGCTGCCCTTCATCCGTCGTTCAGTCCATAATCGAGCTCGTAATTACGATCGGAGTTCATGACATTAGGGATAGTTTCCATAACGTCAGAGTCTAGACGTTTTGGGTAGATCTTAAAAATGACCTCAAGCTCCCAGACCTCGGGGCGAATTTCGTAGTCATACAGGCACTCAACCATGGGAATATCTGGAACACCACAGGGGGCTCTGAGGCCAAAGTAAATCCATTGCGGCCCAGTACCACAAGCTTTGCGTTGTATTCTGATGAAGCCTGTCCAGAAACCCTCAGAAGCAAGGAGGAAGATGCAGAATCCCACACGATCACGACGCTCAGGGAGCTTCTTAGCCATAGGAATCAACGGGGGAGTTACCTCTGTAGATTGCCCTGCCGTTTTTACTTCAACATAAAGACGCTCGCAATATGTAATTCTATGCCCCTGGTGCTCAACTCATGTCAGAGCATTGCGCGGGCGATAGGAGTAGATCTCGAATTTTGGCATCCGAGACGAATCGGATTCAGAAAGATACTCATCAATTTTGCCATAATCATTCCCCCTGAAGGGGAATAGAACTCTATATCTACATTATAGAACCTGCTTTATTCTCTGGACGGGTGAAATCATCAGAAATGTATTTTCCAAGAACCACCGGGTTGCCTTGATGATCGACATATTCGTGTTGAGCCAAACGCCGACCAACTAGGTCAGGAACAGCTTTCCAGGCAGCTTGGGCAGTTCGGTCTATACTGTACTGGCTTTCTTTTCCTTGTTGTACGGCCTGGAAGTTCGGTGACCGAGGGAATCTCATGCTTCCAGCGGAGGCCAGACCCCTCCTGCCATGTGCTGATTGACTAAGCCCCGAGCTTTCACATCGTAGCCCGGCGTCACAGTATTTCGACAGCTCACCTGCGTACCAGCTTTTTTTTGGTCTGGGGCGTAGTACTGCCTAAGTGTTGTCTCGGCCATGGGAAACCAGTTCGCAGTTATCTGCTCAACCTTTGCAAGATGGTTATTAATCCAATAGCACTACATCGTCCGCGGACCCCAACTGCGAACTCCCGGCGGCATTGGTGAAGGAATCAGTGGTCTGACAGCTAGTACCGCAAAACTCAGATGTAGTACCACAGAAGCCTTACTGGCTACAGCAAACATTCAAGGGACAACAAGTATTGCCCGCAGGCATGGCATTTCCATACTTGGCATGGGCATCGTAATTGCTCCAACAGTCATCGTTGGGAGGCTTGCCCGTGGTGCCACAATACTTGTCACCAAAGCCACAGAAGCTTGACTTTCCGCAGCAGGCACCGTTACTGCAAGGAGTGGTTCCACTGCAACCGTATGAGTCGCCCGTTACCAAGGCTGACAGACAAGAAAGAACGTTGGAAATAGCATCTTCGGCGGCATTAATGGTCAAAAACCAAGCAGGAAAAAAGAGTAATAACGAATGAGCACCTCTTCGAGTCATATTGATTAAAACGAATGACGCTGGAGAGCAGACCTTCCAGGAAATGAGAATGCCATTGTGCACGCAGGCTTGCATTTTGGATACAGCATTCAGTCTCTTCGAGTATAGTCGATTGTTCGTGTAAAGTGGACTTGAATAGAATGTCTCACAGCCTCGCAGCCTCGTGGATCGTTAATTGTCTATTGTTGTACCCACCATTTCCACCAATGCCGACGATAGCGCGTGCAGGAGACAAAGGTTGTGCTAGTTGTTCTGAAGAAAGCATTGCTCTTGCTGATTATACTGCTCATTTCATATTGCCAAAGCGATTGTTATCAGCCATGGGAAGACAAAATCAAAGCTGCTTGCAACGGTGTGGCCTATGCTGATGATTACGGGTAAATAGTACTGGTCTCTTCTATTGCTTCTCAGCTGAACTTCAACTTCAGCCAAGCCTGCTTGATAGACAACGGCCAACACTTCAATATAATTCTTGACGATCTGACTTTTTCTTCTGTCAATGGGTCTGTGGGTGGCAAAAACTGCAACCCATGTTCCCTGCTTAAGCTATGGAACACGGCCTAGTTTCCATATGGCGATGGCTTCTTTGTATTTCTAAGGGGTTTACCAGAGCTATACGTCTTCCTGCCATTTTTCAAGGTATCCTCTGAGACCAAAGCCAACTTTACGATCTGCAGCACCGCAAGAGAGTCTCCGCTGGATTACTTCATTTCCATGCTGACCGTTTGATAGCAACTCGACTGCCACACGGACCAAGCCGTCCTCAGCACCAGCAACACCAACACCAACGTGCAGCGGGACAAAGTACACACCCAGAAAAGGTGACTCATATGACTCTATCTCACTGTCCCAAGGCGTGGCTACAATGCAGCTCCTCATGGACAATGACCTCCCTGCCTACTGTGCCGACTTTCCCCCCAAACGGTACGCTCTGCATCAAAAACAAGTGCAGTATCTACACTGCTAAGAAGATGCCTGCAAATTCGTGGCTAATTCCCACAGAATCACTGCTGTGTAGTCGCAACAACCGTATAATTGGCTTTTAAATCTGCGTGAATAAACCCGGGCAGAAATATGTGGCACCTACGACCACCGCAGACACTTCGAGTGCGGTGACTTACCAGCAGCTGCTGTGCCAATGGATGTTGCAGCCAATACCATGACATGATGTGGTCAATATTATCAGATTACTCCGGGCGAAGATTACAATATATTCATGAAAAATTTCGGAATTTCTCAATAGGACTTTTTCGCCCTCAATCCTGAGGTCAATACCAAGAGCGTTACTTCAATGAGCCCCATCAGCCTACACCATGAGTACTTCATCCACCTCAAAAATAGCCTACACCAGTCTCCCAGACGCTATATACTCCGCCATATTCGATGTGGACGCCATCCTTTTAGCTCCAAAAATTCGGGAAGCTGTACCCTCTACGTGAAGGGAAAAGATCTCCAATACGGCTATGATGGGGTTTCTCAGTGCCAGGTTGCGACTGTTTTCTGGGATGTCAGCTTGCAGCAAATCCTGTGATGGGATGCATCGCTTAAAAGTAGTAACAGCAGCAGCAGCATGGGCAAGTCTACGAGTAGTGGTGGTGATAACTGTTCATTTTCGAAGGGGTATAGGTATTGTGTGCTTTATCAAGTGGCATCCTCCACGCCTGCTGCTCCAGGGAGTGCGTGTTGATCTTCTTAACGATCAGACTAAAATCCTTAGTCTAACTGTGCTTTATTTTTTCTCGAATAGACTAGGCTTGATACATTTAGATGATCCATGTACGTTAATTTTATTAAGTATTATGTACATTAAGTTCTAATAATAGTCATAGCCACTTCAAGCAGAAGAATGCATCCATTTTATGCACACCGGAATCAATCCGTGGCAGGTATAAATGATTAATAAAAACCCAGAGTATCATTGACGATGGCCATGCATGATAAACAAGCAGAAACACCAAAGAGCTGCCAGAGAAGTCCACAGTATCAAATGCGGCCATTGCAAACAAACCCAATGTGAGAACCTCACCAGATAATTAAAAGAAAACCCATATTATACAGGTTATAAGGATAAACCGTAATAATACATGAAACATGCCGCTGCTCGAAAAGAAGGGGAATCGAGAACCGAATCGAAAGGAACGTGAAAGCAACGTGGACCGGAAAGGATTATTAGAGTGGGCATGTTGAGAATAGAATGGTATAAAGTTTTGTAAAGCGAAAAAATGAGAGGCCGAAGCGCGAAAAATAAGAATCATCATGAACGCCAGGATTCATCATCTGCGTGGGGCGGACCATTGTCCATCATCCCTAGTTCAAGCGGTCTCTTTTTCGATAACCGGCTCGACAGTTTGCGTCGTTAATTGTTTAATTGGTGCATCACTTTCTCCAGACTTTGGAGATTGAATGGTGGCAGAGACCGTTACTTGCTCAATGTTAGGCTCATAGACCTCTTGCCCCAAATCTAGCGGTTCCGGCTGATCGGTGTTGATGGCCGAATATGCAGTGCTTGCAGGAGATGCTGAGCCAGCGGATACGAAGGGGTCCTCGTACACAGACGCTCTGTCGTAGTCGCTGTCATCATTGTAATATTCGTGGTAATCATTTTCTGCATCGGTCTGCACGCCGATACTCTCAAGTATTGACGGTTGAAGACCATCAACTTGCGCACCGGTCAAGCCATTCACAGAAGCGTGGGAATGCAAGGGAACAACGCCAGCGCCAACGCGAGACCAGAACATCCTCTCCCGTAGACGAATAGTTTCCTCCCAAGCATCCTTTTCCTCTTCGGAATCGCCGGCCCGGACATGTCCGTCAAGGATAAGACGCAGGTATCCAGTAAATTCACAACATGACCGCGTCCTCTCCAGACAGAGAGAACACAATGGATATCGCTGAGCGGCCTCGCTATCAGATGTTCGGAAACGGTGGCACCGTTGGTATTCAGGTGCAGCCCTGCGCTCGCCACACATTGCACATGGGTCCCTCCCTGTTGGTGGCATCGGCTCTACTAACAAGCTGCCCTCACAAATACCATTTATAACCGTACGTCGCGTAAGCCATGAAATTCCTGGAGCGAGATCAAGTCTGAGAGTTGGTTCAATATCCTCAACGAGAGCCCTCTTGTAGAACCGCTTTTCCTTCAATAGAGAGTGCGAACTACCGGGCTGTGGAGAAGACATACTCCCACTGGGAGAATGAGTTTGCGATTTGGATGGCGACGAAGACGTTGACCCAAAACTTCCACTGCCAAAGTTGGCGAAGCTCATCACATTTAGACCACTGTACGATCCGCTAGGCGCCCGGCTGGGAGGTCTTGACTGCGGCACGTGAAATAGGTCACGAAAATCCTCAAATGCTTGATGGTCCGTCCGGCACACAGTCTTGACCAAATGCGGGAAGCTAGTAGAGGGACCCGGTAAGATGTCCTCTATCGGTTGTGCGGGTAGATCTTGGTCCAGAGGCTGTGCAGCTACCTGGTTCTTCTTAACCATCCCTTGCAGTGACTGACGGCGTGCAGCTGGTGACGAGGGGGCGGTGGAGGCGATCGTGCGAGTATCGGTGTCATCCTTCGCAAGGTTCATGCCCTGCATGACAGCTTTCAATTCTGCTAGTTGATCTTGATGCGACGCAAGGAGGGATTCGGTGTCTTTGACCTGAGCACGGAGTTGCTCATTCTTTTTTTCGACTTCTTCTCGTTCGAGTTTAGCAGCAGCAACCATCTAGATAAGTAAGTTGGATATTCAAAATAGCGTGGGAGGGCCAAGAGTAAAGTTACCTTATTAGCTTCCTCAAAGAGAGCAGCAGTAAGAGTCTCAAGCTCTTGCTCGATGGTCTTTTTGCCCTTTTCGATGGCTGCCCGTTGTGCTTTCTCTTCTGCCAGAGCCTCTTGTAAGCGGGAAATCTCCTGGTCCGAATCGGCTTTCCTGATCAACACTTCCTGGTCGATGTCTCGCCGATACTTTTCATTTTCGAGCTCCAATGTCTGGACCATGGTCTGTGCCTGTTCCAGTTCCTGGCGGGCAGCGACAAGGTTGTCATCGAGGGTAGTTTGGTTGTTGATAGCCTGAACAAGCTTGACACTCAACGCGGCGACCTCATCGTTCAGGTCAGGGTGATGAGAGGCCGGTGATGACTCCTCTGACTCTTCCATTGGAGCTGAAAGTCTTGGGTCCTTCAGCGTGCTAAAACCGCTGTCGGTAAAATTCCCTACGCTTGTCGACCGGACAGCCGGTGTTGGCTTCTCGGATTTGAATCTGGACAACCCATCCGTCGACTTGGCCCTTGTAACGGCCCGATCGGGGGATGGTGTTCGATTGCCGGACGAGAGCGATCGTCTATGGTTGTTTGGTCGTGAAATCATGGTGGAAGGTGAAAGGAAACTATGACGTGAATAATATGTGTGGAAGGCGATTAAACTGACCATAAAAATTAGCGACTTGAATTCATTGAACGCAATGAAGGAAAGGCAAGAGAAGAGAAGGAAAGAGAAATCAACATACTCGGCCATGGTGAATAGCGTTGATGGTAGTGAGGATCAAGAGAAGGTGAGCATAGACGAAAAATATGCGAGATGAAGGCAAGGTGTAGCTTATTATAGGTAATTAATACACCACACCGATACCTTCTCTCTAAACGTCAAAAAGTCCAACGAACAGAATGAATGCTGGCTTCCATGCATGTAGCAAATTTGACGCAATGCCCCCACCAGCGCGCAGATTGGAGTATCTAACCGATCTGAACAAGAAGCATTGAGTCGCGGACGTATTGAAGGCTGCAGATACGAGGAGGCGATGCGAGAATTATAACAAATTATCTCGGGAGGGATCAAACAGCGACAAGTGAGGAGGAGACGGCGAAGATAGTAAATGGAGAGAGGGGGCGCGGCTCTAAAGGAGAGGAGAAAAAGAGGAGAAGGAGAGATCGCACTCGGTCGAATCGGGGGCAAGGGAGTGTCAGACAGGCGTGCGACAGACGATAATGCACGACTTGTTGGTGTTAATGCAGGGAATGAACGAATCGACGAATTGGAAAACAGAAATCAATAGAATTACAGTCGTTGGAAAAAGTCAAAAACGAAGAAGGGAAAAGAGAAAAGAGAAGGGAAGAGAGAATGAGACAGGAAGAGACGAAGCCAGACGGGGAGGCGAACGGGGCACGTGCTGGTGGAGCTAAACCGGATGAGGAAGTCGATCTGCTTTGGTCACAGCTCCAATACGCTTACTTTACAGGTACCTCTACTTGTAGTTGTAAGGAGATATCGTTATTTTATTAGGAATACGTACAAGTTAGTATCTGTCATCATGAATTGCATTGTCTAATCTCACAATGTGCACCCGTTCATTCCAATAGCCTCAGGCTACGTATGCTTACAATGAGGCCAGGAACATGTGGTCGGCAAGATCGACTCCGGGCGGAGGTGCCGGCTTAGTACCAATTAGGAATAGCTCATCTTCTTTTTATAGTCCTCCAAACGCCGTCCGTTTTAATGCCCTGAGTTCTGTCGGGAAAAAAGCATTGATCTTTATGATGTCGACTAGATGTCTCTATTGAGAGGAATCTAGATAGGTACCGATATGCCGGTATTCCAGAGCAATCCCTGATCTAAAGTACAATAGTGCTGGAACTCGGATAGACTATATGATATCAAGATTCAATAGACGCCCGACCGACCCGTTCTTGGCAACCTATGACGACACTGGCGCATCCCAAACTGATAAGCGTCTTCTTTCTGAAACAGGCTCAGTCGACGCGAGCGTTTAGCGTGTACGAGTACGTGTACGGAGTACTATCGGGGTACTCCGTAGTAGTCTTGTATAATGGCAATACTAATGGCTGGCATAATAAAGGTGGCACTGGTTCAAGCTTCAGTTCATCCATGGTCAAGGTTATCCCAGTTAAATACGGGGAAACTTACATACCCCTGTACACCACTCATTTTCAGTCACATGACTCACGCGTGGCGCTCCACTATGTTATGCCTTAGCGCCTCAGGCGGTGAGCGGGGTGCAAATTGATCCGTCAGCGGCTCTGCGATAGTGACAGCTCGATACGGGGATACAATACTACCTGCGCCGGTGACTTCTTTTACTACAAATTGCTCGATACCATTCTCTTCCAGAAAACTTCGCATACACAATTATCATGGCCGACGCAGAGCTAGAGGAGGTTAGTGTGCAGAGCCTTCTCGTGTCGTCCGTGCTTTTGAGGCACATGCTCAGCATCTTTACAGATCAGACGTGCCCGTCTGGCACAGCTCCAGCAGCAGGGTGGCTCCCGCGGGGCCGGGAGTGAAGGCCAAGAAGACCAGAAGAGGTGAGAACCCACATTGATCACTGATTTTTGGGATCCTGCTTGTTTCTGACTGCGTTCTCCCTATAGAGCAATAGAAGGTATGCCACATTCTACCCCATCTATCCAAACAGCAGACCGTTTACCTATCCCTGATAGGTGAACGCCGTTCCGCCATCCTCAACCAAATTCTCGAACCCGAAGCCGTCGACCGTCTCAACCGCATCCGCCTCGTCAAGGAATCGCGCGCTGCCGATATCGAGAGCCGATTGATTATGCTCGCACAGACAGGCCAGCTCCGCCAGAAGGTCACCGAGGAGCAGCTCAAGGATCTGCTGAATGCAATTTCGGAGAACCAGCGCAAGGCTGAGGAGGAAAGCAAAATTGTCATCAGCCGGCGGAAAGGTGGTTGGGATGATGATGATGATTTGTTGGATTTGTAGGGGATTCGTGTTGAATTCATGCCAGGAAAAAAAAAAAAAAAGTAATTGCGGGTTTAGCATTATAACGGGCTGTATGATTTAGTATTTCAGAGAACCTTTCACGGCGTTACGACCTAACCTCACCCTGTATCTAAGCCTTTGGAATGGTATTCGCTCTACATAAACAGACAAATCATACAAACCCTGTCAGAAGTTATTCTACCCCGACATCTGCTGCTCCTTCTCTCTCTTCTTCTGCTGCCGGATCATCTTCCTGATCTCTCTTAGATCCGGCGGCGCCTCAATGTTCAATTCCCCCCGCAACTCATCCACATTTTTCTCCAGCACCTCCTCCCAATAAACATTAATCAACTCCTTACTCTTAAGCCCAGCCCTAACCGCCCACGGCAAATGCAATGAAAAGAACCTCTCCTTCTCCGCCGGCTTCAACCTCACAAATGCAAACAGACTCAACCCCGTCATCGGAATAACCGTATTCAAAAACTCAAACGCTTTAAGCGCCAACTCCCCTTCCACAAAGACCGGTAGCCCCGTCACAGCATGGTAGAAGTCATGGCACTCGCGATACCGCTGCATGACATACGCGCATTCTTCATCGTCAATGTATTGCACGTTATCACGGGTGTCCGGGGAAACACCCTCGCGGTCTAGCCAGGCGGCGTAGGTGCGGCCGACAGAGTTCTCGGGGAGCGATCGCAGGTAGGGGAGTGGGAGAGTTTCAGAAGTTATGCGGGGGCGGTCGCGGAGGATTCGTCGGCCTGTTGGGTCAGAGAGCATGGCGTCGCGGAGGCGGTAGATGAAGTAGGGCGTTGCTGTGGCTTCGCCTAGGGCGGCGATGAGGTCTGAGCAATTCTGGATCAGTATGTATTCTGATGCGCGCTCAATTGGGGTTGCTACCTCCTCGTCGAGGATTTAGAAGAGACCCAACCGCAGAGCCTACAGCAAGGGCTCCACGTTCCACAAACGTCAACGGGACATGGCCGGGATACTTTGGCGGAGGACGGTTGAGCACGGAGAAGGATCGCACACAGCAAGCGGGTGTGAGAGCTGTGGACTGAGCTACTGCTCGAATACCAAGTGTACCACGGTTCCCTAGGGCTGACATTTTTTTTCTAGGGCGCTGTGTATAGTGATCCTTGGCATAGGGAAAAGAGTGATCGCTGTTCGGGGAAATGCAGAAGCTCCGGCGGTGGCACGTGCCTGCCGCTGGTAGACTGATTGATAAACGATAAGAATTTGGACTCGAAATATTCAGGGCTTTGATGTGGAATAAGTCTCGATTCATGAGAGTTCAATGTTATTTTGTGTATCTGGATTGCCTACCCTCAATCCTGAACACAGACTCTGGTCTTGGAACTCTTCCATTTCCGGTCTCGTCATAACTCCCGCATCAATTCCAACAAGTCAAGAAATTATACAAAATGAAACCAACCTGGTGGCCCGGAGAACAACATGAATCCTTCACAGAATGGGCAATATCTCAAGGAATTACCCCCAGTGGAGTCGCCCCAGCCCGGTTCCCAGGTCGTGGCCTAGGCATGATAGCCACACGGAATATCAAAGTACGCCTCTCCATACCCCCAGAAATCCAGCTGCTAATAAATCCACCACAGAAAGGCGAGACTCTCCTGAAAGTACCACTGCAAGCAATGTTCACCATTAATCGCGTCCCTGCAACATTCACCAGCAAATTCGCTAAGGGAACACCCGTCCATACCCTATTCGCAGCATTCTTCACAAATGGTGACACAGAAGACCTTCGGAAATACGATCTCTGGAGAAATACCTGGCCTAGTCGCCAAGATTCCGAGGATAGTATGCCAATCGTATGGCCTGAATCCCTCCGGAGGTTGAACACCGACCAAACACTGCTCCCTCCATCGATATCCGGAACCTGGAGTACCTTCCAGAAGCGAAAGAGCGCGTTTCCCTACGATTCGTCTCACCAAAACCTTCTCTCTCAACAGGAAGGACGGTTGCGAGATTCATGGGAAAAAGTCGTTTCTGTCTTCCCGGAAACGGATTGGGAGACGTTTTTATATCACTGGCTTATTGTGAATACGAGATCTTTTCATTTTCTGATGCCTGGGGACGAGGCACCAGAGGATCGGAATGATGCTATGGCTTTGCTGCCTTTTGCAGATTACTTTAATCATTCTGATGTTGTAGTACGTGTCATTATAACTTTCACTTTGGGATGAGTTCTCATTGATTCATGATATAGGATGATGTTAAGTTTAATGGCAAGGAATATGAATTTCGAGCTACGAACGATTGCGGTACTGGGACCTGCCACTTGTCTTCCCGCATTGAGGCTAACTAGACCAGACGAAGGAGAAGAGGTGTACATGAGCTACGGCCCACATCCGAACGACTTTCTTTTTGCTGAATGTAAGCACTAATCTATACAAAACTCTTTCTCACTCCAGCTAACTTCAGACAGATGGGTTTTTCCTCGACAAAAACGACTGTGAAACATTATACCTCGACGATATCATTTTCCGAGATCTTAATACTTTTCAACAAGAAGAACTTAATTTGCAGCAATACTATGGGCACGTACCCCTAACGCTGTTTTCATGAATGATAACTAACAACCCTAGTAACTACCAAGTAACATCCACCGGCGCTTGCTACCGCACCGAAATCGCAGCATGCATCAACTACATGACACCCAAGGACTGGCAGAACTATGTTCTCGGATACTCAACCAAGGGTGTAGATGATAAGAAGACGGAGACTATTATCCGTGAATGGATAAAAGTGTACGGCAAAGAGGCTAGTGCAACGATTGCAAAGTTGGAGGGTATGACTAGTGAAGCAGATGGTAAAACTGGAATGCTTTTAAAACGGTGGAAGCAGATCTATGATTTGTGTCAACAGGCAGTGGAAGCCGTGTCTTGTTAGGGTGCAAATAGAATACACGAATGTATATAGTTCTTGGACAATAGGTTGTTTCAAAAGAGAGATAGATCTCACTGTTTATCCTCAAATCCTGAAAGATCCATGGGAACAGCCCCCGATTCTCGCTGGTGCAGTAACGCTACCCTAGCTTGCACCATCTCCTTAATCATAAAATTCACTACGCATTTGATCCCAAGCTCTTCGCCCCGGCGTACGATATACCCATTGATATATTCAATCTCCGTCGCTTTCCCGCTCAACATATCTTGAAGCATGGAGCTCATGTTGTGACGAGTCTTGCTTGCAAGCTGCACTGCCATCCACCGCAGACGTTCCGGATCGAAACGCGCTTCGATCCCTGGGATGCCTTGCACTTCCGGGAGGGCTAAAATCACGCTAGATGTCTCGATGAGAAGTAAACGCATGACTCGAGTGAATTTGTAGTTGTAAAGAATCTCGCCGTTTTTGCATTCCATGAGAGATGTCAGAGGGTTGATCACCGCATTCATGGCTAGCTTCTCCAGCTGGTACTGGATGATGGATGATGGCGTTTCTGCAAAGGCAACGAGGGGTGGTGTCAAGGTTAAGGTGCGTAATAGGTATTTAGTCGTGGGTGCCCAATCTGCGTCATTGTCGCCCGCAGTAGCAACAACTTCCCTTGACGGTGCAGGGCTGAGAACAGTGGTACCGATACCAGTGTGAACCACCTGGAATGGTGACATTTGGTACAAACCGTGGGAGAAAATGCCCGTCATGTAATGCGGACGATTCGACGGGTCCGGGAAAACCTTTTCATTGAGTTCATCGATCGTTCCCATTCCGTTTTGCAGTAGGAGAATGGTAGAGTCCCGAGTTAAACGATGGCTGATGGACGACACAGCTCTGACCGTTTGGTTTGCCTTGACAGTAACAACCGCACACTCAATTGTGCTATTGTCTACCTCCGACTGTGCTAGTGACTTTTCGATATTTCCGTCCTTGAGCTTCTCGCTAAGAGTCCTATCTCTCTCCTCCGGTGTACCATCTTTATCCCAAGGTAACGAATACCACGTATCACTGTCACTGCTCTTGACATTAACGTCAAAACCGGACTTGACATCGTCCAACCCGTTCACGTTTATCGCTATACACTCTTTTTTTGAGATCCATGATCGATAGACGTTCGAATGATGTAGGAGTAAGGTCATCGGCGGCGGGGATTGACGACCCGCTAATGAATGGGCAACAAACGACCCTACATTTCCAATTCCAAGGAGGTGAATTCGCCCGGACAATGGGCGTGTGTCTGTCTCTCTTGCTACCTCGTCTGCATCTTGCATCCATGTTGACGAGAATCGGTTACTGGCCCACCGGCCCGGACGATATCCCGCTGTAAAACAGAAGTCGCACACCCCCGTCCGCAAGAGCGGACGACGTCCTAGTATGGGCAACACTTTGAAGGATGGGAAGGAAAGAATCTCCGATAGCTAATATGTAAAGCTCTTTATTGTCGGTACTCGGGAAACAAGTACTATTAGTCGCGTAACGATAACTAGATTCGCATTATTGAAGGAACGACAATTTCAACAGAAATAGTAAAACTAGAACATAATAACGCCTACGCGAGGCGAATAAAAGGTGATGATAGAATGTGTTGATGCCGAAATCAACGGAAATTATAGACGAGGCCGAAGATACTGACCGCCCGGCTCACCGCCTGTAGATAAAAAATCGTCATTTGCAGGTGCTTGCCTTTCTCCAAATCCAACTTCTTAACGATCACCACAGTCAAAATGGAGGCAAAAGAACTCTTTCCGGTGCTTGAACAGCTAGATGATGACATTGATGACGTGGAAGAAATGATCCAGCCGCTACTTAGTCGCTCACTCGCTGAGACGTCCAAGAACCTGCCTGTCTTGGACAAGGCGAAATTCTATGTTATGGTAACTTACGCGCTGGAAAATGTGATCTTCTGTATGTCTCATTTATACCCGCAGTATTTTCTCGATCGTGGTTTTCGCTAATTAATCCATAGCTTATTTGAATCTCCGTGGGGAAGACCCCAAAGCGCATGCAGTGTGGAGAGAGCTCACCAGGTTGAGACAATATTTCGACAAGATCAAGACAGCAGAGACAGGACCTGAACAGCGCACAATGACCCTCGATAAAGAAGCTGCCAATCGGTTCATCAAGCACGGTCTCGTATGTATTACTTGCCTCTCATTTTGACACTAATACTGACCTCACCAGGCTGGAAATGACAGGATTGACCTAGAGCGCAGAGAACGAGAGGCGAAGGAGAGAGCAGTTGCTCGACGGAAAGAATTGGAATTGCTCATGAAATCTGCGAAGTCGGAACAATCTTCCAAAGATCCTTCAGGAGATTCGAGATCCGATGCCGACTCCGACCCTGACGAAGACGAAGATGGCGATTCGGACAATAACGAAACAACAGCCAAAAAACCAGTACCAGCTTCTAAACCAGTAGACGTCCCACGTTCCGAGAAAACCAAGAAGACTGGAAATAAGAGTAAAGACAAGAACAAGCGCTCCAGGCAAGGGAAAAAACTTGACAAAGAAGGGCTGCGCAAGGAAAGCGTGGAGAGAAAGCAGAAAAAGAAGAATAGTCGGAAGGAAAGGAATGGGAAATGAAGAGGCGGATTGAATAATGGGCACTAAGATGAAATAGGGCAACAAGACATCGAAACGAAATCATTCTAGCGACCAGCTGGCCTGGTTCCAGCATAATACTCCTCTACTGTCGACGGTGCGGCTGTGATTCGGCAGCTTCCAGGCAGATGCCTTCTCATACAAGCTCCTGAGATTATAAAGAGCCTGCGCTCTTCGTTCCACGAACGGGCATTATCCTTACACTGCTTCAGCAGCGCGTCTCTGGTCGTGCACAAATTATAGATAGATACCCTTGAAATATAAATGGCAAGGTAGATAGCAATACTATGGAAGCAATTATAACAACGCAAATACTAGTTTTCACTCAGCCATGCTGTTCATATTCCGTGACTCATATTTGGTGTTTTCAAATGGAGATAACAACAGTGGATTCCATTTCGACCATGCCCAAAGATTATGGAGTTAGACTTCGCAAACGTAGAGAAAAATAGAATGATGTATCTCTGATGTACAAAACAAGGTAAGTAAATGCTGATGGAGACATTAACATTTGTATCAGGCCTTGTAAATAATACAACAATACTGCTCCTTGCTACCGAAATTTCCTAGATAAGATACCGCTTATTGTATTCCCCGGTATTTTCCATAATCTGCTGACAAAGACGATTTCTAACCAATCAAAGCCACTGAATTTAGCAGCTGCATCGGAGTTTTCGTTTTGTCCGCCGATACTTCGAGCTTCTTCTTTCTCCTCCATATATAAACCCACCGCGCCCCTCTATCCGGACTACGTCAAAATTTACAGTTGTCCCATCCATCTACCACAACAACCTACCTATCATTAACATGCCTCGTCAACGCCGTGGTGCCGCGCCGACTCCGGCTCGCAGCGCTCCCACCAGACCTACTGCCGCTCCTCCGCGCCCAGCTGCTGCTCCCCAGCAGCAGCAGTACCAGCCTCACTCGACAGCTGCTCACCCGTCCCATGGCCAGCAGCATGCTCCTGCCCCGCCTCAAGCCCAGCAGAGTCAAGGTCCTGGTCTCTTCGGCCAGATGGCCTCGACCGCAGCGTAAGTCGTTTACCGAGGTGGCGAGCATCGGGATAAGATGAATCATGCTAACGGTTTATTTCCAATAGTGGTGTCGCAGTCGGTTCCTCCATCGGCCACGCCATCGGTGGTATGTTCGGTGGCTCCAGCGCCCCTGCTGAGCCGCAGCAAGCCGCTCCCGCCGACTCCCAGCCCATGGACAACGGTCTATGGCAAAGCAACGCCGCTACCCAGTCCTACGACAACGCCCCTTGTGCTACCGACATCAAGAGCTTTCGTCAATGCATGGATGACCACCGGGGTGATATGAGCATTTGCGGTTGGTATTTGGACCAGCTGGTACGTTACAACGATTCCATGAGAATTTGCAAATGGGTTACATAATGTTAACTATGATACAGAAAGCTTGTCAGGCTGCTGCTAAGCACTACTAGATTGGGTGAAGTTGCGATTTTTGCAGTTTGTGCTTTTCAGTTGTGAGATACACATAGATATCCAGCTACGGTGCTTTGCAACAATATTGGGATGTTGATATGATTTGTATTTGTATAGCGGCATAATGTCCTCTCATGTATATCACTGAGGATTTGTATTTTATTATTTGATGCGTCTGATGGCTCTGCCTATTCTTATGCGATATATGAAAGACAGAATCAAGACAAGGAACAATCTCCACTCCAATTTGCAAGCATTTTCACCAATTTAAGGCGTAGTACCATAGGGTTTAGTCTGGAGTTATGCTATACAACTTGAGGTGCTCAATAATGATAGATAGCTGAGTATCAGAAACGAAAGCAGAAATATAACACCGTCAACGCCTAAGCAAGGTGATCCGCAATGACGAAAAGATCATTTCATCGCTGATCAGAGTTCTCGCGTGGTTGAAAGTTAAGCTATATAAGACGTCAGTAGCTGCAAAATGTTTCCCGTCCACTGAGGACAAACAAACCTGATTTCCATTATAGAACTGATTATTGCCCTGCTCCCTACGCTGATCAGTCAAGGTCCGAATGTTCGGTCCCCGGGACCCAGCAGGTCGTGATTCTGGTGTTCTAGCATTGCCAGATGTTGAAGAAGATTGAGCAGCAGAAGAGCCCTCCGACGCTGTCGTCTGTCCATACCCGAGCCACGAACCGACATACCCTGCTGCAGCACTTACTGTAGAAGAAGCCAAGTCATAAACTCCGCTTACTGCCCGCACGGGTAGAGAGCCTGACCCTGTATATGCCTCTGTATATGACTGGATGGGGACCATGACCAGGTTGGCGGTTGCTCCGAGTCCTAAATACTCCTGGAGTGTTTGTTCTTCGTCGGCGATGGTGAGAGTGTGGTTTGGTAGGGGAGTGAGGATGTGCTTCAGGTTGAATGGATGCTTCTCATCCATTTGATCATCTAGCCACGGGCGGACGTCTTTGCGGATGGATTGCGAGGGATCGAAACTTGAACGGACGGAGCTGCCGTCAAATAGACGGATTTGGAGACGGTATTGTTTTGGAGGTGTTCGGGGTGGCTTTGGGCGTACTTCCGTGTCGTTGGTTTTGCTGGAAGGCGCTGGTGCTGCTTTGCGCGGCTTTTTGTCGGGTTGCTTCGTCTGGTTGATGCGGCTTTCTTGTTGTTGCTGTGATTTCTGCGATGAAGCCTTGGTTGGCATCGCTCGTTTGAACGGTCCTGGATTTTGCGCAGACGACTTTTCAGCACGTTTGTTCTCATCACGATGTGTCTCCATCTCATTCGTAGCTGGTGCGGTTTGAGATTGGGATTGCGCGACTTGGGAAGCAGGCGGGGTTAATTGAGCGGCAGGTGCCGGGTCAGATGTAGATTCAGCAGGCACAGCAGCAGAACTACCCCCGGCATCAGTCTGTGTCTGTTGTGGAGCTTGCGACGATTTCCCCCCATCTTCCAAAACGGCTCGAAGTCGCGCGCGAAAATTCTCCTTCGTAATTTCGGGTATGATGTACTCTCGCATCATGCCATCTCTATATGCAATTCAAATATTAGCCCCCTGGTCATCATCGATTAATATCGAAGTGTATGTTGACAGTACCTAATAACCACAAGACCTGGTAATGTTGGGATCGGACAGAACGATGTGAGATATGTAGCTCCCTCGCTTCCCACTGGGAGTCGCAACGTAATGGCCTCTTCCATAAATAACTGCGCAAACTACAAGCACGTTAGATTCAATGCGCCGGATAGTTGTAGGCATTGGGATCAAAGTAGGTACCGTAGGGTCGTCTGCGAAATATTCGTTCTCCCATACATTGCTCAGCTCCTCGTCATCTGTTCAAACAATCAGTCAGCATGGAATTCAATAGTAAGCCGTGAATATCGATAGCTTTTGGTATAGCAGTTATTGCCATGTAGATATCCAGTAGCTGGCAGCGGAGATTCACAAACGTACCCCGAACGAAGCAGACAACTGCCTTGGACTGACTCACGGCAAGAGCGATTCCCTCCTGAAGAGTTCCCTGAAAAAACATGGTGGCTATCATATACAGCAGTGCAGGAAGAAAAAGAAAAAGAAAAAGAAAAAAAAAAAAAACTGGACTGAAGATGTGATGAATTTAATGGAGTCCGGGGTTGAACAGGACGTCGGAGGAAGTAGGCTGCGGTCTCCGATCACCGAGCACCGCGGCGGAGTCTTAACCACTATCAACCGTCCCACCGCACTCCAAATCGTCGTGCACACGACTGACAATACCCATCCAAACTAATCACTTAGGAGGAAAGTGTCAATTGACATGCGATCAATCTTCTTGGTCCTAAACCGGACCGCTGCAAGATCGTGGCAACCGCTAACACGGGCATTCCGGAGCCCTCACATCGCATCAAAACTCGATTCAACCTGCACCAGATGTCGCCAGCAGCAGGCCCGCTTCTTGAGCAATAGCCGGCAACTGGGAGACGAACAACGATGGCTCTCTGTTGTCGACCATCCAGCGCAGGTTGTCCGTGTTGGGCGCAAGCATGGACCCGGGTTGATTATTCTCGGTTAGTATACTACTGCACCAAGCTTTTCTTTCCTTTGCTAACAGGCCATGCGTCGCAGCCCTAATCCCTATCATCTCCTTCGCCCTCGGAACATGGCAAGTCCAACGCCTTGACTGGAAATCAAACCTCATTACAAAATTCGAAGACCGTCTCCTCAAACCACCCCTTCCACTTCCCCCGCGCGTCGACCCAGACGCAATCACCGACTTCGACCACCGTCGAGTCTACGCTACCGGCCATCTACGGCATGACCAGGAGATGCTTGTTGGTCCGCGCATGCGGGAGGGAGAGGAGGGTTACGTTGTTGTGACTCCGCTGGAGCGGGACCACGGGCAGAGCACCGTGTTGATTAACAGAGGATGGATCTCGAAGAGGTTGGCAGATCAGAAGGTTCGGGCTGTTGGGTTGCCACAGGAGCATGTTACGGTTGAGGGTTTGTTAAGGGAGCCTTGGAAGAAGAATATGTTTACGCCGGAGAACGAGCCGGAGAAGGGGAGATTTTATTTTCCTGATATTGAACAGATGGCTGAGTTGACGGGGAGTCAGCCGGTTTGGGTTGAGGAGACAATGGGTAAGTTTATCTATACTTTTTAATTGAGGTGGCTGGTCCTAACTTCACAGTCCCGGATATGATCGAGGCCTATGATCGCGAGGCTAAGGGAATCCCCATCGGTCGTGCTCCCGCGGTCAACCTAAGGAACAACCACGGCCAATACATTATGACATGGTAAGTCACACATACTCTGCTTGTCCTAATTTCTCAGATCAGGGATGAGTGCTCATGCTCGACAGGTACGGCCTTTCCCTTGCAACCTCCGTCATGCTGTTCATGATCATCCGCAAGAGGCCCAATGAGGCTACTCGTCGCGTCCGCCAGAACCGGAACTGGTAACCTGCTCGAATGATGTATCGTAAAGCATTCCCTTCTGGCGTTGGTCGGTTTGTCTTATTATAGGTTAAAATGGAGGAGGCATGTAAATTATATCTGACGGTTCATGTTCATGGCGGCATGGCCAATCTCATGTCCTGTAGAAGCTCCTTGGGCAAATGCTTTTGTGCAAGAGAAAAAACGGTGGTGGAATTGTTAATATGGCGTTGTCTACATAAAGTCAGCATTCTCTTCTGTAAGAATTGGACACTTAAGATCTCTTACCTCCTCATCAATGTTGTGACATCATTTTCATCGATAGTCTTGCGCCCAGCGTGTTTAGAGTATGCTGCCAGATCCTCGCCCACTTGTTCAAAATACCAAGAAGACGCTTGTTCAATTGCCACCAAGGTCTGCTTGTTGATCTTTGCTTTCGATCCAGCGCGCCCTCGTGCGAATTGGGTTGCCAGCTTCTTCACCACTCCCGATGGCATCTTTGGAACCGGGATACCATGTCGTGAGTACTGCTTCTGTTTCGGACCTGACACGATATGGTCTTCGTCGCGCAATCCTCCACCTGCAATACCGGGGCTTTCCGGTGAAGCCTGATGTGGTGTATTGAGTTCCAATCCGAATCCACCGCCGGCATCGTCGTCATCATCAAAACCACCACCAATATCCATATCGTCTTCAGGCATGGGTTCTGTGTCAGGTTGTAGGTCCATTGCGGGCAATTCGAAACCTTCGTCGTCGTCCAATGGCTCGTCCTGATCTCCTTCACCTGGCGGCGGAGGTGACGGGAAGTTGAAATCAAAGTTAAATCGACCAAGGTCTTCCGTTTCCCCTCTATGTACACGGTGAGCCTCAATTGGTTTTCAGAATGGGAATTGACTGAATAACACTCACCCTCGGTCAAATGCACCTTGACTGATAACCGTCTCATCCGGCCCACCCACGTCATGTAAGCCCGTAGTGTCATCACCGCCCTCAGATCCACTTTCCAATCTAGTTGAATCACCAAAATTCTCACTTAGGCGAGGACCGCCGAAACTCATCATTGACAATCTTGCACGATCTCGATCACTGGTAGCTCTGCGCGGGTATTCCACAGTAATGTCTTCTTCCTCGAACGCCAATGAAAGCCTAGGAGCTGGTATTTCTGGACTTCCCTCGTCTTCCTCGTCGACATCGTCCAGTGGTAATGATAACCTGGGTCGTTCAATCTCGGGTTCATTATCCAATTCCTCGATCTCGTCCTTTGGTGGCTCGGGCTCGGGCTCGGGCGGGGGCTTTTCTTGCGGAGACGAACGGATCGGTTGCGATGTAGGCGCAAGAGCTGATAGCAAAAAAAGGTATCAGAAGGCGCTCATAAATATTATAAGTCTAGTTCAACATACCCTTTCCCAGATTTTTCAGAATATCAAATGTAGTCTCTCTTTGCATCCGGCCGCTCTTCCTCCGATCCCGTCCCGGCGTGTTTGCCGCGCGTCGCTGCATCGCACGAACTCCATATGGCGTCGATGAAGGCCCTGATGCGCCTCTGCGTGGTGTGAATCGTGAAGCTGACCGGGGCGTGGCCGCTCCAAGACGGCTCGGGGTGAGGGGGTATCTTGGGATGCGCGAACGCTATATTACGCATTAATATTGGTCTCAGGTGAAATTATCGGCGTGTAAAAGGAGATAGTTACCCCAGTCAGTGTAGAGTCGCCAACAGGAGTGCTTGTCCCAGGGGTTCCAAACGGTGACCGACGGTCACGCGGTCTTGGTGTTGACATTGCGCACGGAGTACTGAATAAGGAGGATTCAGATCAATCGAGCATATAAGCGCGCAGCATACCAAACCTCGGAAAATTTAGAAGGTTGGAACAAACAACAATTGATCAAACAACAATTGGAAAGATAAAGAGGGGTTGCAAAACGATGATGGAAGCGCGTCGGAGACGATGCAGTCCAAAGCAGCAAGCAGCCTCTGATTGGCGGAAGCTTATCGATAAGGCCCGCTGACTCAGCATTAAAAAAGTCTCTCCAAACACTCGTTCGACTTTCCTGGTCCACCTCAATCGGATATACACCGTACCAAATCCAAAGATGTTGAAGGAGGAATCCAATGCCGCAGCTAGCCTCTCAGCTAAGGTCGAGAAGAAGCGCAAGCGACCAGCTGATGAGGAACCACCCACCGCAAAGAAAGCAACGACATCCGCGACCAGCAATGGCAACGCTACATCGGAATCCGGGCCCAGTCTCAAGAAGCAAAAGAACAAGCAGAAGCTCAAGGAGAAGAAGAAGTTGAAGGCACAACAGGCGCAACAGGATGATGTGAAGGGCGAGGAGCGCACAAAGGGCATTGATGGATCGATTGGGAAGATGGACGGGCCGTTGTTCGCGGATTATCTTGCGCAGAAAACGAAGAGGCATAATAAGGAAATTTCGGCTGTGGAATTGAGTGATCTTTCTGTTCCTGGTGTGTATATTCGTTTGTTTGCAAAGTGTACAGGGTACTGACGGTTCCAGATTCCGCATTTCTTGATACATCATCCTACGACGGATCGAGAGCGCTCGATAAACTTCCCGAATTTCTTAAGGCATTTAGTCCGAATAAGGGTGCTGGTCTGTTGAAAGCTTCAGAAGAAAAGGGTACTCCGCATACATTGGTGGTTTCCGGCGCTGCACTTCGGGCTGCCGATGTGGTTAGGTATGGACGAGACTACTCACTGCGTTTCTCATTTCATCGCTAACTTCCCCGACAGAGCACTCCGTCCATTGCAAAACAATGAATCCACCGTTGGAAAACTCTTCGCCAAACATATCAAACTAGAAGAGGCCAAACAATTCCTGCAGCGAGCACGGTACGTCTTTACTCACCACCTACTTCCTCAAACTTTAGCTAACAGCCACAGCATGGGCATCGGTGCTGGTACACCCGCACGAATCACCGATTTGATCGAGTCGGGAACTCTCAAATTGGATGAACTCGAACGCATTGTTATCGATGGTTCTTTCATCGACCAGAAGAAGCGCGGCATATTCGATATGAAGGAGACGCATATTCCGCTCCTGCAATTGTTGACTCGGCCCGAGCTCCGGGATCGCTATGGAGCGAAGCAGAAGAAAATTCAAATTTTGGTGTTTTGATTGCGTTACTTGGAGTTACAGGCGTGGTTTATAGATAATTAGTACATAGTATTCATATGAGTCCTACTTGCACTTTGACTTTGTACATGTACTTGTAATTAGAGACTGCTACCCCAACGGAGATAATCACTACCCTAACGCCGATGCGGAAGAAGCACTTTACCGCCCTTCCTCCGCCCGGCAGAAAGTGCCATTTTCTAAATTTTTCCATCGCAATATCACCTTCGATCTCAATCCATTCATTTCTCCAATTACTTTATATTCCTTCAATTCTTATATATTTACCTAGAATCAGACACAATGGGCGACAAAAAGCGCAAGCTCACGCAGAACCCTGTCGAGGAAGAAGAACCCGCCATTCAGCCCGAGGGAAAGAAGCCCAAGCACGAGAAGGCGTCGAAGGATAAGAAGGAGAAGAAGGAAAAGAAGGAAAAGAAGTCCAAGTCGCGCGATGTTGAGGAGGATGTGAACGGAAAAAACACAGAGGAGAAGGCTGAGGAAGTGAAGGAAGAGAAGAAGGAAAAGAAGGAAAAGAGGGAAAAGAAGGAAAAGAAGGAAAAGAAGGAAAAGAAGGAAAAAAGTGACAAGAAAGAAAAGAAAGAGAAGAAGGAGAAGAAGGAGAAGAAGGATTTAAAGAAGGAAACGTCTGAAGAGAAGGAAGAAAAGGAAGAGGGAGAGGCTGAGGACAAGGCCGCTCCCACTGCCGAAGAGTTGCCAGACACAATGGACGTGGATGTAAAATCTACCGAAAAGAAGGGCGATGAGAACAAGGAGGAGACCCTGGAGGAGAAGAGAGAGAGAAGAAAGAAGAACAAGAAGGAGAAGAAGGAGAAAAAGGCACAGGAGGCGGCCGAAAACGCCAAGCAACAAGAGCAACAATCTGAAGAGCAACAAGAGCAACAGAACGAAGAACAGCAAAAATCTTCCCGCTTCATTGCTTTCGTCGGTACGTCTACCATCCCTCCCTCCAACAACCCCATTCATCATCCAGCCACTAACCTAATTACACCACAGGAAACCTCCCCTACTCCGCAAACAACGAGTCCATCAAAGAGCATTTTGTCAAAAACCCACCCGCCTCGATTCGTGTTGCTACCGAAAAGGATAAGCCCACCAGATGCCGCGGTTTCGCATTCATCGAGTTTGAGAACTTTGATCGCATGAAGACATGCTTGAAGCTGTACCACCACTCTATGTTCAATGATGGGAAGTACCCGCCGCGAAGGATTAATGTTGAGTTGACGTGAGTTCCTATCCACTCTACTATATTAGAATTCGTGGTGCTAATTGATGCTGTAGTGCCGGTGGAGGTGGAAAATCCGACTATCGCCAGTCCAAGATCGAGACTAAGAACAAGAAGCTGAACGATGAGCGCCAACGCACCTCGAAGCAAATGTCAAAGGAGAAGGACAGGAAAACTCGCCACAAGAACGGCGAGGAAGAGGGTGGTGCTCAGGCTGTTGCAAACCCGGACGATAACTTCGCTGGTGTGCATCCTAGCCGGAGGATGCGCTTGCCGTAAGAGTTGCATTTTTATATTTTGTCTGTTTGGGTTGGTTTACTACTAAAAGCAGTTGTTTTTCATTATCATTGTTTACCTCGAGATATCCTTTCTGCTCTCCTTGTCTGGATTGTTGGTAGATGCATCAAGCTAGCTATAGATACTGGAAATAGATGAGATCAAATGCACAAAATATTTCCTTGATTTGGGTCGACCTGTCCAGAAACCTTTATGGCTTTCATTGCATGCCGGGCTTATGTGCCATGTTACATGTTTGTACTGCAATTAGAGAGGGGGGGGGGGG